TTATATTGTAGATATTGTAGATATTGTAGATATTGTAGATATTGTAGATATTGTAGATATTGTAGATATTGTAGATATTGTAGATATTGTAGATATTGTAGATATTTCTTGCATGTGGTACCGCAAACGGCAACTACCTCTATGTAAATACGTAAGTGCCTTACTTTGACTATGTTCTAGGTAATCGAATGCCCATTATGTGGGGTTCGTGTATTTAGTGTACTTAAGTGTACCTACTAGCAAGGGCTGGTTTTAATTAGTGCTTCTCCAAGTTTCAATTGGCCGTGGCTGCGGTTTTCGGCGTCCTAAGAAGTCCAAGATTTTTTTTATATTTTTTTTTTCCTTGGTCACGGTACAAAGTTCTCCAAGGATAACAGTATCACGGCCACTTTATCTGCCCCTCCTCATAGTATTCTAACAATGTGAACTTGGAAATCTTACACATAGCAACTTTTAATTTCTTCTAGGTTAGTCAATTCAAGTAATTAAACTTCAGTGGTTCAATTGGTTCGCCTATTGCGCCCTGTATTTCTCTCCAGCGTTGTGTTCGTCTATGATCTTCTGAATATAAACTGACTCATTTCGTCGTTTAATTTAGTTCTTCTCCCTTCGAAGTTTTTTTTTTCAAAGCTTCGTCGCCGACAGCTTGATCCCCGTCGCGATACCACGGCTGTATAGGCCGTGGAAGTGTCAATTGGACTTAAGGACTTAGTCGTTCACTTTTTCGACTCTTGACAATATGCTGTCGGTACGCGCATTGCGAGCAGCCGTGAGGGCTGGCTCTCGTCGTGTCTCTCCCCGAGCCGCTCGTCTGACTCCTGCAGTCGCCACAAGCCTCTCCCTGCGAACATCACAAGCTGCTTACTCTTCCGCCCGATCGAACGACTCGACTACTCGCGCCGCCGTTATACAGGTGCTCAACAACGTCGGATCTAAGCGAGAGGTCAAGCAATACCTTTCCCATTTCTCCTCCGTCTCCTCTCAGCAATTTGCTGTGATCAAGGTCGGAGGTGCTATCTTGACCGAACATCTGGATGAACTCTGTTCATCGCTGGCCTTCTTATACCATGTCGGACTTTTCCCTATCATCGTCCATGGTGCTGGTCCGCAGCTCAACAAGCTCCTCGAGGATGCCGGTGTCGAACCCCAGTTCGAGGAGGGAATTCGTATTACCGACGGCAAGACTTTAGGAATTGCGAGACGACTTTTCCTAGCGGAAAACCTGAAGCTCGTTCAGCGTCTAGAAGAGATGGGCGTCCGCGCTCGACCCATCACTTCGAGCGTCTTCACCGCTGATTATCTCAACAAGGACAAATGGAAGTTCGTTGGAAAAATCACCGAAGTTAACAAGGAGCCTATTCAAACTGCTATAGAGAACGGCTATCTACCTATCCTTACTTCCATGGCGGAGACGAGGGAGGGTCAGGTGCTGAATGTCAATGCCGATGTTGCAGCGGGAGAGCTAGCTCGCGAACTCGAGCCGCTAAAGGTTGTCTATCTTAGCGAGAAGGGTGGATTATTTGACGGTAACGTGCAGAAGATCTCTGCCATCAATCTCGACGAGGAATACGACCACATCATGTCACAGCCCTGGTGCAAGTTTGGAACCCGATTAAAGATACGCGAGATTAAGGAACTTCTAGAGACTCTTCCGCGTTCGTCTAGCGTCGCTATCATACATCCTGCTGACCTGCAGAAGGAGCTGTTCACAGATTCAGGGGCCGGTACTCTCATTCGCCGAGGGGATAAGTTGATGACTGCAGAGAGCGTTGCAGACTTTAGCGACCTCGAAAAGTTAAAAGATGTGCTTGTTCGGGATCGCGAGGTCCGTGATGCTAGGGCCACGGTGGATCGTTACTTGGAATTTTTGAGTGGACGGAAATTTAAGGCTTATTTCGACGAACCCATGAAGGCTCTTGCGGTTGTCCTCGACCCCGCTCCAGACCAATCATATTCGACCTTGGCCACTTTGACGATAACTAAGTCTGGCTGGTTGACAAACGTCGCTGACAACCTCTTTGCTGCTATTAAGAAGGAGTACCCTAGCTTAGTCTGGACTGTCAAGGCGGATGATGAAAATCTTACGTGGTTCTTCGACAAGGCCGACGGAAGCATTGTCAGAGGTAACGATGTCATGTTCTGGTACGGCATCGAGCCTGGAGAGGAATTGAACAAGCTCATGAGAGAATTTACCCTCCACGGCCGGGCAATGCTTGGCGATTCCAACCTAGAGTCAAGGCTCCACCGGGCAGCCCAGATTGCCTCCGAGAATCTACGAGCACACTTTGCTTCCGGCTCCGTGGCTAACCAGGCCCGAGGCTACTCTACTCTTGCCCGTCGTTCTATTTTAGGAGCTACATCAATGGGTGCCTTCTCCCGCGGGTCGCGCAGAGGCTTCGCGACAGAGACTAACCCCAACCCCCCGTACGGCAAGAAGCATGCATCAAATACGCAACCCTCTAGGGTCGCGCTGATTGGCGCTCGAGGCTACACTGGACAGAATCTGATTAGTCTTATCAACACGCATCCTAATTTCGAGCTTCGTCACGTGTCATCACGAGAATTAGCAGGACAGAAGCTGGAAGGTTATACGAAAAAAGAAATTATCTACGAGAATCTGAGCTTCGACGATGTGTACGAAATGGAAAAGAAGGGAAAAATAGACGTGTGGGTGATGGCGTTACCGAACGGTGTTTGCAAGCCGTTCGTTGACGCTATTAACAAGGCCAAGGAATCTTCTTCTTCTTCTAGAGAAGACAACAGCATAATTGTTGACCTCTCCGCTGATTATCGATTCGATAAATCGTGGACCTATGGTCTTCCTGAGTTGGTTAAGCGATCCGAAATTGCTCAGGCCACTCACATTTCGAACCCTGGTTGCTACGCCACAGCAGCCCAACTTGGTATTGCCCCCCTCGTGGAGTTTCTCGGCGGCCAGCCCACCGTCTTTGGAGTTTCTGGATATTCAGGGGCAGGCACTAAACCTTCTTCGAAAAACAACGTAGAGCTCCTAACCAACAACATCATTCCTTACAGCTTGACCGACCATATTCACGAGAAGGAGATTAGCAGTCAGCTCGGTGTTGATGTAGGGTTCATCCCACACGTCGCGGTGTGGTTTCAGGGCATTCACCACACAATTAACATTCCCTTAAATAAGACAATGACTTCACGAGATATCAGACAAATGTACCAAGATAGGTACGCGGGCGAGAAGCTGGTCAAAGTGGTAGGAGAGGCGCCATCAGTAAAGGCCATCAGCGGGAAGCACGGCGTTGAGATAGGCGGGTTCGCGGTTCACAGTTCTGGGAAGCGAGCAGTCATCTGCGTGACGATCGACAATCTTCTCAAGGGAGCCGCAACACAATGTTTGCGTGAGTATTCCGATCTACCAAATCTTAGGATGACTAGAAGATGCTAACCCAAATAATAGAAAATATGAACTTGGCTCGCGGGTATGCGGAGTTTGAAGGTATACCTCCAATGGAATAGAAGTTTTTTTTTTTCTAGAAGCGGGTTCTCGGGATTGAACGCTTGGCGATGTAAAACTTGTATATACTGAAGCCGTGTGAAGCGTTAAAAAATGTCTATAAACCCGGTGCGAACCTAAATCATTAAGGGATGTTTCTCTAGTAGAATCGATATGCTCCATTGCTGATGTCTCCAGTTGGTGTTTATCAAGACTTTTATAATCAGTACATACGCTTTTTTAGATATGAAACATCGAGTCTACCCGGTTATTGAGACTTGAGGTCTAAAATCAGATGACCAAGTCAGGGAAGAAACCCTGAACTCGGCTTCTGTAAATAGCAAACGGCAGGGTCCGTCAGAAGACGCCGTTTGAAAGGCCTCGAAAAAAAGGGGGCCAGACACCGAATAAACCAACATTATTGCCTAACCGGGTAGTAGCTTAGCATGCTTAGCGTAGTGGGGTCCTAGACAAACCCCTGAAGGCGTGTTCCGATGGCGGATGGCGGGGTGTGTTGGCGGGGCAAACGGGGCAAAATTTTAGCACCAAAACAGCCGATTCATTGCGACATGCGATCCGGAATCCGTATGTATAAATCTACTTATACACCATACACCTATACATTACAATTTGACCTTCACACTAGTTGATGAGATCACAGACGACAATGGCCTCCCAATTCCCTACTAAGAAATGCGGTAAGAACTCTTCCTCAATGACAAAAGCAAGAAAGAGTCATATACTAAACTATGCTTGTTGTGTAAAGGCGTGTTGGGCTGCACTGGCTCCGTGGGTCAGCGGTTCATCTTGCTCCTGTCTCAACACCCACACTTCGTCCTCCATGCCGTGGGAGCGTCGTCTAGATCCGCCGGTAAGAAGTATAAGGATGCCGTACGATGGAAGCAGGCCTCTCCCATGGGTTCCGTGGGCGAGCTTGTCGTCCGTGAGTGCAAGTCTAGCGAGTTTGCCGACTGCGACGTCGTTTTCAGCGGCCTGGACTCGGACGTCGCTGGTGAGATCGGTACGTTTATCTCAAACCATTACTTATCTTATTGTCCAATTGACTAATACGGGGTCGCGTCTGTAGAGATGGAATTCCTTAAGGCGAACCTAGCCGTCTTCTCCAACGCGAAGAATTACCGTCGGGACCCTCTCGTGCCCCTCGTCGTCCCTACTGTCAACCTGCCGCACCTCGATTTGATCCCGCACCAGCGGAAACACCATGGCTTAGAGAAGGGGTTCCTGGTGTGCAACTCGAACTGCGCAGTCATCGGCCTGGTAATCCCGTTCGCGGCGCTGCAGGCACGCTTCGGCCCCGTCGACACCGTCAGCGTTGTTACCATGCAAGCCGTTTCCGGCGCCGGTTACCCCGGCGTCAGCAGCATGGATATCATGGATAACGTGGTACCTTTTATCTCTGGTGAAGAGGACAAGCTCGAAACCGAGGCGCGCAAAATCCTCGGCGGCATCAACAGCGACGCCACTGCCCTCGTCGAGCAGGAGGAGCTTCGCGTGTCTGCGGCCTGTAATCGCGTTCCGGTACTTGATGGACATACGGCCTGTGTCTCGCTGCGGTTCAAGAACAGGCCTGCGCCGAGCGCGGAGGATGTGCGTGCTGCCCTGAGAGAGTACGTTAGCGAGGCCGAGAAGCTAGGGTGTCCGAGTGCCCCACGCCCGAGCATCCAGGTCTTCGATGAGCCGGACCGTCCGCAGCCGAGGCTCGATCGCGACTTGAGTCGCGGGTACACGGTTAGCGTGGGTCGTGTGCGCGAGGACGAGAGCGGGATCTTCGATATCAAGTTTGTCGCGCTGAGCCATAACAGTAAGCTTCCCCCTTTTCAATTCCCATCTCTTGGCATGCGGAGTAACGAGTGAAACTAACATGTTTTACAGCTGTCATCGGAGCTGCAGGTTCTTCGATATTGAATGCGGAGGCGGCAGTACTGAAGGGGTTCATCTAGACGACGAGCGAGCATCTTGCTAGCATCTACGGGCGTTTTCGGGCGGTTGGCTGGTTGGTTCATTTGCATTGGGAAGATACAAAAAGGAGGCAAGCATCTAGTCAGGCATCTGTAGATATGTATTTAAAAAGAGACGACCGATGTGCAACAAAAAATTCAATCTGCTAGAAGTCTAAATTTTAAACATTAGTTCCTAGGTATTCTATCAGGCGCAATGAACAAGACTTTGACTTAGATGTTGCGTTTACCCCTAACAGCTATGACTTGATGACTTACTTAAGTTACTATCATTCCTCGAAACCATCGCTCGGTTGACCTAGCAAGGGAGGTTATAATAAACTTACCAGGTCATAATGTCGCCCGGTACCAGCTGTGACGCCCTAAGACAATTCAGATTATGCGTTGCTCTGTTGTTAAGGGGTAATGCGTCTGATGCCCCTTACTTAAAAGTAGGCTCGCGCTATTAAGTGGGGCTGCAATAAACAATATAAGCATCGAAAAGCATCTGTATGACATGATTGGCCATCGTGGCCTAAGAAAGTTTACATGAAAAACATGGTTTGGTGGTCTAGTGGTATGATTCTCGCTTAGGGTACACCCTACGCAATAGCATGCGAGAGGTCCCGGGTTCAATCCCCGGCCAAACCCTTTACTTTTGCATTTTTTAATTAATTGTTCTCACTTTCTTTTTACCATTTACACGCATAGATTTATTATCCTATTGACGAACAACTCTAAACAATCTTGGATTCGCATTTTTCTTTTCCATTTGTTGTAAGACGTATCATATTTATCAGTCGTATGATTGATTACTGCCTTAATTTTTTCCCCTTTTTATCCCTTTCGTGTTTGTGGCCGAAGTCTTATCCTCATAAATGAATGCCAGGCTGAGCTGACTACTTTTAAAACCCCCTATTATTACAATAGAAGGTCGGGGAATACTTTCTAGTTTTCAATAAGGCGAACCTAACATATAGATGGATGGAATTGGAATACCTATAAGAAGTATAAAGATACCAATGCATTACAGTTAGTAGTGAACTACATAACTAGAGTCTGGCTATTAAACTCTTAATGAAAGATTCGTCATAGTGTAATTACCCTAAATTATAGCCTACGAAATTTAAACCTCTTAGATGTTAACACGCCTCCTATTAATTCCTAGCGTCATTCATGTAAGCACGGGGAAATATTGATGTCCTGGTGAACAGATGATATGACGATTATAGGCTGAAACAGAGACACGGCCTTAGCAACGGCCCACGGCTTTCACAGCTATAGAAACACGGTTAGTTAGTGACCTTCAGAAACCGAATTCGTGGCTATGGCGATAAGATTCTTCGAGTCACTATTACACTCGATACATTAGAGCGGGACTTATAGCTGCTTCCCTCATCCTTTAGGTATTAACTCAGAATAAATTTACAAAACTACCTACCTACATACTTGTTAGCACGGTGTTGTCATACAAATACGGCTCAGCTATGATTGATAGAGGATGAGTTTACATTCCTATCGATATATAACTCCGTCTTCGATTCTTACCTTCCGAAGTCTTTTTAGTATTTATCCGTATACCCATCCCTCTAACAATCGTATAGCGCTATCCCATAACTGATCAAGTGTATAAGTCTCCAGACGAAAAGGTTCATGAAAAGTCTGTTAGACTGGATTATGGTTATATAAACTCGAGAATGGCTGAACTATAATCCATCAGCAGATATAGTGTTTATTCTAGGTCATAGCACATGTTTCTAGGTTAGGTAGTCCTTAAAATAGGACGTCTATATATATATTGTTATCATGAGATGGAGCAAGAAGCATTGGAACAACTTGGTCGTTTCTGAAAAGAACTCTCTAAACCCAGCTACGGAAGCTTGAGCTACACATATTGAAAGTATCATTTGCTCTAGATGTCTAATCCAAAATCCTAACAACTGTTCAGGTCTTGCCAGTAATGCTGCCAAGCAAACTGCCATCTCGTCCCACCGTCTCGACTCATTAATACACCTCAAGCATTCGTCATATACTAGTCCCGAGGGATACCAGGATTACTCACATTCACACCAGAGTACAAATACACAGCCATAGATCTCCCAAACTCCACAATCGCCTCTCAAGACCAACCGCTCCGGCTTTAGTATAAGCAAACCATGATATCTATAGACCCCGTTGTGTTCCTACTCATTTCCGCAGCCCTGCTCTGTACCGGGAGCCTCTTCGCTTGCATCGCGGGCGCGTGGCGAGCCCAGTCGATGGATGAGCGGTACGAGATTGGCGCTATGGTGGGAAAATGCATCGCAGTGCTCAGCTTGGTGATTATGGTGCTAGTCTACGTGCAGCACGGAGTCAGCCTACATCTCGCATTCTTCATATTTTTCATGGCACCCACGATAGGAACCCATCTCGGGAAACGTGCCGCGCGGGATGTACGTGTAAGTCTATTCCTTCCATATTAATGACATACCTACCCCGTCCTAGATCCGTCCTGTAATTCTGCTATATCATTTCTATAAATCCCTACTTACACGGTGCAGTTACAACAAACACCCCAGGCGCCTGCACGGCAGCTCAACGAAGATATATCTAATGGAATTACATCTACGGGGAACGTATCTACTCGGGATGGATCGACCCGGGACACACTCCCCGTCCAAAAAGCACAATTTCGGAATGCGACTTCGGGCAGCACACGCGCGCAAAATGGGCAAACGGAATCCAATGCCACCGCACTGCGGCGCCCGGGCAAGAACAAGAAGCGTGTCACTTTTGCGGACGCCGTGACGGACCTAGATCAGCTCCAGCCGTTCCGAAGAAATAGACCTTGTTATTAGTTAAGGAACTCTAACACACGACGAAAAAGTGGCGGGTTGTGAGACAAGATATAGACATTCCTTGAGAGATCATGTATGGAGGAAATGATATTTTTCATATACCCCTATTCTTTTTATATTCAATATCCCTAAGTGTTGTATACATACGAGGACAGGGTTATACTACTCATCTAGTATTATCTGTATCTGGGTAATAAGTATGTCGTTAAAGACGAGTGGTGAACAGAAAATTCATCACGAGTAAATCTTCTCTTGCCCTCGACAACAAATCACGAAGGTTACCACGCATTGTTTAACTTGATTATTAACCGGACAGCATGAACAGCATTATAGTAGTGTTCAACAGCTTGTTCGCTTGTTTCTCTAATTCATGATAATTTCTACCCGGAGAAAAATAGGACATGTAGCGCTATAACAAGTCAGAAAGACGAATAGCATATCACCGCAATTTAATCAAGTCTCCATAATACCGGGCAACTGGGGGACCGTTAAGTTTTCGATGCCAAACCCTTCCTTCATGTCTTTGACGATAGCCATTAAGCTGTGGAGATAGGACCGGCCTTCCCAAAACAGCTGCTTAAGGACCGAATCCCTGGCTCCTTTTATTATCGAGTTTCTCGTAGCATTCCACTGCTTCTCGATGAGAAATCCAATGAGGTCAAAAATGAGTGTTAGAACCCATCGTAACTCTGGCTCCAGGGATGTGATGCCCTGGGCCCAGCAACACCACCAGCGTGCCTCGATTAGTACCCTGTCGCATCCCCCGGCTCCTTCGATGGCATCAAGGGGCTTGAAATACGCTTTGATGCGGCGCTCATCCGCCGCCGGCTGCACGGCAGGCCATCCTCTGTAGTCCGTATATCGGAACAGGAAGACTCCTCGACGGACATGGTGCCATTGTGCCGGCTGCACATCGAAAACAGCCGGGTTGTCGTACGGTATAAACTGTAGGAAGTCACTCCGGCTTCCGTCGCAACGTCGTCGGATAGGTAAGTGTACAATTCTGCCAGCAGGGATCGTGGAAAGGTGGTTGTGCTGCTGCTCTGACGGTGATGTGACATCCTGCATGATGACATCGCCGTCCGCGTCTGTTATATAGGCGTCATACTCGTCGGACCCGGAATACTATTTGATACGACTTGAAGCCTTTATGGGATTTCTTGTTATATCGGTAGCCTGACGAACGTGCTTCCAGTTATTGGACTGTGACGTGTTGTGGTAGTTACGGGCGCGTTCGTTGAGATTGTCGAGTATCTCCTCTATGGTTAATAGTGGACGCTTGTTTCTATCTAAAGGCATTGCAACAGAACCAGTATTGATCGTAGTGCTGTTCTGAAAGTCAAACAGGCGGTCGTAGACATCTCTACGACAGAAAGTAGTCGCGGTTGCGATGGCTGGTATGTCACCAGGTCCGACGGTGGCGGTAATGTCAGACTCGGGATGCTTGGCGGCTTCTTTAGGGAACTTGAAGAAGAGCCAGGCGCACTCCCCGCAGAGTGGCTGCGGAAGACGCCGATGGGCCCTCACTGCGACGCAATGATAGACGTGGTGGATGGAGCAGTAGTAAAATGTGGCGCCAGGACTAGTGTCCTTGTCGTGGTCGAGCTTCATTACTGAGCCGTTCAGCCGGATACGATGACACTCTGGCATGCGACAAGACATTTTCTATGGTGAGAAGTTTTTAACCCTGGGATCTCGTATGTTGGGATAGCGAATGTGACTTAATAAAGTAGATGTAATGTTTGATATAGTATGTGAAGTCTAAGTGAAGTCTATGTGAAGTTAGTTTGGGATCCGACTTGGGGGGGGGGGGGGGGGGGAATTATGTTACGTGAGGAGTAAAACAGGAGATAATGAAACCCAGGTAAGGGCCGGAAGAAGTATTGGCATTATGGAAAGTGGATTCGGGGTTTGACACGCGATTGGGGCTGGTTTTTCGATTAAGTTTAAAGGATTTCTTGTAAGTGGGAAGGAAATGACATGTCGCCTGGTATGCTCATCATTGTCATTACAAGGGAAACGATGGGCGAAGTATGTACCTACCTAACCTATGTAGTAGCCTAGTAGTTTCCGGCTACTGGAGTAATACATAGATAATCCTAGCTGATATTCAAGTAACACAGCTGAAGTAGAAAAGCCGTAGCAGGAAACCGGCGTGGTTTCTCTTTCCGGGTCGGGTACTTGTCCTCCTAGTAAGATTGGGCATGGACGTAGGCGTGGGCGTAGGCGGTACGCTTTACGTTTCGACCGGTTTAGGGGGTTAAGGTTTCTGTCCTTCTCTTTCCTCTTTCCTCTTTCCTACCATTGGCGCTTTCTTAAAAAGATACAACTTTTTAGTCACAAGAAGCCAAGGAAGTTACAATGTTATTAACATTAGTTATGCTTTAGTTATAACTAGTTAATGCTATTAATCTTACTTGAATACCTAGCAACAACACCTGTATAAAAACGCCTGGGCCGCCATAGTTCGATAAGCTCTTAAGAGCATAACGAGTCCGTGCTGCCTCTTATCTTTTAGGCAAGCAGATTTCATTATCCTACTACAGCATTAAGATCTTATAATAAGAATAAGAATAAGATCTTAGCGGCCATTTCGTCGAGGGGGTGAATTATTCGATAATAGCTACTAGATAGAGCAAGTCCATCCTTCACCCTCGACAGCTGACCCTCGACGCACTATGGCCGCAATAGTTTAGGACGGTGTTCTTCCTTGACATCCCCCATCACACGTTACTGATGTAGGGCATCTTAGAAGAGCTACACACTAAGAGGAGCTTCGACTGGGAAGTATGGGTTACACACGTAACTAGGCGACCAATAACGTAAAGGTGGGAGAAAAGATGGCACCAGGGATGGAAAGCGTGTCGAGCCCTAAACCCGGTCTATTGGAAAGTCAGGTACCGAGGGGAAAGCGCCCGCGTCTGCTGTGTAACGTCGGAACTTCCGAGCCCAGAAACCCGAGCCAAGATTGGATGCCGGAGCCTCATAAGTAACTGCATGTACTCTCGAACGGCTGTAGTCATCAGGCCGTCTTACATACTCGGTAGTTCGGTCATCCCCGGTGGATGTTGGTACCTGATGGCACTTCCCGACGCCTGTGCGTATTACCTATGCTACGAACATGCATCTCCACCTTTAAGGAACCTAGGTACGCCAGTAAACCACCGTCTTCACTAGGGTGCTACCCCCTTGAGCCTCACCCAAGCCTCGCAGGGCTGACGGGGAGCTAGGACGAATAAGATCAAATCTACTTAAGCCACTCGCGTCTCAGATGGATTATTACCGACGAATCAGATATAATACCATATACCTGACCATACAATACCGGTCCTACTCCGGTACTCGACCTAGTTCATTCGGTAAAGCTTGCGAGTTGGTTAAAGCATTAACGTGCGAACTGACTCACGAGCATGGGATAGATTTCACATCTTTAAATAGATACGTGAAGGCTACTCCTTCACGTTCTGGGTATTGCCGCTTTCTACATGCCCGTACACGTCTAACCGGCCGATCTCGAGTCTATTGGGACGCCCCCTTCCCCTCTGTATCCCCAACAAAGAAGAAGAAAAAAGAACAAGAGAAAATTGTATCGAGTTTCATGCTTGCTATTCCTCGGAGCAGACACCGACTTTTCAAGCCAGCAAGCCAATGACTATGAAATGACGTGTACTCCTAGAAATGCGCCTCCCCCGAGGACTGATTTTCTTTTCCAGGCAGACACTAGGTTTTAGTGAATTCGATAGCCCTTGCGGTCGACTAGGACAGGGTCAGGATTGATTCGCCCTGCTCGAAAGAGCATGCAGAGAAAGGAATTGAGAAATGATATTGTGATAGTCGTTGCGCAGAGCAGAGAGCCCCGCCGTCGGCTCATGCCTAGATTTCCAGAGTCAGTCGAAAACTTCCAAATATCACCTGACAATGGCAACTGACTTGAGGTTGTTCGATTCAGGCAACGTAAGTTCCGCAGTACGGACAGTCCCGCCCGGGTAAGACCCATACTTCTTGGCCCTTGCCCTGGCAGGTAGGGCAGCGTTTTCCGGGGGCCTTGCGGGATCGTTAGAGAGACGCCCTATTTTCATAAATGGGTAGCTGATACGTACAGTTCCGGACATATCAACCATGGGGCAAGCTTGGCTAGATACCGGGCGAGAGCAATAGTTAACCTGAGACGCCAGGTGCGAGCAGTGAATATGTGAGCAGGTCATCGTGTCGAGTTGTCTAAGTGACAGGGATAAGATGTAGGGGGGGAGAAATCTATCAAAGGAGCGTTGACAAATATGGGAGGACTATTGGTGAGGAGAGCGACGAAACAAGCGTTGATAATAATGGATGGTGTGATATGTCTGACCAAACTCGGAGTCCCTACGGCCGTACTTATACTTTTCTAGTTGGTCAACGCCGAAACATGGGCCGAGGGAAGTGTATCGTAGGGCCAAGGCAAGAGGGTCAATTCCAAAGGCCACGATTTGCCGCGTTGGGTGCGGCTGGCGTACTTAGTCCCTGCGTGAAAAGTAGTAGCCTGTATGTATCCGACGAAGAAGCACGGAATCATGTTGAGCGCGCAGCGGAAGGCTCGCGGCAGAGGGGGTGCCCCTTCGCTCTATTCGTCAGGGGCACGGATTCTAAGCCAATGTAATAATATTGCAAGTCAAGTTTTGAGCAATATCCCGGCAAAAAGCACCATTATGGTGACTGAGCCCGATGCGTCCAGCCATGCTTCGATAGGGAGCAAGACACGGCGACCTGAATTTCTGACAGGACACAACTCACACAAGTGGGGTTGATTTCGAGGGCAGAAAAGGGCAGAGAGGGCAGAGAGGGCAGAAACGTGGGACAGAATCAGGCCGTAGACTTCTTGGCGCTGAATGACATCTGTATCACTGCGGATATGGCGTCAGAAGACTCTATTGGACTAATGTTAAGAGGCAGATCGTGACAGTCAGTCTGTGTATGTTGTATGCGGGTGGTCTATGTACGTATAGTGCAGTGTGTGTGGGCCAGAACGTCTCGACAATACTTTTCAGGGTCAGACAGGGCAAGATAAAAAGCAAGAAAGCAGGGATAGCCTGTATTAAAAACTACCTAGATACGGTTGTCATTAAGACCGGGTTGGCGGATACTCGGGCCCGTCGGGGGATTTTATGAGATCTCGAGGTGGGGAGAAGAGACAGAGACTGAGAGGGAAATTTGATATATGTAGAAATAGAAATAGAAATCCGAATAATAAGAGAGGGACTTTTGGGAATGGGGAACAGCAATTAGAGCAATTAGGAAGTATCAATTTTTTGTTACCAAAAAAAAAAGTTACCCATTTTCCTGTGTACTACGTGATAGGCTTATAGTTTAATATGTACGTTTGTATATAGGTGGATGTGGATAACAATACGTAGGGGGCCATGTACAGGGTGGATATACGTGCAATACTTTATGCATGTATGTAGTACCTACACCTGCTTAACCCTTCCATGCACATGTGTGCGCATGAGAATATGCACGTATGGTATGCATTAGATATGCGCAATACATGCATACTACGTACATTCCATGATATTCAACTTTCAACCTCTTAGATGGATGAAAATCATCCCAGTATCCGGGTTTGCCAAGTTTTCTCGATCCAAGCGTTCGGAACCCCCGCGTACAAAGCATATAAAGTTGCATGATGATGGGCAGATCAAAGCAAGGGAATAAGGGAATAGGGAGAGAGGAATTCGGATATCGAAGACGGGAGGCGAGGCACTTATATGTTAAGGTACCTATATGTAATTAGCTAGCCTATTGCGTACAAAGGGGGGAGTACCCCTTCTAGTGCACTTCCCTGTGCGACCTGAGAAACTTAGGGCTGTTACTGCGTTTTCTCCGGGAAGGCACCTTCTATTCTCTATTCTCTAACCTCTAGCTCCTCCTAAACTTCCCCTAAACTTCCCTTCCGTCTAGACGAGTGGCTCTCTTCATACCTCTTACATATTCCGTATGTAATGTATTTTGTTCAATATTCACAGATGCCCGACCAAGTTTCCCATCAACTAACTAGTTTTTACTAGGAACAAGTTTTAATCGTTGGGCTTGGGAGTGGAAGGTGGAAGGTGGAAGCATCACCACCCTAATTCCATCATTCCATCCACGCGCATCACGACGCACGTTTTCCCCCTTCGACTCCTTGTCTTTCTTTGAATCAAAACTAGCGTAACATAAAAAGAAGCAAACGCCGATTCGTCGTCTACCCTGTCACTCTTCCGTACTACCGCTGCAGTATCCACGCGACGTTGCCGTTGTTGTATTATTTTTGATATCATTTACCACCTCTCCTGGGTCCCTTTACAAGTCCAGAAGAGCTTGTCGTAACCCCTGGGCTTCTTCCTGCCGCTAGCTTACAACCAATCAGATTCAACTCACGGGAACCAGATAAATCACTCCCCTGATGATTGTCTTTTATTATTATTATTTTATCTGTTTAGCTTTATTTTATTTTTTAAACAAGACTGCCATAAAAGCAATTGGGTTTTGTGCCTCGGGATCGTAATCCTTTTGTGGGGATTTAGTTGAGCTGTCTACAAGGCAGATCCTCATACGTGTTCGGCAAGGAGAGAGCAATACAAGACCAGAGGTTCAGGTTGATATCTGACGTGAAACAACCCGATTGACAAGTTTAAACCCCATTACGTCGTACGTAGCAGTTCCAAGCCGTTAGGTAAGAAGCTTTCCCGTTGCCCAAAGCAGAAAGTCGATTAATGCTCGTTGATCCTAGGGTTATCTCTAACCGCTACACCACGCCCATACCTTCTTGAACCTACCCGCTAGACGTCTCTCTGGTTGGGCCACCGTCCACTCTGATCGAATGATGTTTCTGCTGACTGATTTGCACGCTCTCATCTGACAAGGGGGTCTATCATATGCCACGGAATCCGTTCCTCTTTGACGCCTTCGTCTCTGTGTCTGTCACCTCAGGGCCTCCTCACGACATGCAGACCGGATTCCAGAGCCCCACAAAGTAACCACATGAGCTGGCATACATGAAGCCTTTCCCGGTGGATACTAGCCCATCCATCCGAGCGACTCCCGCGAATGATTTCTGAGGAGGTAGTATCCTTGAACTGGGCGTATCAATCTCTGCGGTCACTCACTCATTGGCTCTTCTCATACCAGCCCACCGAGTCGCGATTTTTCTGACTCCTCAGATCGTCCGCTTAGCCGGCGATCCACCCTTGTTCCCATCTTGTTGGTCGCTTAGGAGGTCGAGCAGGTCAAGACAACCAATGCATAGGCTCATTTAGATTGAATACCGATCAAGGAACCACCTAGAAGCTGTCTCTTCAACTAAGGAAGGCTGCTAATCAAGTTGCCCAAAGATCGACAGCTCGAGCTGAAGCTATTCTAGTGGATAAGAGCTTCGAGGCTCGTAGTCCTCCAGAAAAATCGCGACACCGCTCCACGGGACCATCGAGCGAGTTCGGAGTGGGAAAAAATGCCCGAATCTAGTAACAAGGGTCGTATTCGAGGCAATGCTAGTCAAGTTGAAATTTGTCGCAAATTTGATGAGCATCAACTCTCTCGAAAGCCGCGAAACGTATTGTTCGTATTCAGCTTCGATAGTCTCAGCCATTTATCAGAGGTATCAGAGGTATCAGAGGTATCAGAGGTAGTCTCGCCATTCTGCATAGCCGACCCATTATCAACATAACGGAGTTTATGCTAGCGGGGGGTCCTTGCAGGTCTCATACCGGAAGAGTTTTTGACCCGGTACTTTGCATCGAAAAGTGACAGGTCACAATATGCCTATCCTATACCTGCTACAACCAGGCTTGACAAGCAATTGGTCGTACTATTCGGCTATCGCGATATTCAAAATGGTATGCAGCAAGTCTTGCGGATCCCAAAGTCCCACTAGACAAGACAAAGGTCATTGGACTTCGAGAACGTGCATCGACGTCGGTGTTGAGATTCAAGTCAAGCCCAACAGACCTGTCACATTCGTCAACTCTTACCGCCTAGTATCCCCCGTTGTTGGTCAACAGGAAATAAGGTTGACGAACATGGCTTCTGCAATCCGCGCATGTGTGCTCACCCGTCCACCCATCCAGCCAGAGGCTATTCGTCCGATTTGATTTCCGTCCTGTCAATTCTTACGCAGCTAAAGCCATGCAGCACCCGGATATGCACATGTTTGAGCATTCGCCTACCTGCACCAGTTGCCAAACATGTTATTATGTATTATGAGAAGAGGGAGAATACATCTAGGTACCTACATTTTAAGGCAAACTGGTCGAGGCTAACTATAAACAGGTAACAACCCAAGGGCGTAATGATACCAACCTGTTGCACCCTTGACGACGCCACTTGATCTGCTTCACCGTCCGTGGGTTTGGGCCTCATCCCTGTTTCTATTACAAAGGTTCGGCAACACCAAAGGGCACTTGCATGGGCTACAGCGTACGGTACCATTACGCCGGGACGAATGAGGAGGGGACCACATTCCTAGTCTCGAGCATCGTGCCCCACTGCCGACCTCAAGATAACAGGAGCCATCCCATTGCATCGCTTCTATCGAGAATTACTCCTCGACCATCAGGGACACTAGAAATTTCCCGACCGACGTCACCCGTCTCTAGTTCCCAAAAATATCACTACCTATCTATTTTGCATACCAGGGTACGAGCTGCATACAGCTTGATACCTGGCCTCCGAAGCATGTGGCATCGCTTCTAAAAAAAAGGGTCCATCCAACCCTCGGTTCCCATGTCCCGAATTTATGTGATGACAACGTTCAAGCTGTTTATAGTGCAGCCTATAATCAATGTGGACGCGATTATAGCCTAGTTGACTAGTAAATATCCCCCTGTCAGGACTTTAGCTAACGAGCCACGATGCAGCAGTCACCGGATGCAACTAATGCGAAGGTTATTTCTTCTAACCATTGGCGGCGCATTGCCTGCACGGTATGTTGCCGATTGCGGCGTGCATTAGAAACAGGACTATATTGCTGTCAAACGGGTGCTCGCTTGGACGCTGTTACACAATAGAGAGGCAGCATCGAACTTCTATATCTTAACGAAAAAATAGTATACAACGGTACGGCGTAGCCGCCTGTCCGTCGTTGACAGCAACCTACTACGTTAGGTAGCGTTTCTTTAGGGGATCTTCTATTTTGCAGATCTCGTCAGCTGATGACATGAAGGCTGTCGCGAATTGATTCATTACAGCAATTACCGACCAACACGCAGGAGTTGGTCAGAATACAGCCATGTCATTGTAACACGCCCAGTCCGCCGTCGTTAATGGAGGCGCAGCTGCATAGTTCGTCTCTAGTAGCTCTACATCGCTTGTCACCTTCCGTAGCAGTGTTGATCTAAAATCACTGCCGTATGACGATATCCGTTGATATCCCTCAGCGTCTCAGCTGATATGGGTGAAAACTTGTAGATTATGAGATATAATGTCGCTTTAGCTTGAGTCGCCGGCCAGTGCGGTGGCGACAAGTTTAAAAGCAACGTTTTGTTGGTGATCAACTCCGCGACAGGAACAAATACCACACACCGACGCCCGCCCCCTTCTCGCTTCTGCCGAAATAGGCGTCGAAAAAAACCTGCTGAACTATAACTGACAGCTACTATTATGACGGAACCCATCGCCCAGTAGAAATTTGAAGGGCGATTAACCTTAAGGCTAGCCATCCCACCTTTCTACTCGGCTATTCGGTTACAGTCGTAGCTGATCTACCCTGGGGAATCTTCACGTTTCCCCTGGTTTCTAGAAAAAGGGTCTACTATATAATAAGGAGCACTTATTAGTTACACGAAAGTCCCTAACTGGTTATTTCACGAGCCGACTGACGTCTACCCATTGTTTAGATCCTCTGAGATCTCTCATCGTAACGTTGCTGCATCTGCCAACGCAAAGGTAAACTTACTATATAACAGGGGTAGTCATAATTCACGTTCAGTAAGCATGGGGCGGTTCGGGGTCCGACTGACCAACCAAGTAAACAGCTGCTCTCTGCTCACTTGCATATGCACATACCAGGTATGCGCTCGAGGTTGAAACTTAAGCTTGCTGATTTCGAATCTATCTCAACGTATAGACGAAGGAGGCTAGCTAGCTGCAAATAACTCGAGTACCCGTGGGGATTGAAGCTTTCCGCATGCGACCTGCAGCCGGGATCTGAGGTTGTCAATATCAATGCGAGGAGTTACCTATATAAAAAAGAAAAGAGGAAAACATCTAGCGGCCAGACCTGGTTGTCTAATATGAGCCTCATGACGTGGATGGAACATACATACGTATCCACAACAGGAAAGCTCACCGTTGAGTATCTCTGCTTCTCGCCGAAAGGGAACGGGCCGGCACGCAGAAGGGATCTCCCTGCAGTCACATGCATCCACGCGTCTATGCAGGGAGAACCCTTGGTGTAGCAAAAATATCATACATGTACAAGGTATAAACATAAAACTACCATCCCGCCAAAACGCCACCAAGAGCCCTAGTCCATACCATGACACGGTATATTCGTATAGTCGATATTGAGTCTGACGAGTTTTCATACGTCAACAGCGAGTTGAGCTAGGGATAACAACGCGGCATACAATGTCATGTTTCATCAATCTCTATCATATATCTCTTTCTGGCATCATCTAGTAGAGCCTCATAATAGATGGTCACATCATGGACCCGAACACGCAACTCAATTCAAACTTTTAGAAGAGTAATGCTTTCTCGTCTCTCGTCCTTTCATTGCCGCTATTGAAATCTAACGGTCAGCGGGTGCACCCGTCCTGAAGGTCTGTCTCAGCTCCTCAAAGAATAAGACAGACAGGTATACTCTAGACAACGCTAGGGATGGGGAAGACGGGTATCGAACAGCGAGGCGCTAGACGCAGGCTTGACGATCGCGATTAGCATATAGCTAAACAGCCACACGTCCCCGAATTCGACATGTCAGATTATCTACGGCCGAGTCAGCTTCTAGATGTTTACTAAGACTAGCTAGCTACCTAAATACGGAGACGGCTATGCCGCCGAGTACCTAGCTCACGTTACGCCCCAACGTCAGAATACCATAATAAACATGAGCAGATAGGCTAGGGCTGGATCATGTAGGTCAGAGAACTAAGACATTTACAGATACGCGAAATTTGACAGCTCATTCTTTGATCGAGGATCTACCATAAATGCACGACAACGCGAGGGAGGCCCGTTTTTACGGAGTTGAACCTAGATGCGTCGAATAGTAAAACTACCTGACGATAACCTATGAGTGTTGTCTCGGATACTATTCTATTTTATTCAAAGTTAGATTAGTAGACTAAATCAAAGTATTCTTATCTAGTGCTCGACTTCAGCTATACTAGGTAGTTACGCCTCTCTAATGGTATCTGCCTTACCTAGACCGTTCTTCCCCCTAGGATCACCCCTGTCTATATCCTCAGGCGCGAGGGAGACACGCTAGATTACGCCTCCTTGTTACAGACTACCCGGGTATAATATATAGAAGGACGCCACGACGGGCCGCTCCCGGGGATGCGATCCTAGGTTACACACCTAGCTACCCGTACCTACCTATGAGATGTATAAGATTACCTAAGGTATACATACATGTCTACCTATGCACTTAAGCACTAGTCTCAAGGCGAAGATAGGAAAAAAAAACAGCGGTGACTACATACATAGCTGCCTAGGTAGCTAGCTGGCAGGTATCTACCCTGCAGCCAAGGTAGTAAGAGGCGCCGACTGCTCCGCCGTACAGTTGAGCTATTTCCTCGGTATATCTAGGTAGGTATCTATAACCAGTAAGCGGAAGCTCACGGCCCCACGAGGTGCTTCCTTGGTACAAAGATAAGCTGGCCCCAAGAACTGGAATGAATACCCCTGTGTCAGCATAGACGGGATGGGTATACTACAGAAATAGAAGCTAAACCAACAACGGGGGGTAGGTAGGTATTAGAGGATGAATACCTTAGGTGCTTTAATTAGATAGGTATATTCTAATGTCAATAGAACATTAGGTTAGGTACTTTATGTATTGAAAGTAGTTCTGTCATCTATATACTAGTCCTATCATTGACGTCGCTGCCCTGCCCTGCCCTGCCCTCCCATCTTCGCTTCACAAGGTCTGGGCCTAGCAAGTCACACCACCCTAAACATGTCGACCCCATGAATGCATTACGCCAAAGAAGAACATGCTCATTGTTCCGGGTATCCTATCATGCAATAAAATATATCTACAAAAAAAAGGGAGAAGAAAAGAATAATCAAATAATGCTGATGTGATTCCCAACAGACGAAAAGATAGATAATGATGATGGGCCTCTGCGGTCATACGTGAGAATCCCATCTGATAATGTCGGTGCCTTTCCCAGAGACATCAGCATCCGGACCGTAGCTGCTGTGTCCTTCCTAGACCCTTAACCAGTTGCACCCGAGATAGAAGATAAAAGTTCGCTAATATAATGGATGATAATGACGATGCTCAACTTGCGCCTCCCTAGCACAGTCTACCGTGGATATTCGCCGGTTGCCCGCTTCCCTTTTCTTTTTCCATAATACATGGGTGATTGAATAGTCGCAATGATAAAATGATAAGTGAAATTAGTTTCGGAAATGGGCGCCGGGGTAGGTCGAGGGGAAAAAAAAAGACATCGGTTTTGGTTTTCGGTATACCCAGTCATACATGACAAGTAATAGACTGCTAATCTTGTGGCACATAAGCGGTGTCAAACACAGTGACTACCATCTCCGACTCCGCCCGTTCGAATGAAATTGCGTCAATGGAATTTCTTATCCACGCGGATGAGAACGACACCCGGCGTCTTGTTGCCATTGGTGTCTAAAAGTTGAATAAAGCGGTAACCCGTCGCCAAACGGTCGAGACGGATGCATGCCCAGCCAAGAAATGGGTCGCGATTTAGCGACATGAGTCGCGGCGCGTCATCTTCCACCTTGAACCTAGATAGAGAAGAAATTCGTAAGCTAGGGTTCATGAACAAATCGGGATCTTCAGGAACACTCCATGATATCACAGACTAGGGAGGAACCCGTGTGTTACACAACTGATAAACGAGACGTGATGGAACGTAGCGAGCGAATATGAGTAGCAAAAACAGACCAACGTTAGGAGGTCGTTTGCTCCAGGACTCGCTCCGTTCCCGCGAACAGTTCTGAGAGGCGGTGGCCTGTTGTGATATATCACATCCTCCTTTCCGTCACTCGACGGTTCGTTGCACATGCAAGCTCAGCCGCCGGCGACTCCCCGGCTCGGAACACGTGAACTATTGGATATGTATATCACAGTGAAAACCCGACCATCCGGATCCGGATATGTGAGCGCCCGGCGGGAAGACGTATCGGGGAAATTTTTGAAATGAGAATACGACGGGAAAGAAAACACGGGCGGCAAATTCTTACCTGACAAAGCTGAGCTGTTCTATGACCCTTTTGACACCAAGGAAGTGAAGTTCGTTTTTGACACTGCCGAAATCTGGGTGATCCGTCTTCCCGATCCCTGTCTTCTGCTTGTATTCGCATTCGCGGACCCTACCACCCCCGTCGATAAAGGCTCCGACCCGCTCTTCTATCTTTTCGACGTGTAACTCGCACCTTACATAGGGTCTCAGGGATCTTGAGTTGCTACTGTGAGTACCCTCGGGCAACGGAATATGTTGGCCTGCGAGCACGGTGATAACTAGATCGAGAGTGCTCTGAGGACCAGCATCTTCTGGAGCTGTAAATGCGTCTTCGCTGAGGTACCCTGGTGGCTTCAGTACCCAACCATGCTCACCCGAAAACATGGCTTCGTTGAGCATCATGCCTTCATCCCAAGACTGCCAATTCATAGCTACCATTTGTACGCCTTTGCGCCAGAAGTGCGAAGGGTCCAGATTTGACGAGTCCCACCGCAAGCCCTTTGGATAGGCACGCATAAAGAAATGACGATTGTGAGAGAATAGCTCAAAGTGCTTAGAAGCAATGAGTTCAAAAATCTTGTTTTCGTTTATAGAGAAGATGTGCGAGGGAATTTTAGCAGCTGGCGACTCGAAGTTCGTAAAGTGCTCGCTATGAGTATAAATGGCAAGAGAACTAAGAGCCTCGCATATAGGGACCTTAGGCTTCTTAGCGCCATTCTGGAGGATAGACCTATCATCCTCTGACCCAGATGCATCATCATCAATCGTGTTGTGAGGGGATAACGTAGACATAGTCCCATCTAAGCTTGGCGAGGCCCTCTTGACCTTGATGAGTATTTTGTTAAGCAGTTCCTCTAGCTTTGGCATTCGGCCATTTGGGCAATTTTCATGGGGCTTATCGACTAGTAAACCAGCCCATTCTTCCTTCATGATTTGAACCATGATAGCCTGTTGCTCTTGGTCGGCGTGAACTTCTAGACTGACAATAATGGGTAAATTGGTCGTCTCGAAGGCCACTTCGCGGACGGCTTTACAAACCTCACGGAATCCAACGGGCGTTGTAAGGGTATAACCGTGCATCACAATCGGTTCGTCCGGTGGTAATGATGGTCTAGATCTTATGGATAGACGTTCAGCGTCAAGTTCGCTGGCTAGGGAGGCCGGATCAAGGGCAGCACCAATCTCTCGGCCGAACGGCGGCGGCGCCAGCTCGGATTTGCTGCATCTTGGACTATGGCTGTGGACTTTCTCGACACCTAGCCTTAGCCGAGCTTTCTCAACTGTCTCTTCTACAGCATCCTTGAAATGAGCGGCAGCTGTATGTAGACTTCCGCCGGAGAGGTGACGAACGTGTTCAAATCTCGAAGTGGGCTTCGCCGATGCTTCTCTTGGATTATCTGGCGTGGAGTTTTGCGAATCACTATTCCATACATCTATCTCCACACACCTGCATCCTCTTCTAAGAACGCGCCTGTAAGCATCCGCTGTGCTTCGGCCAGACAACTGATTGCCGGATAAGTACGTGTTATGGCTGCTGCTAATAAAATAATTGCTTATAGGTTTCGAGAGGTCTTTTTGTTCGAAGGAGATGGGCTTTTCTGCTTGAAGACCGAACTCTAGCCACCACACTTCGAGAAACTTCTCAAAATTATATCTCTCCTCCGTTAAAACTGGAGTTTTATTGCCCTGGACGATTTCGAGGAAGTCCTCAAAGGCTTGGCGTGATAAGAAAGGTGCCCCTCGACGAAGGGAGTCGTAAAGTTTTCGTAGATGTCGTTGAATAGCAGCGCTTAGATATACTTCCTTTTCTCCATCTTGGAAGTGCACAGCTGTTGGCGTGATAAATGAAGCTAGAGCGATTGCTCGCTTAAGCGCTTTAATCGAATTGGTCCCAAGCTCGGAATTCAACGTGAGTCGTCGCCGCATCGTTACCGAGCGCGTCGGTGTCGCGTTATTTGTCCGTCTCCGCATCTGTCATATAACTATCAGCACTCACTCAAAACCCTCATCTGGATGTGGAAGAAATGGGGACCGCGTCAAGTTACTATCGGCTTACGTTAAAGCACATCGGGTTAGCAGTTATAGATTAGCTTAGATCTTCCTTGTGAAGTATCGCCTTTATGGTTTATGCCCTGGTCGAGCAAAAGAAGGTGTTGTCGAAGGGCATTAGAGTAATGGCGTCGCTCCCCTTTTAAAGGGTCAGGTAGGAATGATTCTTGACCCCAGCTAGGATGATAGCATTCATAGAAATAGAATCATGAGCTTAACGACTTGGACAACGTGACAATGGACAATGGATAAGCGAAAAAGTAAGTGATTCGAAAACCGAAGGATTAGAAAATTGTACACGCAGACAACGTATGACGCGAGAGGGTTTGTAATGCGAAATGAAGAGAAATGCAAAAAGAGCGAAAGCGTAAAGGTTCAACGTTCGAGTTATGGTTCAGGTTCAGCTATGGACAGGGTGCAAGCCTCATCCCAGCACAAGCCCAGGACAAGCGGCCCCGCTGCTGTGGTAGAAACTAGAACACGACCAATCCGACCGTTTCAGGGGAGCCGATCCCTGAAATAAGCTACTATTCGTAGGGCTGTACCGTAGGACCGGGCCCTGTATGTCTTGGTCTCCCACCACCCAAGAGAAATATAGTTGACGTTCCTGGAGGGTCCTGAAAACCTGGGTAATACCAACTTGGATTTCAGGAACGGAAATGTTGAAATAAAACCTGAGAAGAAAAACGTTCGAGGCGAGGCAGAAGAATAAATTAAATGGTTGCCGAATTGATTAACGCACAGCTTAGCATAGGCCCAGACCGCTACTGTCAAGAAGAGTTTAGGTCAGCCTAAGTCGTGCCGTGCCATAGGCCCCGAATCATCTGGGGGCGGAGTCTTTACAGCTCGATAGCAGGATAGTAACGATTGGCCCCCAATTGATGACCGACAGCTGGAGATGATAGAGTGGACATGCAAGTCAACGGCGAGTTGATAAGTCCACTAATGATACTCTCCACTCTTTAGAACAATACAATTCGCTTGTCCAAATGCTTGACCACAGCTGAAAGGCTCTAATACAACTCTAGGGTGCATGGTATGAGTTCAGGTTTTGACAAGAAAAGAAAGCAATTTCAGGTCAAAGTCTGAAGCTGGCGAAACAACCTATCAACCTTGAAAGTAGAGCACGCCCCGCTTCGTAAAGACAATGCGAGTTGAATCGCAAATCGATCGACCCAAGGTGGAATTGGGTGGACGAGATGACGGGATGGAATGACTTGATGCGGCTAAGAGGTGGTTTATCGATGGCTGCGCCTCACCGGCCATCCAATTGGTTATGAATTGTTTCTTGAGAAGTTAGGAACGAGTGAGCACAGGGCATTGCAAAATGGGGTTTTTGCGCGGTGCTTGCAGAAAGCAGAAAGCAGAGAAATGGACATGCAGATGTGCAGCCAGGAAAGAAGAAAAGTGGAAATTTCATAGTTATAGTCGAGTCTAAGTTGCAGTTGCAATATGTAACAACTAAACAACGCAGTTTCCAGCTCATAAGTCCGTCAGCCCCAATTGATTAGGTACCTCCTAAGTACCTAACTGTATGTAATGGACCTACCTAAATTAATTGAACCAGCACGTGAAGTTGGGGTAAAAAAGGGGGGGGGGGATGGGGGGAGGAGTTGTCCGACACTATGCCATGTCTAAACCTAGCAACGAGCGCAAGGCTGCAGACCGAAGCGACGTCATGATTTATTGAAAAACTTTTACCCCAAGTTGTCCAACTCACCAAAACAATAAAACACAGCCACGTTATAGTCAAGCCCATTCTCTCTCCGTCAGTCAACCTTAGGCATTAAGAGCCGGCTGTGCTAGCAAATCGACCATATTCATCGGCCAACTCAACTAGGTATCGATAGCAGGAAATAGAGGTGGTCAGTTACCAGGCCGGCCATGTCGAACAAGAGCCGTAGGGATTACGAGGCGGAAGTGCGGTCCTGGGGCTTCTCTCACGTCTTCACTTGGACTGACGGCCCGTATGTTTCAGGCCCTACGTCAACGAGTGTAAAAAGGGGTTATTAGACGACGACACTGCTAACTCACAATACTTATGCAGCAATGCCTATTACAGACCGCACTCTCATTCCGGCCTGACAACGCATCTGATCCTGGATGGCCAGCTCACCATCGCCTACCCAAAGGACGCTAATCCGGAGAAGAAGACATACACGGTCGGCGACCGCATTGATGTCGATGCCGGTCGAGTTCACGAGGTCTGGATAGGCAACGATGGATGTACATACGTCATTGGCGAATAACCTTCGTCTAGCGAATAGTAGCAATGTCGAATAAAAGGTGGTAAGATATTACAGATGTAGATGTCGTCGTGTAATTATAACATCGACCGAGTGACTGAATACATACTAACTAATGAACAGAGTAGAGACAAATAGTTCTTTCCAAGGGACAAGATCAATTATGGGCATTAAGCTTAATTCTCGGCGTATGCTAGTCTCGGCTGTGGGAAACAAAACTCTTCGGCACCCGATATGTCTGGGCCACCGTGGCGGTGGTTCCAAACGCCATCTGTACGATGTCCCTTTTGACATGAGCAGATGAGTGAATCAGCCATTCGATCAGCCTATAGGTATGAGCCTACGGGGAAGAAACGTGGTGACAGTGCGCCTAGCTCTATATACAAATATTAGAGAAGTGCCCGGATTTATAACATTCTCCTAATCGTCTAATGATGGGGGGAAAGACTGCGATTCTAGAATACCGACATGGATCAGTGGCTTGCTGGAGCTTTGTCATAATAAGCGCGGTAGAAATTATATTATCGACCTCAGCCTAAGTGAGAATAAAAGTTTTCGTAGTCTTACATGTTAACATCATGTGAGGCATGCGCAAATTAAGAGACAATCGCAATATTTAACCCAGGCCGCTCGTAAAACCCGGTTCAGTTTGGGGCTCCTATCCTCGGAAACCTATGGAAATCGGCTTCTACCGTTATACTCTTCGGGATTTGGTACGGTGGATGATCAAAACATGCGGAACTTACCGGTCGGATTTTGAGCTCTGTATAGCCCTTCAGAAGCCAAGGGTCCGATCTAGTCTTACCATCTTGAAAGAGGAATGATATAGCGAATTGTCTCCCCACTCAAATAGGTTCATGACCGACGATTACTTTATCGGATCGGGTATGCCGATATCTAATATTCCTCTTTAAGTGGCCTCACGCGGGTATTTTGTCATAGGCGGTAACCAGGATAGCCGCGATGACCTCAGAAGCGGCATCTCGGATGATGTCGCCACCACTAGTAGGTCCCATAGAGAGATAACAAGTCGGCAGACCGATAGCCTTAGATCGCCAGTTGAGTACGATCGTCACTGAGGTTCAAGTTAGACAAGCGCCAATAGTTTAAGATCGCACATAATCAGCTGAAATCTTTTACTTTCCGCCCTATCATTCGAATGTACAACCCCACGAACGAGGCAAACATGTATGTAGATAGAATACTTGCTGACAAGTTGCGGCAAGATGTCGTGTAATATCGATCTTGTGCGGGCTTGTTGTATCACGACATTCCGGGAAGCTGACGAGTCCTCAAATCTATACCTATTAGAAACCGTGAGGGTATCGGTTACACCACGGGGTGGGCATTAGCCACGGCGCCGGGCGTGTTGAAACAAACATCTCCCAACCCCTATCGGAAGCTGTAGCTCGATGTCCGCTGTTGAGCAGCGGGGCAACGGTCATACTCGCACGAAGTTTGCATTTGAGGTTATCGTCCTGCATTGGTATGTTGAGAGGCGTCGTCAGAAGTGATAAGCGGGTATATCGGCCATACTGTCGAAATATATAAAATATATATATATTTCAGGTAAAATCACCTTGTCTACATGTTATTTCAGTTTAGCTGCTCACAAACTAGATTAGCCTCCCTGGCCATAACGATAAATTTAAATGAAGCATATTCTCACGTTAATATGTTCCTACGACTTCGGCTTGTCCGCCCGGGCCAAATGAATAAGCTAAATCAGCCGCATCCTTCTGTCGTGGGGCTTAATTGAAGCTTGCGTAAGAAGTCCGCATAGAGCATGCGGTAGCACGACGACAAGAACGAATGATGGCGAGTTGTGAATGAAGTCGCACTGCAGTCTAATGGGACATCCCGTCTTCCAGTAACGCACTGATCTGCGATCTGCACCAAGGGTATCAAAAGTTTAATCGTACGCTCTGTATATTGTCAATAGTGTCATAGTCAACAGTGTCATAGATGTCTTTGACACAGCTCTCCGGGCCATATGTCGAGTGTAGGGAAACGTTAGAACTTAAATCGACTCATGCTAATATTGATAGTGACCTGGGAATTCTTAACCGCCATCGGAGAAAGGAGATAACCAAGATGGGAAACTTCATTTTTGCGTCAGTATTAGCAAACGGCAACCGCATACATGAAACAGCTGACCGTTGTACAATAAGGCGGTGAAAAGGAAGATTTGCTGTCACCAAAATAACCTGCATATGTCCTATGTATGTAGGTGGTCAGGCAAGAACAGAAAGTTTCGGGAGGTCAACACCGAATCAAGGTTTCGCAACATTTGTAAATTCTGAATATGATCAAGTGGTGGGGGTAAATCTTTACGATTACGATGTTGCGGAATCGATCCCTCCTTCATCTCATTGGTGTAAAGTACTGTATACTAGTACTGTATGTAGACTACCGGCATCTCTGATTGGAGACGCTTAACGTGTTTCTGTATTTCTGTAAACAATGTGGCGCGTGTGTTAAATCCGACGCTATGCACGAGGCTTTTTCGCAAGTAACGTCCTCAATGTCATCAGCGGCTTCTGAAGGATTACCCAATATTAAAACGTGTGGGGAGCAATGTCGGAAGTGTTAGGAAGAGGAAGTATTCCTTTTGTTGAGGAATTAGTTGGATATTTGAGATTTGAAGCGCCGGCTCAAGAGAATCAGAGAACAGGGCCGGAGTGTTTGAAGCGGTAATCCTGGAGAATTGCTAGCATAACCCTGTAATCTTGTTCCCCCCGGTCTTTGTGGCTGGTCTTGGTCCCGCTTCGCGAGATGCAACATTAGGCCTACATATGCAACATCATGCAACATCAGCCGTACTTGTGTTATCGAAGCTTAAAATTGCTCTATAAATCATAAATCATAAATCATACGCACATACATGATAGGTAGGTATATGTGGATATAAGAAAAAAGATCAGACCGAAACGCGTATGTTTGTGACGAGAGTATGACGGGTATCGATAACTAGAATCTCGGAGAGTTGACTTAATGTAGATATGAGTTGATGTTTTATGTGAGGTAAGTGAGAACATATCGTAAGTATTACATAATATTAAGGTGTTAAACTACGCTCTCATCCTTGCAAAACTTCGGATATCGGAGACAACGGGATGAAATAAGGTAATAGCCTTAAGTCATGGGCCTAAGTATAGCTTAGCGAAGGACTTTCCGTATTCAGCAGTATATGATTGATATCTGATAGAATAAAAGAACAGTGCCGTACTATATACTATACAGAGGATGGATTCATGCGAAGTGATACCGAACCCATTGTCTCGCATATGTGAGCAAGGATAAGCTACCCGGTAGCATATAGCTGTCTTTGTGGCATCTTCAGACGGATAGCTCGGTTTAGGTTAGAGTAATAGGATATTGAATTAATCAGGTGTGGTGTTTGAATATTGTAAATTTACTGTAGCTTCGTTATTGTAGCTCGAGCCTTGGCTATAAAAGTTCCGTGATCCTTGCCTACATGTATGTATGCAGCCCAGAGTTTAAAGTACTTCATGTAGTGAAAGTACATCATGTAGTGGTCAAATAATAGAATTCGGGAATGCCTTAGCTGCTTAGATAGTTGACAAGTTGATAGGTACACTACTAACAGGCACATGGCCTTGGTTTAGTGCCTAAGAGTATGTGTCTCTAGCTTTCCCAATTTAGGTCAATTCCGGTCTCCAATCGGTGCAGGAATGGAGATTGCAGGGGTATGAAGATCAGACAGGTGCAGGGGGCAACGGGTTGGCGTTGGCGTTGGCGTTGGCGGGGCTTATAAGCGGACCTTGGAAAAGGTACTTTGTGTAATATGTACTTTAAAGACGGCTGCTAAATGCGTACAACATATGTAGGTACTTTTGTGCCTTCTTACCTTACCAAAATTATAGAATGCTAATTTCCGTGGCTTCCCATACTTCCCATAGCTTTTAGCATGGGAAAGTTAAGCGTCTCAGTTGCCGCGCTGAAGTAGCAAAAGTAACATACAAGTCTCGTCTTAATTTTCTACATCTCGATGTCCCATTAAACTCAGTCAAGATCAAGTTCTAAATTCAGGTTTCTTCTGCGTCAAGACTTCCAAGACCCGCATCTCACACTTTGATCCTAGACCAATAACTAACTGCCAATAACTTTTATATTCCCAATCATAGTTCATAGATGCATCTCTCTGTCTCTTTCACTTGCTCTATATTTTACTCAACTCCACCGTACATACGTGCATACAACATACAACATACAACATACATACATGTAACATAACCACAACTACCTACCTAAGGTAAACTTATATGTAAGTGTACGCAAACTTCTACACCTCCTGCACATAACACTCTTTTCTCCTTTGTCTGTTTTATTTGTTTCACACCCCCTACATGATATATGTAGTCATGGGCGCAGATCTATCTCCTCCGAGATATATGTGAATAAAGCAGCATCTTAACTAATGCCGCCGCATTCGTTCCGTCTCAGTGTGAAGCTCAGATAACTCGGTCAGTCAATATATTCGTCTTCTTAAGATGCACTCCGCGTACGGACTGAGATGGACAGGACCGGGGGTGTTGCGTATTTCCTACATATTAATCCATCATCCCGCACCTTTCCCAACCCCCAGCTCACCATCTAGATCAATAACATCTTATCCATCCATATATGTCACCTTGCATCTCAGGGCGTAACCCATGCTACTTTATAATACGCTTTATAATACCTGCCTTAAAGCCTCCTTCATTCTCAAATCTTGAATAGTGCCCGTTCTCGATCCGAGCTTGTCTATTCCCTTTTATGTGAGATTGGTGCGGTTCGTTAATCGCTAATGCTAATGCTCTGTTGAAGCTACCGGCATGGAATTGTCAATGCTTGCCTAATACTAGTACCGCGCCGGTTTTTCGGCTTTGCCCTCACCCAACATCATGGGGAATTCGATCTCCGCCGAAGCTCCATGGAAGGGCCACCGAGCATCTCAAAAATTATCGAAACCTAAGACAAGTAATCCTACCGCAGCTGGCCTGTTGGATACCAATGGCGCCTCAAATCCACCGCGCCATTCCCCGGCAGCGAGACGCGCCTCGCTCCCCCACGCTCCTATATCTGCAGCCCCGCCGATGCTTCCCGAAAAGGATCCTGTCGTATCCGTAGGCGTGCCAAACGGCGAGAAAGGGTTGGATTTGGGACATCGTATTTCGAGGAGACTATTCCGTTCCAAAACCTCCAAAGATGTACCCAGAGATCACCGGAGAAGTAACAGTGTCGAGGTATCGCATCTTCCGCAAGAGCGTTGGTCAAACAGGATAGGTTCTTTAGGGAATGGATTCGATGAAGGCTATAACTATGGCCAAGCTCCTGTCCAAGTGTAAGTTGTGATGCTTGTTTTTCATTATAGAGGTATGAGCTAAATACCATCGTCAGGAGCTTGTCTAAGAACACGTCACGAACTTCGTTTAATTATGACCCTTTCTCTTACGAGACTCAACGCTTGTTAAGTATCGTTAACGAACCGTCTCGCGAAGATAATTCGGCCGGTTTGGAGAATCGAATACACATTTCCGAAGCGATGCGGGGCGACCTCAGGGGACGACGACCATCAATTCCTGAGGCGCCTCCGTCAATAAGTCACAGTAATTCTGACTTGTCTTTATATACCCCTATGCGACGGAGGTCTTTTATGACTCCTGGCGTTGCTACTCGTGAAGTGCGAATGGACTCGGACCTTCCAAAGCTGAAAACGAGATACAGCGTCCCCTCTACTCCAGCGCGTCGAGAGTCTATGGAGTCAATGGGTATTGGTACAATTAGTTTGCCTCATCAATTAACCAATCCAGAGCCTGTACCCCGTGCACTTACCCCTTGTGAGGCGGAATATACACAGATAGGCGCTTTTAAGCTTGGCACCCTCCGAATTACAAATGGCAGTCCAGCAAGGAGCCCGGCAAGGAGTCCTATTCGAGATCTTGACGGTGATACCAAGTACGAAGATTCCGGGATATTGACAGTTAATGGTACAGCAGAAGATTATTTTGGAACGGTACAAGCGGCTCTAACCAACCACATTCAGACCCAAAGCTCCGAGGTTTCGGTCCCAAAAGTTGAAATTCAAATCAACTCTAATACCGAAGGAGCGGCCTCTGCATGCTCTATATCGTCTCAGAGGCTTTCCGAGCTTCCAGGCGAGCATCAGATAAGCCTACCAACGCTTAATGATGGGAAGCTGATTGTCCCAGATATATACGTAACTAGCAAGAATACAGCTATAGAGGATAAACTGTTCGAGGACGACGATCAGGACGAGTATTCGTCAGTCGAGGTTCTAGATGTACGAGTTGACACAAACGCGAGGTCTATGCCACCTTACGCGAAGCCAGCGGCGGACGAGAGGAGCTCCAAGGAGATCAGTAGGTCAGATAGTGGCATTGCGAGCCCTGCTTCGGAGTACTCGGCCGCGCCTTTGTCCAAAGCAGACTCAGGCTACAGCTCAAGTGTTTCACTACGATCGTTTTCTTCAAGGCCACAGGCTTCCGGAAAAGACCGCACTATTGAGGTTATGAGCGATACTAGTGTGAAAAAAAGCAGGCGCGCTGGAGAATTAGAGGCCACGAGTCCTATTATCGCGACAGCTAGTGTTGACATTTCCGAGCCATCTAACGAGCCATCCCCTCCGCCGGTACCTATGAAAGATCCCCATCGTGTTGCTCCTGCTAGCCCCAAGACGCCGGGCGAGCAATCGCCACAATTTCGGCAAGCCCCTAGATCATTAGGCATTTCTCAGCCTGCTCAGGTGCCGGAGAGAGTCTTGCCACCACGCAATACGTGGAATCATCCTAGCCGTGGCATCGAAACTTACCGGGCGTCTCTACGTAGTCTACCTACATCTAGTCCTAGTCGAAGCATCACCACTGGCTTCCGCAAGCCCGGAAAGCTGCAGAGATTTTTAAGTGGAAGTCGAGCACCGCTCGCTGCCCATAATACGCATCCTATTAGGTATGCACGTGTTCCTGCTGTCTCTAGAGATATGCATGCAAAGCTTCAAATGCATGCTGGGTCAAGACCGATTTCGTTCAGGAAATTGGCTCTAAGGTCTGCAGCTAGCAAGGAGACACTGGGAACAATCCTAAGTGTTGGAAGTGCAGAGCTACTCCAAGATGAAGATCTCTCTCCGAAGACCTTAGGCGGTCAAATAATAGCTCCAGATCGGAATCAAGGGACACCAGTTTCTATCGAATCAAAGGCTATGGACAATTCATCCAACTTTTCAAAGAAGTCGGTCCGCCGTAAACCTGTACCCGCTCGAAGTTATTATACATCTCCTAAGCCGCCTACAATCATCAAAACATCTCCGGAAAATAAACTCGTTCAAGTTGCATCACCTAGAACAACCAATAGAGACCCTAGCAATTCTACTAATATTACTACATCAAACGACAGAACGAGATACTCTACATACATTCCGCGGCAGCCTAGCTCAAGTACTGTGGTAAGTCATATGGAAGAGGAATCGAGGGTGATAAATGCCAGACGTAGTTATGAATTCGCCCAAAGCGAATCGCACTCTGCAATATCCCTTGAACTTCCACCACCTATACCAAGTTCGAGATTTTCTAAAAGCCCTCCGCCCGTTAGTATGAGAACCCGGAATATGGGTTCTTTACGAGTTCCTCCACCTGTGAGGTCAAAGTCAACTCCTCCAGAAAACATAGGCCAGCCAGGACAACCTCTCTACCCTCGTAGGGGGAGTCGAGAAGGTAATTTGACGACCCCCGACGTGAGAGGCACTTTCGCAGCAAATCAGACTACGGTATCCAGAAGATCGAGTCAGGGGAATTTTCAAAGCTACCCTCCCGGCCAAGCTCGTCATTACGTTGATAAGTCTTCTGCTCTGCCTACACTAAACGGTGTTCAGCCCACAAGCTTCAGACCGGAAGTGGTAGATCAGGCGCCCAGCTGGGATATTCAGATAGACCATGGTCCTTCCCTTTCTCGACGATCATCCGATTATAGCTGCCGAAGTTCGCTTGCTAGTGAGTCGAGTCGACAAAGCCCTGCAACTACCGGGCCAGCCTTCTTCCGACAATCACACCATTCGCAACCCAATTTACCATTACATCGTCGGCCTAGTTATGAAGAGTATAATATCGTGCCGCAAGACAGCTGTGCTCGGGATAACGGCCCCTACCCATCACTGTCTCGCAACGGACAGACATACGTCTCAGATCCTTGGAGTGGTCGGCCGATGTCACTACCACAGCAATTGGACCAACAATGGGATCAACGTATACAGAATCCTACACATCCCCCTCGACGCCATACTAGGCACCAAAGCATGGATCGGCAAGGTAACCCCATGCCTTATCGGGTTCTTCATTCCTACAACTCTCCTGCTTATCGTCACTTGCCGATCTGGCGATAAACTACATGTCCTACTGCCTTTCCTAAGAGGTGAATTGCAAAAGCTGCCTTGTGCTCTTTGCATTCTTACTTGAGACGTATCTCAACATTTCCAATTATTTCCTTGATATCCCGCATTTTCCCGGCGTTTTACTTTGAGACAGCCCAATGGCTACCATGTGGCCCCCCACTGCATTCATTATTACAAATCATTTTCCTTTATCGGGTGAAAGACTGCGTCCCTGTGGCCGATCTGTGGCATACTACAAGATCAAGGTGAATTTTTGATTCTGGATGATAACGGCAATAATTTACGACGCTAGGCAACGGTGATGACGCAGGTTGGGAGGAACAGTTTGCTCTAATTTTTTTCTTCTGTTCTAATAAACGGAAAATGATACCACGTATTTGACGGACGCACATTCTATACCCATTCGGAAACAGGGGCATCGTTTTCTTCTATTTAGGCGCTATGGCATCAGGACTTGGCAGGTATACGAGTAGTTGTTGCTACCTAATGTTGCTAGAATTGTACATATCATATAGCAACAAGGAATAAGAGATACATAAATGCAAGATAAAATTATCTGCGCCTTCTGGTCCGTTTGGAGGTGGCGACGTGAAACTAATATCATGGGCTACCAACTTAGGTAATCTAGATGAGTCGATATCGTCCAAATGAACAGATCAAGAGTTATTCAGACATAAAAAGGAGATGGGATGGGAGCTTACAGAATCAAATAAGCGTCTCGTGCACAATAAGATATGACTTTTTAATAATATCCCATCTACCCCTCCAGTTACCTAGGTTAAAGTTTTGGCACCAGCAAGCTCTATTGTACTTACTAGCATCTAAGAGAAATAGCTTAGTTGTATCTCTAATTTAACACGTATTTTGTCTTGTCTAGCATCCCCTCCGAAAGGCTAGATGTTGGGTTTTATAGCAATGTCGTTTCTTAAAAATTATTGGGGAAACTTTATACAAGGGGCTAATGTGCTGATTTCTATGAGAAGTTTTAGGCTATAGAACTTGAATGTTTTATATTTATAGTAAAGCATATGCTATTGGCAGCACTTGTGTAAACATATTATGGTTTGTTAGTTCGAGAGGGTTATATGTGAACATAAAAATGTAAGTCTATCATTTATCAAGTATTGTACTTTGAATGCAGTAGTCCGCTTCACTAGGTTAGGTAGTTAATTAATTCATAACATTAAGCGCCTTTTGTATGTCAATTATAATTAGCTGCAACAGTATGAAGGCCCTTATTTTGCTATTATCGGGGGTTTTTCATCTGTTTTTTCTACTTGCGTATTCAACTAATTGGACTCTGCAAGATTGACTTGTCACTTAATAATACGAGTATAACTTTATATAAGGTAATACGAGGATTGGTAGCTATTCCGACTATCCGAGTACGACATACCAACCACCCGAGGGGGAATTGCGGGCCAAGGTGCGGTTTACCGTTGGAAAGCGTAAAAGGTTAGGCGGCCAATCAGGGCGGCAGCTAGTATTTCGCTTGTATCCGCTGCGCTACCTAAGTTAGCACCCAGCTATGCTTTTAGCACTGTGCCCTGTTTGGTTAAGTGTTTGGCTAGGGAATTACGTAGTTTGCTCTGCTAAGCCACAAAAGTTTCTGTGCCTGCACTTGAGGGGATTCGGTTTGCTAAAGGCTAAAGGCTAAAGGCTAAAGTACCTAACATACATAGAACCAAAGCAGAACCACCTTGCATGTGGATATCGTGATGGAGCTTCACACTACACCAATAATACACTCTACACACCACCTACACTACTAAGCTAAGTTGACAGACTTTCAAACATGCCTCGTTGTCAATCTGCATGAAATCAAGACACAAAAAGAAATACGTGAATGTACGTTCTAGTTCACACAATCCGATTACCATATTCGATACTCGATTGCGACCCGAAAGGAGACAGAGAGAAAACAGATACTTGCATAATAAATGCCTGACACCGTCGCATGAATATCGATCCCGATCCCACGTTTCACAACCTTTCCCACCAACAACTAAGCTTTTTCTGAGACCTTTCCCATGAACAGTCTACCCCGGATCTACACCTAAAACAGTGTGACGAAAGCTAACTGATCCTGCGGGGGTCGAGAATAAAATAGCAAAACACATTCAAGCCGCATCTCTCCTGACTGCCCTCGCCCAACATGGCAGACTATGGCCGCCAGTCTCCCGACTTCACCTCTCCTCAAATTCCCGAGCTTGAGCATATAGCCAGCATGTCTCTAGGGAATAGCGCAACTCCACCACCACCCGAAGATGGAGCCGTCTATTCAACGAATGGTGGTGGATTCGAACCTGCCGTGACGAGTCCTAGTCCAGGCGAATCCGAAATGCCCAAGGAAGTACAAGAGGTGCTCGCTTCAGATGTATAAATCCCACAAAGCACCATACACCGAGGAAGACATGGCTGATTTCGCGCAGATTGGCGTTTCCACTATGCTAAATAGGCTTAAGCAAAGCATTATAGCTGCTAAGGTTAGCTATTTTCGATAATACGCTCTATAACTATTCCCCCCGAGTTTCTAACCATTATATCTTATAGGAATTTGCTACATTTCTTAAGAAGCGATCGGACCTCGAAGACCAGCATGCTAAGGGCCTGAAAAAGCTGTGTAGATCGACTCAGGACAACGTCTACCACACAGACCATAGGCAGGGGTCGTTCGCGCAGTCATACGAGGAAATGCTCACGATACACGAACGTATGGCCGAGAACGGAATACAATTTGCGCTATCTCTACACCAAATGCATGAGGACCTCCTTGAGGTAGCTGCGGTAGCCGAGAAACACCGCAAAGGATGGAAGCAGAACGGCCTAGCCGCCGAACAACGTCTGTCTGATGTGGAGAACGCAATGCGCAAGTCCAAGATGAAATACGATTCGCTGGCCGAAGAGTATGATAGGGTGAGAACCGGCGAAGCAAAACAAGGACCCAGAGTCTTCGGTATCAAACCCAAATCAGCAGCACAGCACGAAGAGGACCTCCTACGTAAGGTTCAAGCAGCCGACACGGACTACATGGGCAAAGTTCAGGCATACCAGTCTGAAAAAGCAACCGTCGAGACTTCGACTCGTCCAGAAGCTGTCAAGGCGCTACAAGATCTCATTAGAGAATGCGACTCTGGCACTACCCTACAGATGCAGAAGTTTGGTAAGTAAAAGCGAGCGTAGAGACAAAGTTTGGCATATGGTATTAACAGTTTATTAGCTTCATTCAATGAAAAGCTATTGCTTAGTAACGGGTTGGTGATAAGTCCTCTGAGGACCGTCGCTCAACCAGGTCAGCACTCTCGCAGTCTAAAAGAAGTTGTCCAGGCCATCGACAACAAGAAGGACCTGGAGAACTATCTTATCAGCGTTCATAGCAAAGTTCCGGCCAAATCATCAGAGCCGAAATACGAGAGGAATCCCGTACGTCGTCGGCTATCTGACTTTCGAGCCATGCTCGATGCTAACTTAAGCCAGGTTCTTAACCCTCAGCAAAATGTGTCCCTAAATCAGGTGACACAGATGCATCAGCAACAACAAGCACGGCCGCAGTCTCAGCAGCGACAAGGGTCACCTTCACAGGTGCAACAGCAACCAGGTTCAATGGGCTCTCGAACTGGAGGGTTCGATTCCATATCGTCACCGACTGGGTTCCAGGGACCAGCTCAGAATTTCACTCCCCCCCCTGGACTGGCACAAGTCCAACGGCCGCCTTCAGGGGCAGGACATGAGAGGAGCTTCAGCCATGGTGCAATGCTAAACCAGCCTAGTATGCAGCCTCAGCCGCAGTATAATGTACGGAACTCGATACAAGCCCCTCCGACCCAGCCGCGATTCAATGGTGGTGGCATGGGTGGCATGGGTGGCCCTCCACAACTTGGAGCCTTACCGTTCCAGAACCAGCCGCCTCGAGAGCAAAGCCCTCAACAACAAGGTGGGCAAATAGGCATCCGGGCCCCGCCGCGTAGTGAGCAATCTCCGGCACGATCGACATCGCCTCATGGTGCTGCTGTACCGAAGACGGAGGGAGCAATATCGAGGGGACCGGTCTTTGGGATTTCCCTAGAACGGTTATACGAAAATAGTAAAGGACCCGTACCGATGGTCGTCTACCAGTGTATCCAGGCTGTTGATTTGTACGGACTTGCCGTCGAGGGTATCTACAGACTTTCTGGCTCGTCAGCGCACGTGAATAAGTTGAAACACTTGTTTGATACAAGTTCGTCCCCCCTCCCCCCCCTACGAAGCTGACAGTGAGAGCTAACTTAGAGGGAAAAAAGACGAAGACGCGCCAATCCTGGACTTCCGGAATCCGGAGAACTTCTTCCATGATGTGAACAGCGTGGCAGGCTTACTAAAACAGTTCTTGCGAGACCTGCCGGACCCACTGTTGACATCGGAGCATTACGCGGGGTTCATCGAGGCGGCGAAGAACGATGACGAGGTGGTGCGGCGGGACAGCCTACATGCCATCATCAACGCGCTGCCAGACCCAAATTACGCCACGCTAAGAGCGCTGACGCTCCACCTGCACCGCGTCATCGAGCACTCGGCCGTCAATCGCATGAACTCGCAGAATTTGGCCATTGTCTTTGGGCCAACGCTCATGGGCACGGCACCAGGAGCAAATATCCAGGACGCAGGATGGCAGGTCAGAGTTGTTGATACGATATTGCAGAATACCTACCAGATCTTTGATGAGGATTAGGTTTAGGGAGTAGAGCATTGAGGGAGGTGCATACGTAAGGATCAGCCTGAGACAAGAACTGGACCTGAGAAAGCAGCTAGTCTGTCTGTACAGTATATGAGGTTCGAGTCCGCCCCTTTACGAGAGTACGGTCTAGTGTAATATGCTACAGTTAACTTAATTGTCTAACGAGTAATTTGTTTTCTTCTAGTGGAGGAGGGACGGGGTGGTGGGGATGAGGTAGGGGGTTAGGGGGCAAGGGGAAGGGAATGAGTACAATAGGTGTCTTGGTTAAGATAATTCGTCTTAAAGCTTTGCTTGACTACTTAGGTGGTTGGCTCCTTTTCACCTTTCCATACTCGTGTCTCATATCAACTTGAGTGCATAACTGAACCTTTGAATTTGCGTCGTGGATCTATAATGGTACCCAGGTATAACCCTTAAAGAGTTGCTAACTGTCCGTTGTTGCGGCCGTAACTGTTTCCTTCAAATGATTTGCAATTGATTCTAAGACCAGGTTTATACTGATATTTATATATTTACAAGACCCGGATCCCGGGGCTTGGGGACTAAATCATCGCTTCTGCCGTAATCCGGCTCTGGAGTGAAACCCCGGTGCGGTACATGTCTCTTGGGTTTAAGTGAATTACTACATTATCCCGCCTCCTTCGATGGTCTTACAATTATTCTCCCGGGTCTTTCGAGGGTTTCCGATTCCTGCTACGGCTCCTCTTCCCACGTATAAGCAGGAAGGCCTGTTTTAGCTTGTTATCATAGATCATAGATCATGCTGCTAGATATCCCTAAGCAGCGGCTGGGGCTGCGGGCCCGGTGCTGGTGGCTTGGTTGGGCGGCGGCGGAAGAAACATCGGGAGGTAGGTTACGGCGAGGGCCATGGCTATTTCCTTATTAGACAGGAGGGGATACCAGATTAAGTATTGGCAGAAAAAGGATGCTTACCGGACATGCCAATGGTGAAGTACCCGGGAGTGCTGGCGCTGCTCTTACTGGTCTCCTCACTCTCGCCGAGCCAGTTCTGGATGCTGATGACGACCGAGGCCCAGCCGATATACCTGTTCCGCGTAAATATGGCGGCCATGGGGAGTGTGGATGAGAGGGTCGAGGAGATTTCGGCGCTATCGCCGGACTTGGGCGCGGGCTCCTGGTACGGGACGACTGTGATGGGGGAATGTGTTAGTTAATGCGACGCGACAACGATGCTATGCGATGCGATGCGATGCGGTGTGATATGTGATGTGCGGATGAGAGAGCTTCTTACCCAGGTCTGGCCTTCGCATATCCTTCTTAGTGGACATATTTTCCCTTCTCCTTCGTAGGAATCTATTATTCGGGTAACTCGGCGTTGGTATGATATTGTAGTTGGGTAGGTATATTATAGAAACGGAGATGCGATGTCGTTGAGATGCATTGCTGCAATCCAGTTAGGCCTAAATCCAAGTGCTGCAGGGTCGGACCAGGATGCCGTTCAACGCTAACCCCCTTTTAGCGGGCTGGCTTTCCTACCCTTTTTCCCCACCTTTGTGCGATGAAGCCACACGGCGGGGATCAGCCAGATTACATACAGATCTACATACAGTCGGGGTCTACTGTGCGTGAATATAGTTTATACGGTAATAAGTAGAAGTACCTATCTAACCTTAGATGTAGCCTAGGTACAAACATCGATACCCCCTGGGTTGCAACATTGAATACGATACAAAGGTAACCAACCCCAAGTTCGATGTCGTCGTCTCGTCTCGTCTCGTCTCGTCTTGACTCGACTCGACTCGAGTCATTATATTCAGTATTACCGGTGTCACCCATCGTACATGTAAAAACGAAATACCGAAGAAAGCTAAGAGGATCTTAGAGGATCTAAGAGGGCAGGAAATGGCGGAGTAGCTTCGTACTTCGGCCGGCACTTTTGTGCCATCGCGATCCCCCTAACAGTTAACTCCATCTCCAGAGGTCGCTCCCCGTTCGGCTTTTGCCAATGTCTCATCAATCTTCTTTGTACGACATCAGCGTCGCCTCGCGCAATGGCACAACCGCTTATTTCTGGCCAAGAGCCCGGTTCGTGGATTCTCAATATATGCGGCTTTTGTATACGGGTTACGGGTGAGCACCAACGAGACGAGCCCAGCCTCTCTAAGTTTCTGAAGATATCCGCAAGAGGCGATTGTCGCTGGTGATCTCTCCTAATACATTTCGGTAGTGACCTGGAACATCAACCGTGAGGGGTTAATGCTTTCTCAACTTCTGAACCGGGAATTTCATGCGATCACATCTAGGTAGTCTTCTAATAAGAGGTATTTGAAATTTGTGGCTATTCATATCTCAGCATACAAGCGAGCAACGTCATTCTGGAGGGAAGCGGAGGTCGCTGTGGCCTTCTTAAGTACGTGCATCCAACGACGTCTCATACTAACAATAAATTTGTCGAGAACAATCGTCGCCACGATAATTGGTTGAGCTCCTTTGTTTCTCCTTGCAGGAAGCCAACGAACAAAATAGAGTAATAGTAACCCAAGTCTACATTTTTTCTCATTTAGCACTCTCGTTTAATTAATAAAGTCTAATGTTCGGTTCCGTTACATCGCCGTCGTCTCTATCTACCTACTTACATCTAACCAATATGGTATCCGAGTTGTCCACGCAAACTCGTCACACATAAGGGATTCGATCCTGCATTGGATCTGTAGACCTGGATACACAACAGCTACCTACTCACGGCCGAATGGGCCTCCGGCGACTTTGATTGTTATTCGTATGCGGCAATTGGTTGCGGGGCTTTCTCTACGAAAGGCCGCCGGGATTCAGTCAACCATTTGTCAGAGATACAAGACCGGACGCGGGTTATTGATGACCTGCGTCTGGGGCTGGCTGCTGGCTGATAGGGCCTCCGGCCTTGGGGGGACAAAGTAAACGAGAGAGGAGTATTGATAAAATTCCCAAAGCCCAATGAAACCACCGGAGACGGTGTTGGAGTAGTCTCTGATAACACAATGGGTTTGATCAACAAAACAATTCATCCTCCGCAACTGTGAAATGATTTTCCCGCGCACAAAGGAGCCTATCAGGTAGTCTCTTGTCTTGTGATTACCGCTTGCATCTTTGGGCGCCATAACAATTTGACAACACCTGCTATGTTGTGCGTTGTAGTAGTAGAACGTGCCATCATCTCACGATACCCACGTACCATATGATTTGTCGTGGGTTAGCTACCCAAGCTACCTACGTATAAGGTAGGTATGTATGTACGGATTAGGAGCATCTCAATTCATTTATTTGGGGGCGAATTTAGCAAACCGCATATGTATACCAGGAGATAGGGTCGCCAAATCTGGACCGGCCTGCCCGGTAAACTAGCAGATTTACCCCGTCCAGGGCCTCGGTTCAGCCCCCATCCTCTCCCAATTCCCTTCTCCTATTCCCCTTTAGGCTTTGGTAGATTTCTTTAAGTCCGTTTTAGTCTGTTGCGAGTTGGAACTAGATTTGTAAATTGGAAAGTTCCTCATCCCGCTGATTACGGATATTGCGTGTTGTAAGCTTGTTCGGCGTCTTACCTAGGTAACGAACACATTCGCGGGGCGAAGCCATCGAATCTCCGAACGAAGCCCCCCCTATCAGGCTTCCCAACCAAATTCTTAACCAGAGGCTGACGCTGCGGCGCGGGAAGGAAGTATTAAAAAAAGGAGCTGATAGCTGATATGATGATTACTATACGTGTAATCTAGATGCCACGATAGCCGCGGGTTACATCCCAGTGCCTTGCAGCCTAAGCAAGGTAAGGCAAGATAGATTCAGCAGGTTCGGTAAGTTACGGGGGAGAATGGGGAGATGACCAGCGTCCTCGTGGACGCCTAGGAGATCGGCCTGGTCATGAACTTGGATTAGTACGATTGTTTAGGTGGTGGTAGGTAAGTTAAGGGTTTTGAGGCTTGGCTATAGGGACTAACTTGGCTAAGCTAAGATAGCGTGGCAAGTATTTAATCGTATTGATCTACTGTGTATCATGATATCCGGATATGTTTACATATGTTAGGTACCTAACCTAACGTTGGAGTAGGTATTTTTTAATTTTTTAATGTCGCTTGAGTCCGACGAATCTGGCGAATCTGGGTTGGTACCGTAATATGTTGTGGAAAGGGTACATGTATGTGCTACTACTATTATCAATATGTTCTTTCATTTATATTTGTTATATTCATTGTTATTTTGGTAGGTGCCCGGTCAGGTATGAAGAGTAGACGGAAGGGGGAGTAGGTAGGTATTGTGAGATAGGTAGCAGAAGCGCAAGTGCGATGGTGTCACCACCCATTGATCTCCACCCCCTGCCACCCAGATCAGAATCCAAGCAGCAATTAAGCAGCCAAGGTTTAATGTATGTACCTACCAGACCCAAAAGTCTATTGCAAACCCGCCCTGGGACCCGCTTGCATGCCTTCTTCTAGCTCTCACTGGTTCAGATTCCCAGATGCGGTCAATAGTTACTGGCAGGTTACTGGCTGGTTACTGGTTAGGTACTAGCCACCAGCTTACTTTAGGTACCTCTTTTGGTTTCCTGGGTTGCTACCAGTGCAGTCTTTGGGCCACTACGCATTCTTACCGCAACCCCGATTTACCTTTGCCGTTACCACCGTATCGCCGCTACGGACGTGTGAGGCGGAAACTGTGTGTGTGTGTGTAATCATAGAAACACCCTCTTTTTTAGCTTCACAACATCTTACCACATCTATACCATACACATGTTAAATTCCGCTATACACACGAGGCTTCGTTTGACTTGTTTGTTTTCTCTCATTTGGCCTCACTTCTATTCCTACTGGCCTCCTCCGAGGTATCGTCGATTGCATCCAAGCCTCACGGTATCGCATCCCTAGGTAGACTCGAATTCGCTTTCCTCCAATCCGCAATCCGCAGTCCGCAGTCCTCAATACGCAATACGCAATACGCAATCCACAATCTACAATCTACAATTCCACCGCGTACGTAACGCTCATTTCGACTACGTGAAGACATGGCGCATCAACGCATCGCTCGCCCGCGATGACCTCCAGGCCCCCTATGGCCGTCCCTCAGCGACAGCCTCAGAGAACACTAAGCGGCTCGGGGTTGTCGCAGTCCCCTACTCACCAGCGAACCCTCTCGCAACAATATTTACCCCCGTCCCCTATACGGAAATCGGAGAGCTTTAATGAGCAATCTATCGATGCGGGCGATGTCGCACAAAATAGATTTAATACAATCCCAAGAAGGGGAGGGTCGAGGCTCAAGCTCGAGCTCGCCAATGATGGCATCGAGCATCCCGGCTTCAGCGAATCCCCGCAAAACTTGGATACCCTATCCGCCAACAAGGTCTTTACCCCGTCGCGGATGATGTCGATGAATGATGCATCTGATGCTGGCGATCTAACTCCCCGAACGTCGAGATGCCAAACGGCCGATGATGATTCGGTTCCCCTGCCCATGCCGCCTCGCCGAATCCGATTCGTTGTACCCGTCAAACGGTCAGAACCTTCGAGTATCAGTACGCCTCCTAAGAAAGACGCCCGGCCGAAGCCCTTCGTCCTCGATCCACCGTCGATTGCTGCTCGCTACCCCAACACGGGCAAGTCGGAGTCCACCGGTAAAACTAGAAATAAGGATGTGCCCGCTCGTGCGTGTACTGACCCATGTACAGGAGTTGCCGATTTCTATCGTTGGAACGGATCACATCCTGAGGATCAGTTTTCTGATAATATTATTAGGCATGGATATTTCGACAAGGCACCGGCGCAATCTACGCAGGAGCCTGCGTCGGCCAAGGCTTCATTGTTTCCCGCGCTGAAACATAAGACTGGCCTTCACACGTTATCCACCGTTTTTACCAGCATCCTCAATCAGAGGAGACATAATGGCCAGATCACTTCGGCTTCTACCTTCAAACCCCCGCCTCGAGTTACGCTAACCGACACGAAAAGAGAGATATGGCTCAAGGACCTTGCTAATCCAGCTATCTCCCTCAGACGCCTGAGTCGAACTATCCCCCACGGTATTCGCGGGAAGGTCTTGCTTGAGCAGTGCTTAAATAAGAACGTTCCCACGGAACGTGCTGTTTGGCTTGCAAAGTGTGTCGGCGCAAACGAGATACGAGCCTTCAAGAGAAAGGGGGCAAATGGCATCTTTGTTATGGGCGGAGAAGCCAAATGGATTAGAGACTGGACCGTGTTTGTCGAACAGTTCGTCGAGGCCATCTGTAATGCTTTCAGTGAAGATGATTGGAAGGCCAAAGTTACATATGCGTAAGTGACGGTGCTACCTTGTAGAATGATATTCATGCTAACCGCTTGTAGCATCCGCCTGGCTACTCATCTTTACGCTGAACATCTTTTGGACCGCGACCATTATATGGACTGGCTGGTCTCTGGCTTGGAAAATAGTAACCAGGCCAAGCTCCCCATGTGGCTTTTAATCATCCAAATATACTGGAAAGATCTTCTCAAATTAAGGAGACATGGACGACGTTTAGTCAGCGCCATTTTGTCTCACCACTCTTCTGTATGCCCCCAGCGACATCTCTTAGCCCCAGTCAATTAACTCAATGAGCAGATCTATCATCATCCCGATCGCGATATTTTACTGCCTCTTGCCACACGATTGCAGTCGCTGGTAGAGTCGTTACTCCTTACTTGCCCGGAGAATTTCATTAATCCTGGGGCTTGGTACAAGTTTCGCGACTCTTTAGCCGAGCCCCCTAGATCTAGTAGCAACGAAGCTAGATCAAGAGCTTTTAAATCAATCGATTTGCGTAATGACTATTTAACTAGTTCCAATGCCAAATCGCAGCCTGCTCTCCGCAGCATAGTAGTACAGCTACTTGATAGCATACATCGAACACCTCTCGACACGGATATTCCAAAGCGACTTTGGAAAACGAGCGATAACAAGTTGCCGATAGTCAGAACTATTCTCGAATGGTGTACTTCCCTGTATCGACCTGGGATTGCGAAAGTGTACATTGCCACAACGCTTCTGCGTTCGTCATCTGCATTGGATATCGATGTCACTAGAGCCGTGCTAGACTTTCTAGATACCGACTCGCTTGAAGAAACTGCCCGAAAGCAGCTTGTATACCATCTCGTGTCGGAACTCGTTCGCTCTGGCCACTTCTCAGTTCCTCAGTATATCCAATGGCTTATATCTCGCGGTGGACTTTCTTTTTCCTTTGAAGCAGCACGTGACGGGCCATGTTTCACGAGGTTACTTGTTGAGATTCCACTCCATTGTCTAAACGAGTCCATGAAAAATGTGAGGGCAACCTTACTGCGAAGGGCGTCGTATTCGGTCGATGATGAGGCCCAGGACATGGCAATGGCTATCAGTTGCATCAAGAGCACTCTCTCCGTTCCACTGGGACCCGAAGATCCGCTCCTACAGAAGATGCCCATGAGTCTAGACAAGCTATCGAAACGGATCAAGTTAAGCAGTCGATCTCTAAAGACGACTATTTCCTCGTGGCTCAGCAGCGACTTCATTAGCAGCGTCGTCCAGAATTCGCAATCGGGCAAAGGCGGTGTTGAACTACCCAAGAACACGTTTGAGATGGTTCGGACTCTTCTCGAAGCCGCCGAGGATTATACTATGCTCGAAGAGGTCTTGAAGCTAACAGCGACATACTCGAATGCAGAGCTTCTCGCACTCTGTGCCGATACTATCAATCTTCATTTACCAGTATTCACCGCAACTGGAGCAGCTAAGCCACTCTTCCAAATTCTCTACGAACGACTCAAAACCATCATGGAAGAGCAAGGTGTCGGTGCCCGTCCGCTTCTAGCTTCTCTTGCTTATCTAGTACCGCGTCTACCCGGCCTAGAAGACGTGGCAACCCAACTACAAAACGATTTGATACGTATAGACCGTAGTAATGCTGCAGATGCCTCGTCGCCGTTGTCTGACAACATGGCCACCCAGCTTCAAGACGCCGAAACAGAGCTAAGTGAGCAAATAGAGAAGCTTGCTAGTTACACCAGTGCTGATAGGCCGACAATGGAGCGGTTGTTCTATGCAATCATCAAGAAGCTACAAGTTTACTGGGGTAAAGCAGATGAGCGTCAGCGACTTTGCTGCATCCTTCTCACGAGACTTCGTGTATTTGATATTCAACATTTCGGCGAACTTATGAGAGGATGGATTCAACACATTCGCAAGCTAACGAACAGGCCACATATCAACCAGTTATTTCCACCTCTGATGAGCTCAGGCTGTCTACCTCTCGCAATATTGTTCGCAACCGCTTCCAGGAATCAAGATCAAACTACCCAACCCCAGCCGAACGCCGTCGGGTCTGCTTCCGTCTACATGCAGGAGGTATTGCAAATGTTAATCATGCCATGCAGCCCGAGTTCTATGATGACTTCAGAGGACTGCTATCGCTTCCGTATCGTCCAGGACAACGCTAGGCGTGAGCACGCCAGGGAGTTGATGCCGTTGGTCCGTGGGGCGTTGGCCGAGTATTCGACCTCCCTTAATCAGCACACGTCGATTCCTCAACCGCTAGATAACAAACAATTCGAGGCTAAAGTACTGGAAGTCCTCCGATCTTTAGTACTTGTCGATCCAAACGCTGCCAGCCAAATTGTTTCGTTAAAAAGTCCCGATCCGAAATTAGCGGCACTTATCGAAACCTGGACTACGAAGCTGCTAGTACCTCATAGCGGTGGCGGCCAGAAATCATTTGAGCAAGTTTTAGAATTGGCAAATGAATTTACGCTACCTTTTTGCCAAGTCAAACTTTCCCTAAACCTTGCAGTTGATGATTTAGGATCAACAGAGGCATCGGAGAGAACCCAGTCGCAATTCGAGCTATTGTCGAAAGCACTTGACAATGCCATCGACGCTAATAATATCATGTGGACAGGCATACTCCCTTCTCTTAGTCCTGATATTACGCAGCACATGAGAAACCGAGCGGAGTCGCGCTTGCTAGATACCATTCCATCTCTTAAAAATCCTCCCGGAGATGCCACTTTTGATAGGGATATCCGCATGGCGGAGAATCTCTTGACGGTTATCGATTCCATATTCCGTGGCGGGTCGGGATCAAAAGTGTTCCAATTTTCTAGCGCTCTAGTAGACAAACTTGCAGACTTGTGGGATATCCTAGCCTCAAGAACTGGCGAGTACGCATCACTTCAAGCCGCTGTGCTCTCGCGCTGGCTGCCTCTTATATTATCTTACCTGACTCTTTTCACCTCACCGTCCACTAATGCGTTGGATGCATCGCGGTTGTCTGGCGGTGAAATTCGTGGCCGTGCTTTAGTCGTCCTCGCAGGTCTCATCCAGGAGCTCGATAATCACCCATCCTCCAATCTCGGACAAAAAGCCTTCGACATCGCGCTCGTGCTAGCCGATAACTTACCCGAAGAGGCGCGCCTATTATGCGTACGGGCAGTGAAAGATGCCACGGCTGATCCTAGGATCAGATACCTATTCAGCTTCGCTCCGAACCCGGCTGAAAACGTAATGCTAGCCCATCGCGAGAAGCCGCCCCAGGGAATCCAAGAAAGGAGGGCAATGGCGATGGGCATGAACATGATACCAGAGAAGCTAACCCCCTTCGTGTTCAGGAGGTGGGAAATCCTCAACGAACCTACCCCTGTCGTAGGCGAGAACGATACAAGTCTAAGCTTAACGCTATTCGACGCCAGGAAGATCAAGTAAATCGCTCTACTGGAGAGCTTATACGCTCAACCACCTTATTTTTTAATGTCTTCTGGCTTGTATCGATACGGATTAGAATTTATTACGGAGAGGCCGGCTAGCCTATCGAGAACCTTGAAGATAGGGGTTTTCACTTCAATAGCCAGAGTCGTCGTCTTATCCATAAAGAGGCGCACGACCTATCCCGCAAGATTAGACGGGATATACCCCGAGCTTCTTTCGGCTACCACTTCTGCTTATTTTTTCCTTTGTCTTCATAGGGTCTCTTAGTCTCAACTTGGGGAGTCTCACGGCATTTATGACTGTCACGCATTTGCTGAGCCGGGGTCTTCATCTCTTATCTCTCTATCTTGGCGCGCGCTCGCCCGCGCGTGTCGTGCGCGTTATATGATGATACCTGGGCAGGATTTGCGAAGAAAGAAGAAGCAGTAGGACAGGACGCTTTTTCCAATTTTTTTCAGGGACATCGGGTTCACGGTTGGGTTTCCGGTTCGGGGTTGGGGCTAGGTTATCGGCTCTACCGATCGTGTTTATTTAGGGGGAAGTGGAGTGGACTGGCTGTATAGAATCGGTTGTAGGGGAGATGAGAGGTGATGATAGAATAGGTGTTGTAAAGCAGCGAGATAAGAAACAAGAGACTTCATTTAAATAGCTTTATCGTTCATCGCGCTGTTAGTGACTATTGTGGTTATAAAACTTGCTATGCTGGACACTATAAATTAATACCGGTCCGTTGTCTTGTTCCTTGGGTGTCAATGACAGGCCATGGATGCTTCATTTTTATTAAGCTCCAATAAAGGGGAAAGTAAGGATGAGTTTTGAGCGGACGTTAAGGTGGCCCGAGGAGTGAAAATAGTGATGGGTCGAACTAGGCAGGAGTATCAAGATACCTAACAGGTGATACACGAGGCTATAGAAAATCTGGTAGTATTTCCTCAAAGGATGAGTTAATTTATTAGAAGTTCTCCTAAAAAGTAGAAACCAACACCCAGGATCTCAAGCTCTTGTAAACTATACATAGGTAGTTATTTCGAATTTGCCAACGTCTTGATGTAAACATATCGCTGGATTTTGGACACCTTTGAGTATGTTGGATAAATCTAAATCTACTACTCGACAACAACGATAAAGAAGACACCGAAAAAACAGGGCTGTTTAGATGGGTGGGTAAGTACCTAAGGTGAGTGGGAGACTTCATAAGAGTTACTAGTACTAATTAGTATGCCTAATGGAACGTTTTGATTATGGTAGAACGTTACTATGTCATGTCATGTATTAAAGAGTTCCCTCAACAAGCTTAATGCAAGGTTATCATCCTTGTCGATAGTATCTTGCTCGTAAGCTCTCTCCGGAATTATTAGCTGGGGAGTGTATTATTACGGATAGGTAATACATGAAAAAGGGGGTTAGAGCCACTACTAGAATTACTTATATTTAAAGACCTCTTATACTAGTTTTTGTATAAAAGGAGCCAATATCAGTTCGTTGTTTGTGGCCAGTTTACTACGCATAAAAAAGGTTAGCCGTCTATACGCAGTATCATTTCTATCGGCTCGAGGTTGTTGTACACCTCATTCACTAATATCTCTAATGGAAATTTTATAAGTTGAAGAGCCATAAACTCAGGTATTTCCAGAGTCTTCAGTGTAAATGTCTAGTTCAAGTATTATAAGCCTCGGCAGCCCCGAGTTTGAATAACACTTTTACTTCAAGTCATATTCTTATAATCTAAATCTATCAAGCACCATTCAAACTTCAAGAGTTCATATCATCTTCAGTTTATTCAAGACTTTGGTGCTAACAGTAGCATTATATGATAATATTCGTTTCTTGACTTAAAGATGTGCTTATCGGATAGGAGACCTAGGGCTCATAATGAAGGAGAGATTCGACAATAATGGCGTGACTGTAGGCATGGGAAATGATTAGGAGTCATGAGCATTCATTTATTGCTACCACTGAGCTCTTATATACAAGAGGTCATCCCCAGAGTGCAATATGAGCTAAAAAAGCTGAGATGATCGCGAGGTTCCACGAGCGTAAAGGAGTATCTAAGATTTATTCGACCAGAAAGAGCATAGGAAGCTAATTTGAAACCAACGATACACCAACTAGCGAGTTTTCTACCTTAGATGTACTTGGATGATATACATTTAGCCTACTTTATATTTCATTGTATATATGACCTCCTAGTTTATCAAGCATGAAATTACGATATTTAGATTGTAACTTTTCACACCGTAACAATATAAGTTGCAACCGGGGACATTTACCACCAACATAAATCAATAACTGCTTTAAACTATCAAACTACAGCACAAAAAAGATTAACATGTATTCAAACAAGAAATGTAGATCCAAACGCCATTTCTCCATATTCTTCGTATCTCGTTTTACCGCCTCTTTCTCTCTCCCCCCCCCTTTTCCGCCGGTATCACTTATCATAGCCCGCGAAACCCGGCTAGTGGCGAACTAGTATTCATATACTACCACAAGTAATAGCAATGGAAGTAATATAAGACAAACGTAGTTGAGTGAAATTACGATTTCTTTCTTTCTTTCTTTCTTTCTTTCTTTCTTCATAGCTCATCCCTGATAAAGGTATGGCTGCCGAGGACCCACGACAGCGGCGTCTCGACGCAGAACTGGCCGGTTGGGCTGGCGTACGTCTGGTAGATGCCATGGGATGTGGGAGTCTGGGCGCTGCCGACGGGATCAGTGGGTGTTGCGCGACTGGTGGGAGTCTTGTGACTTCTGTACGTTGCATAGCTTGTCGAGGTCGCGTACTCGGAGCTGGTCGCGTACTCGGAGCTGGTCTCGTAGTTCGTATGGATGGTATATCCGGTGCTCGACGAGTAGTCGGGATCATGATAATCGCCATCCTTAGTTTTATAACCATCATCGGTCTCATATCCATCATTGGTCTCATGTCCATCATTGGTCTCATATTCATCATCGTCATGGTATTTGTACTCCCCATCCTGGCACCACGACTCCTGTCCCACTTCAAGGTCGACCTCCTCGCAACCCTCAGGCCACGTACTGTCGATGTGGAACGTGACGTACACCTGTCCCGAACCCGGCATCTGGCAGTACCGCGCCCGCCCGCCGTAGAACCCGTCGTCGTACCAGCGCAGATATCCATCTTCAACGTCGAACCTGCCGGCTGCGGAGCCTCCGCGCGTCGAAGATGTTGTAAACGGCTCGTACAGGACATCTCGGCGCGTCGTTAGGAACTCTCCGCCGCTGCTAATCATACCGTCTGTTAAATCGAAGGTAGTTGCGTCTGCACAGCTAGGTGGGTTGGCGGGCGTAGAGCCTACGAATCCCTTGTCGTGGTGGTGGTGTTTCTTGTCAGAGTGGTGATGTTTCTTGTCGGAGTCGTGATCTTCCTTGTCAGAGTCATGGTGTTTCTTGTCGGAGTGGTGGTGTTCCTTATCAGAGTCGTGGTGTTCCTTATCAGAGTCATGGTGTTTAGGGTGTTTATTCTCGGTATCCCTGCGACTGATAGAGTCACGGACCGGGACGATGGCGAGCACGATAGGAGTGTTGGAGTTGGTAACGTCCGGGATAGCTGAGTTGGATGGCATAGCGTGCCCGACGATAGTCGAGGAGGAGATAGGAGACGACCTCACCAAGGAAATAGTCGAGGTGGAAGTATACCGGATTGAAGCGCTCATAGTAGTGTGAGAAGAAGCTGAAGCTGAGTTGACCTGACCCGATAATACCAGCAAGCTAGTCGCAACGGCAGATCTGACCTGAATCGACAGCCCCATCGTGGATTTGGACGTTTTATATAAATAAGTCTTACCTCGTGTGAAAAGATTATAAATAAACGTCGGTAGATTACCAAAAAAGTAGTATTAGTTTAGTCGGATGATACTCAGCAAAAGAATCGACTAGATGGGCGAATTTGGAAGTATTTGAATATGCTATTCCGACCAACATTTTCTGTCTGGAATAATGTAAATAACTAAGGGGAATGTTCTATTTTATTATGAAGAGGGCGAGACTTGAATCTGGCCAGCCATGTCATTCCCTTATTGACTTATATCTATCACTGTAATTTACTCTTAAGCTATCTCGCTGCCCTTGGAATGAATTGATTTAGCCCCTTAGGCTGGAGTTGAAGATAACGACATAGTCTTAAAGGAGGCGTATCTAAAATCGCGTCTCCCTTAAGAGCGGACTCGTCTATGTCAGCTAGCTCACCTAATATCAATATTGATAAAATCCTGTCAGACAAATGTCTGTCCGATACATATAAAATGTAATAGAATAAAATCTGTTACCAAATAACCTTTTAGTGGTATAGCGGTTTGTTCGACAAATCCTCAAGAGTCAAGATTAATAATTAATGTTAGTTTACCTACCTAGGTATTGAAGACCTGGATTCCTGGGCATTGAAGGGAGACCCCCCCCCAAATTCTTAGTAGCACAATGTTTCAGCCCGACCAATTTGTTGATTCGTTGAATTTGAATTACAGTCCCTGGTATAGTGGCATTCAGTTGTACATACACCTTGCGAACAAAGCAGCGGAAACGACGCCAAGACCTTCAATCATGTTCCAGACCGATACCCTAACTCCCTCTTGACCCTGTGCTAGCCTCTACATGCATTTCAACCCTCAAACTCCACAATTCTCTGTGTTGTTGAACTGGAGGTTCTTGGCCTCCCTTCTTGCGTACCATTAGCGTCGACATTTGACTGGCTTTGCCCTTCTGGATTCTTCGCCGCTCCAGCTCCTGCATCTGCCCCATCCAATAGATCTCTATCGGATGATCTGACGCTCCTCCGCTCGGGGTCTCCACCATATCCAGCCGGGCGTAGGCCTTGAACATCCTCCTCCTCTTCCTCCTCCTCGTCTTTCTGCCCAGGTACCGCGTTCTTCTCCAATTCGCGCTGTGCTTCTTCCATACGCCGGCGGACTTCAGCGGCAACACGTGATGCATCCGTAACAATATTGTCTAGAACGCCACGTAGACTACGGCCAGCACCTGCCACGCCTACCTGTGGAACAGGAGGGGGTGCACCAGTAGAACGTCCAAAACCGATATTGGAAAACGTGGTTAGAGATGAAGTAGACTGGCTGGTGGACGCCAAGCCATCAATGAGGTGTAATGAGGTAGGAAATGATGATTCGAAGAACTGTTCCAGTAGCTCGTCTGCAAGCACTACCATTCGGAACGTTGGTAAAGTTATATGTAGCGGATTTGAAGGATCTAGGGCTGCGTTGGCTTTCTCGGACTGGGCTTTGGATACCGCACGCCTAGCCTCGTTGTCGGTATCTGGCTTACCTAAAGCCGATGGAATTGTCTCTCCCAAGTCAGGCTTCTTCTTCGCAGGTTTGGGACTGTCTGTTGGACCTTCAAAAGCAAGTAAATCTTCCTCATCTTCATCTTCATCTTCGTCATCGCCAATAGCAAATGCACTATTGTTGTCGCCCGCTGGCTCTTCGATATTGGAGAATGATTTCCCATTATTTGTGATTTGGTTATTTGGATGATCAGGGTCGGCATATTCAAAACAGCGCCGAATGAAAGCGCTCACGCTTCCTAAAAATCGCTCATTAATAGTACCCCCGATTGGTGGGCTCAACGAGTCACTGCTAGATTCACTTAGCCCGTTCGGCGCCGGGGTCGATGCAGAATGACTTAATGATCCTTCGAGGCCACGACGCGAGAGAAATAAGAGCGCTTCAGATATTCGGAGTATGCCCTCTCGATCGACTCTTCCATCGCCATCGTCATCATAGAGCTCAAAAAAGTATGTGATTGTGCCCATAATATCACGCTTCCCCTTGATATGTGCGAAGCCCGTCACGACATTTTGCAACGTTAAAGTCGAGCTAGAATCCACATCCCATCTTCGGAATAATCTCTGCATGAACTCATGATCAGTCGGCTCGGGGCCTCCCCCCCACGGTGAAAGTAGGTTAGGTTCGGATCGTCTAAAACTGCCGAAGTATGAACCACGGTCTTTCTCAGACACGTCGCGCCTGGGCGAGGCTGGAGCATCAGAGATGGCCCATTTAGACACGCTCGCTAAGAATTCCCGGAATGCATCGTAATCCATTAAGCTAGTACTGGGACCCAGGCCGACCCGACCCTTCTCGATGCCGTGGTCGCGATGTTCCGGGAATGCGTCGGTGGCTCTGGCTCGGCTGGCTTTAGCTCGAGCTAGTTGTTCTTGGATAATGTGATCTCGCTGCTGTCGTTCGTACAATATCCCGTAAAATCTATCATACAGGGCTCCTAGTTCGTCGGGGCTCAGTAATTTGCTGTCGGGTCCAAGATTTCGGATAGCAGTACGCTTAGCGAAGTTCTCAATATTATTGAGAACCGCATCCTTGTTCTTTAATCGTAAATCCTGAATAGTGCTATGAGTAACGCCCGAGAACTCTTTAAAAGCTACTACCATCAGTTCTTGGAACCTGTTGATAGCTCGCAGCTTTGGGTTTTCTGACTTAGGATGTGCGGATTCATCGAGACGCGAGAAATATGACTTTAGAACAGATATGAAAGCACCGTCGTCCGTAGCGTCTAATAATTCTTCCCCGTTGATCCTTAGAATAGCTAGTCCGACTTGGAATAGTACCTTGGGCCCCTCGACAAAGAAAACATCTAGAACCCTAAATGCGAAAACCAGGGGCATCGAGTTGATATACAGAGAGAGGAACCAGGGAAGAGAAACGACGGAGAGTTGTACATCGCTCTTAACGAGATGTTCCCACAGAATTGGCATCGTCTTTTCCACAAGGGCTTCAAAGACCTTCTGATCCAAGAGCGTACCATACATGGTAGAGGAGTAATACCCGGGAACTAGCCTATCGCACAATGCTGAAAGGAGGAAGAACGCTTGGGTCTCGGACATGTAAATCAACAAAGCGGCCACGACGATATTCATGGCCTGGCAGTACCCGACGTCGGTGTTAACCCAACTGTATGCTGTGAGAACTCGTCGTAGGCGGTTGATCCCGTCTTCGCTCTGGAATCCCGGGTATTCAGGGAGACTTCGGTTTAAGTCTTTTTCTATTTCATCTATAGCCAACGACTCTTTCCCTTCGAACTTTGCGAGTGTGTCCACGTATAAGGTCGGATTTTCGAGTCGTAGATATAGAGATCCAGACGTTAACTCCCAGATCTCACCTCGGAGTCGGTTTGGGAGACCGACCCTAATCAGTTTATGAAATGTGGGCTGACGAATCAGGGTCGCATTCCGACCATTATCGCGAAGATACTCGGCCCATAACCTCATCTTTGCCCGATCCCTGAGCTTCTTCGGGTCGCCAGGATATCGAAATACCATACCTAAACCAGCATCAGGCGGGTTTATGTTCTTTTTATCCTCTGGCCTAAGGAGGTACTCCGAGTAACATTCAGAGATAACCTTCTTATATCTCCCGACGCTACCGACTGCATTCCTTAAACCTTTCTTGAGGCCGTCACAAAATCTTTCACATGCCGGACGGGATCCGGCAAGCTGTATAGTGATCCTCTGCTCTCTGAAATCTTTCTTGTCTTTTTGCGCATCTTTATCCTTGACCGATTCTTGTGTTATACCGTTCCAAGTGGTGATGGCGAGAGCAAACTAGAGTCCTTCAAGGTTAGCTTGAATTGATGCAGCAGCCATAAGTGAAGAGGAATGTCTTCGTACCTGAAGGTTCTGGGTATTTAGGCGCTCAACCTTTCTGATAGCACACAGAGGGAAAGTAAATCCATTCCCGCTAGGCCCGGCACCATGTGTCTGGCCGGTAAATGCGGCGGCACTCGAGGTGCTAGCACCCTGTGAAAAACTAGTCGGGGTAGTCGAAAAACAAATATAAAACTCGGAAAGGTGCAGCTTGCCGACATAGTGCCAGCCACGGTCGCGTTCTTTATCGCCCTGGGTGACGTTCGAAGGTGGTATGGTAAGCTCGGCGGGTATCTCGTACAGGGGCGTCTGGGAGCTGGGAAGTCGGAACTGATTCTGGAATAGAGAAGCTTTGGAGGGATGCCTGTCTGAGTTGGTCAGGTTCAGTCCTTGCATAGGATCAATCAGCTGCTGAGCAGCCGACTGAGCCTTCTGCACAAAGCTGCTGAGGTTATTAAACATGGTTCAAGACCTTCCAGCAGAGCCGAGTCCATGTATTTGTAACTCAATTCATTTCTAATGACGTTCGAAGGAGCAATAACGCTGATTAGGCCACGGAGATGGAACGTAATGCAGAAAATGGAAAAGGAGCAGTCGTACTCGTCGTGAAAATGCTGGATGTTGTGTTAGCCGTTATCGTGTAGGTTGTTGTAAGGAGAGATGTTCCTCCGTGGGGTTGCTACAGGTTTAGGGACAGACACTGTGAGGTTACCTAAGGTGTGCCGCTCTGGCCGGGATTTCAGCCTCTCCCGGTAAAAATGACCAAAATGACCCTCTTATTGTGGCTGAAGCTCTATCTTGAAACCCCTTGAAGTGTGGGTACTTTGGTACCTGAACTAAAGTAGTAAGTACATTCAACCTACATCATCTCAGGCTTAGCTAATCTAATTAGAATTCCCATCCGTCATAACGATCACTAACACGGCTAGACCCGGATCCTATTTCTTCAACCTTTCATTCAATCAACTTGTCGCATCACGTTGCTACTTAACATAGTAAATATAATTAATATCAATAACTACATACCTGAATCGACCATATTACAATTGGCTTATTATTAATAGCCTATATGTCTGTCACTGAGCACGGTCTAATTCTCAAATGCGCATATGTATTTGCGTCTCAAAACTTCGATATGGTCTGTATGATCAGGAGAAGGGCAAAGGTGATTGGTTGAGATGCGTGGGCGCGACGTCCTGCAACTACCCAGCACGTTCCAGCTCTCCACGCATCCACGCAGTACAAAGGGTACCTAGTTTCCCTTTGCGGTCTAGATCAGACAGTGTTAGAGTCCACTTTCATCACCTGCAACAATGGAATCCCTCCCCCGCTTGGGTTCGTTCTACAGCAAACGTCATCGCTACAAGGCTAGAGATCGCATATTTGCTTACTACTTACTACTACTTACTTGCCTTAGGTAACTTACCTTAAACCTATCCAGCCCGTCCAGCCCGTCTAGCCTGTCTAGCCCGTCTACTCTAGCCCAGCCTAACCGAATAACCAAAAAACCGAATAATCAACTCCGTTTTAATAGCCCACCATCCTCGTCATATAGACTTTAGCTATTATTACTTACCTCTTACCATCTAATGCGCTAAAGAGGCCGGCAACCATTGACCTGGTCTAATCTCGCAACTTACCTATCTTAGCCCTCCCTCTCTTATAAGTTTTTCCCTCGGTCAAGTCTTACCAGGTATACATGTGCCGCCTCCTTTTCAGCACGTTCACCATGTGTACTCTTTGAAAATACCTAGCTTAGACCATATATCCAATTCATGTGCATTGCCCTTCGACGGCTCATAGTCAGAGGCGTCCTCGCTGCTACTAGAAATATTTTGCGCTAAGACATGGGTATCGTCTGATGATATCCGCCAATTGCGACAGGCAGCGTTTATACCTAGTTGGAATATCTAAAGTACCTCGGATGAATCTTAAAAAGATGGCTGCTACAGTTGCCAAACCCGGCCTGATTCCACGGGTTATACAGGAACACAGCTTGCGGCCCGTCGCGAACACAGACACCAACAATGGTTCCCAGCTAGAGGCTGACGTCGAGCCAAAAGTGCCACCCCAACACCAGCGATTAAAGCTGAGCGACTTTACTCTTGTGAGGACTTTAGGAACTGGTAACATACCTACCCGCCATATCAGCTATTTTACATGCGCCAAGCGTTTACCGTGTTTGCCATGCTGACCCTATTTCTTATAGGTACCTTTGCTAGAGTCTGTCTAGTTCGTCCTGCCGGCGCTAACGAAGACGACCGTGACAAGGTGTTCGCTCTTAAGATCCTGCGGAAGGCCGAAGTTATCAAGTTGAAGCAAATAGACCACGTTCGAGACGAGCGTCGCATACTAAGCGATGTCGTTGGTCACCCTTTTATTACCGAATTAATCACCACTTTCTCCGATCGCGATTCCTTATACATGCTCCTCGACTATGTCCCAGGTGGTGAGCTCTTTAGTTATCTACGAAGGCATCGACGATTTCCAGAAGAATGGGCCCAGTTCTATGCTGCCGAGATCGTCTTGGTACTCGAATATCTTCATGACGACCAGGGCGGTGTCGCATACCGCGACCTGAAACCAGAAAACCTCCTCCTGGACGGCCAGGGTCACGTGAAGTTGGTTGATTTTGGGTTTGCGAAGAGACTCGGTAGCAGGGATAGTAGACCTGTTGAGACCTATACTCTTTGTGGCACACCCGAGTACTTAGCGCCCGAGGTTATTCAGAACAAGGGACACACCATCGCCGTTGATTGGTGGGCCCTGGGTATTCTGATCTACGAGTTCCTCACTGGTTATCCTCCATTTTGGCATCAGAATCCTATTGAGATTTACAAGCAGTGAGTACTGGGGATCGCATGTTTCACCGCCCGCAAAAGCTAATAAGATGACAGGATAATTGAGAAGCCCGTGCTCTTCCCCGCTGAGCCCCCTATCTCGCCTAACGCGCAAAACATCATCCGTTCGTTTTGTACTGTGGATCGCTCTAGGCGATTAGGAAATCTAATCGGCGGTACTCGTCAAGTTAAGGAGCATCAATTCTTCGAAGGCATAGATTGGAACGCGCTTTATAACCGGCAAATCAGGCCTCCGATACAGCCCAACATACGGTACCCGGGCGACGCACAGTGCTTCGATATCTACCCGGAGGACGATGGTAAGCGGGACCCATATACCGACGAACTATCTCGTCAATATGACCACTACTTTGAAGGGTTTTAAAGAATCCATGGATAATGAAATATCTTCCAACAATCTAGACGAGGGTATACGAAGGTAAAGGCGTAATTTGCGGGGTCATTTGGCTACTATAGGTAGACTTTCCCAGCGACTTGGTTATGATGTATTTATGGGACCTACGTTCGCACGATTTTCAGGAGTCTCGGTAGCGTTTGCTATATATATACTATATATATACTATAAGATATTATGAGGGGTGGTCTGAGGGCTCTATCATGTCATCTAGGACAAACAGCTAGCGTTTCGCGGCGTTCTTATCCCCTAGCGAGCTATCATGTACTTGTATACTACTACAGCGTGTTCATTTCTTACTATTTATTCGCACGTGTTGAATCGGTCGACATCGGGACCGCATTCAACATATGAATAGGCGATGCATGATTTAATAGCCAGAGGTATTTGGTTTATACCAGGTAGCTGTATGTATTATATAATATAAAAAGGGTCATCCATCTCATCGGCTGTTATTAAATATTTAATGTAAACGTCGAACATACCCACCGTTTGCTCAGACACTAATTCCTTTCGATATACATACCACACGAGCTTTACAGTTATGTTCTTAAAGCTTTGCAATTTGCTTGATATAGCAAAAGTATCTTTCCTCTACTCACCACGTCACCTTTTTACTTACCATATATAAGCCACGTATAAAGATGACAGTAGGCTATTCATATTCATGTTCATTTTAGAATGGAAGGCCCTTAGCAAGTGCACAAGTTAAACGACAGCTGGAGCTAATATAGAGAGTATCGAACATTGTTGCGCTTAGTTTAATTCCAAACTGTCACTCATGAAAATTTCCAATAATATATTGGCGTGATAGCAATTCTCGTTTGTAGCTAAATCGTGCGACTAAAAGTCCTAAAGCTACTAAATGAAAGGCAACAAGCTCGGAAAGAAAGAAAAAATCATGACTTTATATCGTCGTGCCACATCAAGAATCTATGTAGTATTTTGAGTTCAAACCAATACTATTATTGGCTGTAGTTACATATCACGGTCTTCCCTTTCGATGAAATGTGGATATTTGAAATTCCATTTTCCTTCATCCGTCTTCTCGCCAAAGTTGACTCGTACCTTGCTAGCTGTATTGTGCATGGAAATAACAGGGTACATCTTTTGGAGTCGAAATTGGTACGCGCCGATCGGGTGGTCTCCTGTGATAATTGATCACGTTAGTGTGAGTTCCAGCTAAGAGGTATTAACCAACGGGACGACCTAATATACTCACCAACGTATTGGCCATCAACCATGTAGTAAATGAGTGCTTTTTCCCAATCAACTCCACAACCAACTGTATTCCCTTCTGCGAACTTTGTCCTGGTATCCGTCCCATCGTCCTCCAGAAAACGGTACGTGTAGCCGGTGTCGCCGTGATACCCTATTGATACCCCATGGTCGACGCGCCCCGGAAATGCGTAACTCATATCGGTAAACTCTCCAGAGAGTCCAATACAGACAGTTGCCTTAGTTTTGGGCTTTTCTTCAGCTGGCAAGATTTCAACCTCGAAGTATGAGGGGACATCTCTAATATTCCGTGGCGGAAAAGGGTGGTCAGCTCGAACACTTACAATTGGCCGTTGGCCGAGAGGTATCGGAATTGGCATGTTGTCAGTTGTTTCTCTTCCATGAGAGTACTGTACTTCTCTGTGGTCTGGTGACCAGCTGACAGTCTGTTCTAAAACTCCTTTCGCTTCCCAATGGTCAGGAATTATCAGTCTGGTTGGAGTCAAGACCGTGCTCTTAAGTATGTGTTCATTAGTCGGCTCCGACCAGGATTGATGAGAAAGGAAGTCTTCTATAGTCCATCCGTCCTGATCAGCGGGGACGTCATTTATAACGGCTACCTTGTCGACTATGATTTTATCTTCCAAGGTCCACGGTGGCGGCGCCTCTCTATCGTTTCCTATCTTGAGGAGGAGTTCAATCATTTGTGTTCTGCTATTCGCAAAAGACAGGCAACTATTTCCAAGGCTATCTCTTTCGTCTATGCTGGCCCCTTTGTCGAGGAGGAGTTTCGATGTATCGTAGTTGCCCCAGGAGAGAGCTAAATGCAACGGTGTTTTCTTTTCTTTATTTTTCTCGTCGATATTAAGACCCCTTTCATGATAGGCTTCGATTAATATCGATAGGTTCGTTAAATCATCAGCTGCAAGGTGAAGAGGCGTGTTCCCTTCGCTATTCTTGCAATTCACCTCAGCTCCCTTCCGTAAAATTTCTTGGATCCTGATAGCGCTGTTTTTCCCGCGACGTAATGCAGCATAATGCAATGGCGTATAGCCATCGGCGTTCATTATGTTGACATCGGCCGAGGCGTCAAGCAAGATTTCGTGGAAAATGGGGTTATCAATTCTCTCGGCGCAATGTAAAGCTGTACTACCCCAGATGCCGACGGCGTTGACATTTGCTTTGTGACATAGAAGCGTGCGCACGCTTAATTCGTTGCCATCTCTCACTGCAATCATAAGTGCGGTTTCTCCATCTCCATCTACAAAGTCAACCTCAGCGCCGTGTGATAACAATGCGTCTAGGATCTTCTCCTTGCTCGCCGCTGCATGCAAGGGGACCCGGGCATATTCATTACAAATGTTTGGATTAGCTCCAGCATTGAGAAGGAATTTGACACAGTCGAGGAGGTTGCCCCGAACCGCGTAGTATAAGGCTGTCTCTCCCTTTTCATCAACGGCATCTATATCCGAGCCGAGATCAAGTAGTCTTTGAATCATAGCTTCGTTTCCAGTAGGAATTGCATAATGTAAGGGTGTTCGGCAGTCTTTCGAGGGAGTCTTTACATAAGGATGGCCAAAAGCTTGTATGAGCTCATCTAAGATTTCTATGCAACCGTTCGCGGCTACCATATGGAAAGCAGAAACCCCTTTAGAGTCAACAAGTGCCGTAGCTGCTGGGTCTTCTGCTAGTATAAAGCGAGCGACCTCCAAGTTGTCCCACTTCAGTGCGTGAAGAAACGGGGGATCAGCGCAACGGTAGCCGTATAGATTCTTTCTGTGCATGCTATTGTTGATCTTGTGTACGAGCTTGTTATCTCTCTTGATCAGCAACTTAATGATTTCAATGTGACGATCCTTAATAGCTATGTGAAGCGGGGTCACATAGCTTCTGCGTAGTTCCCTAAACGTTGAGTCGACGTGCGGGGGGTCCGCCAACCAAGGGGGGATAATATCCATATCGACCCATTTGTATATATCAGCTTTATTAGCTAAGAGGACTTCGACCATCTCGATCATACCCCCCGAGGCGGCATAGTGGAGGGGCGTCCATTCTTTTTTGTTGACTGAATTAGGTCCGGCCCCGGCAATTAGGAGGCTCCTGGCGACATCTACGTGTCCTCCGATTACAGCCCGATGAAGAGGAGAGTCGCCGTTCCGATCAGCAAAATTGGGATTGGCTTTCTTCTTAAGAAGGCGGCCTACAACATTGTCGTAGCCCTTCGAGGCGGCCATTGTTAGCGGAGACTCGCCATCAACAATGAAGTCGACGTTGACGATCTTTCCTAGAAGAAACCACACAGCCACCAAATGGCCCTTCGATAATGAATGTATGAGCAAATCCTTATTTTTAGAGCAGCTAACTTCTGTGCGTAGACAAAATCTTTCAAGTTCGTCCAGGTACCTCATCACTGCAGCGGGGCGGGTTGGTTTTTGACTCTGATCTTCTTTAGCTGATCTGTCAACACCCTCGTCTAGGAGGAACTGAATGATAGTTGAGCTGACACCGGCTGATGTGATGCGGAGGGAAGGCTTTTCTTCATCTATGACGTTGGTTAATTCCTCGTCATTTAATGCCCCAATCAAGCGCTTAAAGATGTCAAGATTGCCCAGTTGACAGGCGAAGTGTAGTGGCGTTTCCTTTTCCTTGTCGGGTGTGAGTGAACTGGCATTGTGCTGAAGTAGAAGTGCCATTATATCAGGGTCTCTGAAGATGGCATAATGGAGTGCCGTCCTTCCATCCTTGTCAGCCAATGTCGCATCAGCTCCTTGTTCACAAAGTCCTGCCACGAATAGAGTGTGGTTCAACTGAGTTGCAATGATCAATGGTGATTTTTCGTCCTTGTCTTTTCTATCGAGGTCGAGGACCCCCCGACTAATGATGTGCTTGAAGATTTCCTCGTTTCCGCCGACTGCAGCGGAATGCACCACGGTCCTCTCTCCAGAGTCAATCCAATTCCAGTCCACGTTGGAACTATCGAAGAACTTAACTGCAGGTAGACTTCCGACCTGTGCTGCTCTATGGAGTGCGCGTTCCGCTAGCCGTTCATGGTCATCGTGAAGTATATCATCAGATAGAAGTTTCTCTAAGTAGTCAACTCGACCGAGGCTGGCTGCCTCCAAAACAGCATCATCTCTCCTAGCCGCTTTATGGAGAAAGAGATCTATCAGATCTGTATGGCCTCGCTTTACTGCAATATGCAAGAGTTTAGCAAAGTCCGGAAGGGTGGCGGTAGCGTTTTCAGCAATTCCAGCGATGTCTTTGCGCAGAAGACTTTCCACAATGTTAGATAGGCCGAGAGTTGTGGCTACTTCTAGGATCCCAACATCTTCGGCAATGTCCTCTTCTGGCCTCGAATTAACGCAGAATAGTCGATACCACCTATTCCTCAGAGAGTCGTTTACCAGAAACGCTAGAACCTCGGCCTCAGAATTATCAGACTCTACACTAGATCCCTGGGGTTGTCTTGTCGGTTCTTCCAGCTGCTGACTTGACTTTGCGCATTCAACGCTCTGCTGGATGTGAGCATGGTAATGTGTTGGCCAGTGTCGGACAGCGTAGTCGAGAAATTCCAATTCCACTTGTTGCTTATGGCAAGCTTGGATCTGCTCGCGCCAACTCATATGTGCGAGGCAGACGTGTTGAGGCTCTTTCGACAAAATTTCGGAAATGTAGCGGAGACATAAATATGCCAATCTTCCATGACTGAGTAACTGTAAGCCTTGGACTTTCTCGTTATCATCTAGGATGTTTTGAGCTTTTGCGCCGTTAAAATAGACGAAGTCATTGTCGACCCGAAGCATCAGATCTAAACGCCGCGCGATATCTATTTCAATAGAGATTGGGTTCCGCTGAGTTGGCTCTGTGAGCTCATGTGGCTGTTCATCGAGAGTTATAGCTACAGCAAGTTCTCCAGTTCGTAATGGACGGGCTGCTTTCTGGACCCAGGAAATGGCAGAATTACTCCAGCACAAAAGCCCACGGTTCGGAGTCTCGATACAGTGGTTTAATACTGCCTCGCCAGTTCTGGGACAGTCTCTCAGTGCCGCGTCCACGGCTTCTATCGTCGAAAGTAGAAAACCACGCGACAGAACTTTCGCGTACTGACCAGCGTTAGTGAGAGACGATAGCTCCGGTATTCTGATATCTCGAGAGCGGTTTGGTGGCGCTAGCGTCTGCAAAGCCGGATGTACGAACAAGGCTGTGTCGATCTTAGTTTGGATCAACGAGTTTCGGCGACTTTCATCAAGCCCCAAGTCCAAAACTTGCCGAGAAGTAGCACATAAATCAAAAATCTCTCTAGCGCTGCTCGAAACTGATAAGTAATCATAGTTCAGAGAACGGAAGAACTCTTCTAGTATCTTAAGAGATGACTGGGCAACACTGGGCCAAAGGTGGACGTTATTGGCAATGATGACAATCTTCCAGTCGCGAGATGTCCGCAAGAGGATGCGAAGTAAGGCCCAGAGAACATTCTCATTTGTCGCATTATGCGACTTATAGTGTTGAAGATAGAAAGGACGAACATGATAAAACAATGCCGGCCGCTGGGAGAGAATTTGGTGGACAAATGATCGAAGTAGTACTTGCAGATTTAGGCTAGTCATTTCGAAGGGCTCCAGTAAAAGGTCTAGAAGAGGGGCATTGGGCTCATGCAACATGATGTCCTGTGCGATGAGCTTTACTAATGTAACTTTGCCACAGCCAGGAGGCCCGACGACTTGGATTGAGTGGTAGTTCGAAGAAGACCATTTTGACTGCCACTCCGAAACATCCCCAGTATATGAGCTTAGATCGAGGCTTCCGCTTGAAACGTACAATGCCGTGCTCTGGTGAATAAGACGATTTGACGGCGATAGAACTTGGAGGAAGTCGAGAAGATTTGAATAGAATAAACTCGCCTCTACTCGTTCCGTATCCCACGTATCTAAATATCGAAGTTAGCAACAATCCAATAGATTTGGTAGTTTACCACAGGCACGATTATAAAAGAATACGGTGTACTAACAATGAGTCATATGACACCCGGGAAATAGGAAGCCCCTAAAATCAAGATCGGTTATAGGGCCGTACTTTGTCGAGGAAGGTGATTCTAGGTGTAAGTCATCACTAGTAGGCAATTTCGATGATGACGACTCATCTAGTTCCTAATTTAGAAACAATGATTAGAATCAGTTCACCAGAAAGTGCTAGGTACGCTATAGGTCGGGGGCTACTCTACCAAGGTCTTGCCGGAGGGTTTATTGTGTTCCTGCAGGTTCGTGACATGGTACCTCAAAGCGTGGTGGAAATAAGATACCGCCTTGCTCACGGAGTTTGCCAGCCCTGCTAAGACGGTGGACTTCCGGCCCTTGATCTTTACACCAGCAGCTCTGATCATCTCGTCCAGTATATCCTCCCAGGTTGCATGGCCGACCACATTCTGCGGAGTTGCAATAAAAACCTACCAATGAGTCTTAGTGGATCAGCAGTTCTACCAACGCGGACATGGCGGTAAACTCACAAGCTCCTTTGTTCTTAGAGCAATATCATAGTACCTTGGGTCTGTATTGGCGATGCCCATGGCCCGTTTCACGACGAGCCCACCAAGTCCATATGCAACGAAGATGATCGGCCTCCATTCAGACTAATCGAGAATTAGTACTGCAAATATGAAAAATGAGATCAAGGATATTGTTTAGGCCCTAGTGTACCTTGCTTTGAGAGTATTGATTTTTGACTACACCGAGGAGGAGGTGGGCCTCCTCCTCTAGACCCTCAGCGGAACAAGATCTCTCATAACAACGAGACTTATTGGATACTTGTAGGCCATCTTGTTTACTGCCTTTTGAACCTTCTTCTTTCACATCGAGGTTCGATTCGTTGCCCACGACTGAGCTCGACCTAGACGAGGCGACTCGGCCATCTACCATAGGGGTGTGGCTTGTAAACAGGGCAAAGTCGAATACTTGTGCTTCAGAAACGATATGTGGCATTAAGTATACCCAGTCGGCAGAACCGAGATCTTTCAATGATGCATCCGAGTCATGGCGAGAATTTAATCCCACAAGGTAGATTCTGCTTGCTGTTAGTGTTATATCTTATGATGTCAGTGTGTAGTATTACTCGTATATCTTTTTATTGTCATTAGGGCTAATAGACCTAGCGACGTCCTTAGGGAGGCTCATGTTGTTTTGGATGTTCATAGATCAAGAGGATATATGGTTATCTGGGAAATCTTGCTATTGAAGGGCTAACAAGTGGGGAAACTACTAAGAGAATGGGACCTAGTATCTATAGTCTTCAATGGCCAGCTCAATATTCTTCACCACGTATGCCTAGACGAGATTGACTCACACAGTAACGACTTTGACGCGAACTCATGTGATACGGCCTCATGGGTTGCAAACAGGAGCGCCACTGACGTAGTCGAGCATGAGGTAAGAATCCGACTGGAAAAAGCAAATCCGAAGGATATTACAGCTCAGATATGACAGGTCATTCACGTAAACGCAAGTTCCCGATGCGATGCTCCGGCTGCTGCCTAGAATAATGTTGTACCGCACACGCTCCCCGGCCTTAAAGTCGATAACTGGATGTAAGCCTTTCACCGGTCTAGACTTGATCGTGTACCCTTGACGAGGATGATAGCGTGTGGCTCGCGTATACCTACGTCCGCACGTCTCATTTATAGAGACTTGGCGCGTTCTCGCATGAGCTAACCTATTACTCGAGGGTTGTTTCTTTACTGTGTAATGTGAATGACGGATGCACGGTACTCGGTCGAATCTTGATAATTTGAGCCTTTGATAGCTTGTGTTGTTAGCTATAGTAGAAATAATGGAAATAGAGATACGTAAAGTCAAGTTACTTTCGCCTGATAGCTTTTTAATGAAGCATTAGCTCTTCCCAAGTAATTAATACAGAAGATGAGAAGTTCGTCTCAAACGGCCAAAGTAGACGGTAAACGATGTATAGCCATTGATTAACTATATATCCATTCTGCATACTGCCTAGCCGCGAAACCAATGTTCTCGCCCAATTGAAATCTTGAAGATTTGAAAATTGTTAAGATGCCATTGATTTCATTAACAAACGGAAATTTACCGAGAGCTGACATCCCGAAATACGGAACGGACATATAATATGAAAAGCATATGAGTTTAAAACTATGGGCATGTTAAAGGGGTAATATGATGTTGATTCAGTAAAGTTTCTAATGACTGGGCAAGGTCCAGTAATTATCAGTATAGCTTAGTAATTACGTAATCCCCACCACAGGGCAATAACTAAAAGGTTACAATAGGGTACCTAGGTACATGTAGTGTTTAAGTTTAACGAAGGTTATTGTCAGACAAATGTCTGTCCGGCATATAAAATGTAATAGAATAAAATCTATTACCAAATAACCTTTTAGTGGTATAGCGGTTTGTTCGACAGTTATTATACTAGATATCAGCTCCTTAATACATTGGATCCGGTTATTAACTTTACAAGCACGCAAGATCTTTTCGAAACAATCGATTGTATCTCTAGATATATTTTCATCGTTACAAGTATATAAATCATCACATTTCTATTTAACTACCTGTTATTTATATTATAAGCTAACAATCTAGATGTATCTCCAAGCTCTTTCGCTGAGATTGAAGAACAACGAACAAGCCGAAGGCGAAAGTTTCGTTGGCGCCGCTATGAGGCCGAGGCACGATTCCTACTAGGTCCTCTAATCATGACGTGAGGATTTTAATACTGGCCAAATTTGATCAACGACAATCCGAGATCATCTTAGAGAAATGGGAGGAGCAGGCGGCAACTTTGCAACCAGTTTTGCAGCAGACAATCACAATCACCCGCGACGCCACGACGACTCCCGTATCATACAATGTCACCAGCGGTGCATTGGTACTAGAGTTTAGCCTCCTTTTCCTCCGGAATCCAAACCCATTTAAAAGGAATATAATAATCAGTGTTTAGTTTTTACACGAGTATGCTGAGCTGGTCTGGTCTCAGGGTTGACATTAATACTGCTCTCAAATATGTAAGCCCGGGCGCGGCTTACACGACTCTCGCAATAATCACAACGCATACAAGCGACTCAATCTTCTCATTGGTGCATAGCAATAGCAATAAGTTGAGACACGAAAAGATACTAACAAGCGAAGTGAATAAAGAAGTCCCGATAAGATATATCTCATAATCCACGTGCATAAAAACAAGGAGTCGTTCAGACAAGGGGCTTCAAACAAGATGAGCCGCAAGACAAAATAGGATTAGCGTAGCCCCTTATTGTTACCATACATACATACATACAGCCATACAACGTAGCGTAGGTATTTTCTAGCCGGTACAGTTCTCTAACTGACAACTCACTTCACGACGAAACCGGTATTCTCTTCATCTGCTTCCAAGCTCTTCAGTACTGACGCAGTTTAGACCCTTTACTAGGTTACCCAATTATATGTAGCCGCGCCTACGTTAGGTACCTAGGTACCTAGCTAGAGTTACATGAACAATTTCTATAACAATTGCCGTGTGGAAGTAAACAGCTAGACTTGACTTATCCTGAGACAGTACGCTTAAGTACACGTGAAAACCATTGGCCCGCTTGAGGAACGAAACTAACCGGTCCGTCGCAGATTACTTGCATCCGCGCTGAGATCAGATTATCTTCCCCATCTCGATTTAAACGTGCGAACCAAGATTTGCCAGCACAGGGATTTCTTCAACGTGACTACGATCTCTAAATGCAAAGGGTGCCTAGGTACCTAGGTAGTCACAATGTTAAAGATTAAATAATGAATTTCTGAAATGTGCTTCCATTCCCTTCTAGCAGTATGACTACCCCCATTCCAGTTCACTTCGTATAAAAATAAGAAAATAGATATCAGGGAAATAAACCAAGCCTCATGATGATAAAATGTACAGTCGGAGCTTGGTTGTTGATCATTAAAAAGTATTTGTCATGCGCCCGACCGCCGGGACTCTCTATCCTGCCACACACAGCGTGACATTACACATCAACGTCGGATCTGCCGCGGCAAAACAGAGAGCCTACGAATCAAAAACTCTAGTACATACCGCTCGACAGCGAACCGTCATGCTGTTTCAAACACTACCCCCCATCCCCAAATTTCAACTATGCCGCGAGGCAAGTTTGAAGTTGCGCTTGGCAATCCGAAAGTTTGAAACTAGCACCAGCGTTCGCTGCGTCGCTGCACTTGTTGTTTTGTATCTACGTGATAGGTTAGCAAAGTAAAGAAGACATCGAAGGTGTAAAAATACTAACATCGCAGGCCCTCTGCTTAGCAGCAGCTTGGTTCACAAACGTATTCCTAAAAATGATAGGTTAGCGACTGTGTTTATACCGAATCTGGGTTACCGAGCTCACCCGTTGACAGCAAACGGCCTACTAGCATCCCCAGAGTTTGTTACACTCGGAGGTGCGCCGCCAAGGTTCTTAGTCTGTTGGGTTTTGCTGTTAGCATTACCGCCAGCACTGTTATTTGTGTTCGAATTACTTGAGCTTTGTCCTTTACCACCTTTACCATTGGCTCCATTGGCGGCGTTTCCGTTGGCGGCGTTGCCATTGGCGGCGTTTCCACCGTTGCCATTGGCAGCATTGTTGCCGTTGGCAGCATTGTTGTTGTTGCCACCAACTAAAAAACATAATTAGCAAATCCGGAAATAGACACATCATGATGGATCAAATCTTACCAGTGAACTTATTGCAATCATCCTGAGCACCACGTTGGGCAACAGGCATGAGGACAGGCTGATGGTTAGCGGCAGAGAACATGGTACATACACGGTAGTTACCAGCGGGTAAACCACCGGTAACAGTAGCCGACAAAAGTCCCTTGTTATTACCCGCATCGTTGATACCCTTGAAGAAAACGAACTTGGTGGCATCAAGAGGCTGAGTAGGGTTCAAAGAGTTACCCATGTCTTGAACTGTAACGTGGGTATGGCCAATAATTTGTCCTTGGCCATCTAGATCCTGAGGCGCAGAGTAGTACGTGTTGGCGGCATTCGTGAATGTACCGGGTGCAAAGTTCGCCACTTGAACTTGAATATTAAAGTCCTTGTTGGCCTGAATGTTGTCGTTGTGTTGAGGGTTGATCAGAACACTCGAAACCATCTTGCTGGTTGAGGGGATTTTACCCATGGCTGGTTACTATTAGCAACTATTTATTCCGTACCATATCAAGATGTAGGTAATGTGGTTTACTTACGGATACCGTTACATGAACCTGTCTTCACCTGAAGACCATTTGTCAAAGTCTGACCGCTACAGAAGTTGATGAAGTTGGCATTGTCGCTGGGTAATGTTAATTACTAACCCCATCCAACTTGAATTTCAACAACTTACGTCTTGGAAGCCGATTCTCCATCTGCTGCATCTGGGTTACCATTGGACTGCGAACCGGTCTGGACGGCATTTTGGTTCAACGTCAATGAGCCCTGGTTGTTGTTGTTGCCACCATTGTTATTGTTCTGGTTTCCGGTGTTACCGCCGTTTTGACCATTGTTGTTCTGATTGGCTTGGTTCTGGCCATTATTGGCGCCCTGGCCACCTTGACCAAATTTGGCGCCATTGAACTGACCACCGCCGAACTGTCGGGTGTTGAGGGCTCGGGCCGCTCGTCGGTTCATAATCTGATCGAACGGACGGTGGATAGCTGAGGCTTCGGCAAAAGCCGTGATGCCTAGCAGGCCGATAAGAATACTCTTGGTATGCATATTGAATAAAAGTACCTTAGGCGGGTCGAGCGAGAGGGACAAGTTCTTTTCACTCCGTCTTTCGAGGTGTGAGAATGGGAATGGTAAGATCCAAAAATGGTTCCAGACCGTTTTCGAATTAGCTAAAAGGAGTGGTCACAGACAACACTGAAGTGAATTGGAATAGGAAATGCCAAATGCTGTCAAGAAGGGAACGAATGTAAAAGACACACTACCAGCGTATTCTAAGTGAAAGAGAAAGGAATGATAGAAACTCGACAGAGAATCGGAAATAAGAATTAAAAGCTGATGATGGGAATAGAAGGCATAAAAAAGACGAGGCCAAGACATTTCCTTATTATATACTCCACCAGCAGGGTGACAGGCCCCCCGGACGGATTGTGCCTGGGTGCTATGGAATCAAAGGCATCCGCAACAAACAATACATCATGTTCCCATGTAGAGGTTCCATCCCCAGGAGATGTATCCACAGTCTCAAAACGCGGACGGGGATGGCAGGGTAGAGAGGATGTCGAGGATAATGACAGGACCTTGCAAGGTGCGGAGGCAGGGGTATGGGATGGTCGAGTCTCTGGCCTCGCCTTGGCAAGACCCCACCACCACCGAAGTAATGTATGTACGAATGCATGGGGGAGGTGAAGCTTCAATAATCCTAGTCGAAAAGAGACATTACATACTACTATGTAGTTACACGCCGTAGTCCTTCAAAATCCTTGACTTCTTCCCCTTTGCGAAGCGACCTAGGCTCGGGATAAGGCTGTGTTGACTAGAAGATGTATCACTGATACATACACCTATCATATTAGCGACTTGTTGAGTCTTGACCTTGGACTATTCCGTACATTAGGTAGGTAGGTAGTGTAACTCATGTTCATCTGGTAGTATCCCGTAAATGCTGTCTTACTACGCGAGCACTGCTACGTGTAAGTCGCCCAACTTGAGATGACACGAGGAGAGTTTAGCGAAGGCGATTGCGCCTATTCGAGCTATTGATCAACCTAATTGAGCATCATCGACGACACGATACAATGAACACAACCCGCTTGGACTGTGTGTAGGGCATTGTATGTATGCGAGTGCTGAGACGAATCTCGGTTGCCTTATCCCGTGGTAGGTGAGGTAGGGTATAGGAGATGGAGATAGAGATCTGGTGCAATCTATGGGAATTCTCGTAAAGTTCCATTGAAGATGATTGAAGTTGAAGAAGGGGAGGCGCTAAGATTTCGGGGTTCAGTTGGCCGAACAGCTGAAGTGGTCCGGGCTAAGCGGTGCATCTGGCTTTGCGGCTCGATACGTCGCAAGTCCCGCATTATTTCGGAAGAATAACCAATTAGCGAAAGTCTAGCTGCAGTAGATCAGGCACCTCACGTTTCGACCCCCGGTCGTATTCTGAAGCAAAACATCGCGGATCTGTGCAGTTTATCGAGCTTCAGCTAGCGCTACCTACTAGTAATTGTACAAATTAACTACTACATACTACCTACTTACAACATACACTAACTACGCTGAAATAATACTTGGATCTCCTTTTAGCGATCCATAACTTTGGATGACAGATAATAGTTAAGCAAAACGATCACTTATCAGTAAGGTCTTAGATTGCCGATCCCTTGGCATTTTATAACCGGAAAAGCTTTTTTATTGTTTTAGCACACAACACGAAACGAGTCCGTTGCTAGGTTCGCGTTAATCTAGGCTGTTATCTTAGTTATAAGATTTGTGATCTCTCGGCTAAGCACGAATAAGACTTGGATAATAGGTAATCATTATTATATTCAAGTTCATTCTTGTGGAATATATTGCGGTTCAAATAAGTATCATATATATTAACATCCCGTATAAGGTAGATATTGGCTATACTTTTACTCGAGCTTATTATAGTTATTAGCAACCTGTTATATCAACACCTAATGTAGATCCAACTGTGTTCATCCTCGCCGTCCCAATTATGAGATCTGCCCCTTCGGATCTATCTAGACCCACCGCGAGCAACGTGAAAAACAAGCTTAAAAAATGAAACCGAGCACCAAATGTACCTAGGTTGCCTAAATGAGCGGGAAGGAGGGCTGAAGATTGCTACCGTATTCCATAGAGCTGGGGTGGCTCCCCCAAATACAACATATTGCCTGGTAACCAGCCCTGTCAATTAACCAGCCTTCAAAGTAAAAGCTGAGACGTTATAAAGTTGTAAAACAATACCAAAGGAAGAGAATCCGATCTGAAAGCAGATCTTCCTAAGGTCGGATAGTAGTAACTACACATGCTTCACGTTATTTTCAAATTTTCTAGAAGGCCGCTATAACATCTATCAGGGAACTCAATTGAATCAATTTGTCAGATCAACTAAAAAAGGGTTCCGCTCATTTTGGTTCGTGATTTTATTTCCGGTATCAAGCCCGGTCCTATAGACCGTGCATATTTAATTATTAATATCTTAATACCCTAAATCTAATAGGGGCTCTCTTCACATAATAGCTTCCTATCAAGTCTTCTCCTTTACATAGTGCACAGCCGATTTGATCCAGACTATCGAGGAGGATTAAGAATCCTCACGATACCTCCTGGTGTTGTGTCCTACCCAATCCCGAGATTCTAGATTCTAAGAGCCCTGAAACAGCTCAACCGTTTTCTGCATCCCCTAAAATGTGACGTTCCCGAAATCTAAAGGAGTTAACGAGACTTTGTCGGCAATCTCATCCGAGATCCTTTACCAAGCCATTCCTTATTTAGCTTTAGTTTAGATGGGAAATTGGTCGCTTAGAACAAATGGCTGCATACGGATAAAGTCCACTGAAAAAGTTAGAATCCTACCAGAATTCTACATTAGGTACATTAGGTACCTGGGGGTCATGGCTGGAGTACCCTTGTAATTAGTCCTAGCTTTATTTGACCCCTTGGCAGTTCTAGAAGTCCCTCCAAATTCCTCATTGGACCGCCCGCCACTCGTAGGAGTTACACATCCTACCCCGTCCTCGCGGGGACAAGACTCTATTTTACCATTAAGGTTGAAAGCAGGAGAAACATTCACAAGGTCAAAGATGGGATGAAAATGACGTCTAGACATGCCGGGCCTTGGCTTGGAATGAAACAACGAGTTCGACATCGTCGTGCTCCGCTTGGCGCATTAGCGAAAGATCTCACGGTAATGGGGATCTCTACTTGCGACGGGATGAAGAACTTCAACCTCTCAACTTGATCTGCAACCGTATTCATCCTAATCAGCGCAATATGGCGCCTAGATAACAATGCGCATTGTTTTGCTTACTATGCGTCTAATGTCGACTTTCCTCGGTTAGAATAATCTGATATTATTGCTAATGTCTACGCCGTCCCGGGACCTCTGAATACCTCCTAGTCGGTGCCAGATATACCACCGGCTTTGCGCGCTTCAAGCACCGGTTTTCTCGTGTTTGACTAACCTGGGTGCCAATGAGGAAAAGGCTGGCAGCCGGAGCTATGAGTGCCCTAAGCAATCCGAGTTTGAAGCACGTCCCATAATACAATGATGAAACTGGGCCGGCCCCTGATTCACGATCAGGGCTATCACGTGGGAACTTCTTGTTCGCAAGGAACATTCCCCTATCCGTAACCAAGATGCTAAGAAACGCCAAGAACCGGCCGCTGCAAGGGGAATGATCTTCCCGCCCAGAAATCGAGAACAGAAAAAAACCAGAACTGCCTATTGCGTGAGTGAGGTAACAGCTTTTAGACCAGCCAAGATTTCAGGGTCCAACTTCATAACTTTAAGGAGCTAATAAATATAAGTTCTTAATATATCCCTATGCGGCGAGCGTCGTCTCGAAAACTATCACATTCCCTATCGGCGACCTCGCCAAGAAGCTTCAAGTCTTGTGCGTGCCGCAATAACCGGAAGAATGTAGTAGAGGAAGCTAGCTTTGAATTTAACTGGAACACCTTCCGGGTTACTACATAGAGGATTTCCACGGGCCGCACCCAAGCCTCACTCGTATCCATCCGCTACCAAGAAAACAATAATATTAATTTTTCAATATCGCAACATTTTGCGTTTTTAGATTTCATTCCTATCCCTATCGAACATATCTTTGGGACTGGATTAACTGAGTATTCTAGTTTTAGAGATCCTTTGAAAAGGCTCCTGTTACAGTTCGTCAACAGGCTGGACCGCTCCAGAAGCCTTGTCAGCTATGAGGTCTAGCCAAGTCGCGAGACGGTATCCTGCCTTGGCCACCTGAAGCTCGATCACAGGGGCGGCTTTCTCATAGTAATCACCCGCGAGCTCCTGGCCAACAATTGCTTCAGGTCCTTCTGGGAGCACTATACGAGGCCAAGTCAGCTGTTGCGTTTCCGAGCGAAGATTCGAAATGAATGTGGGATTAGTTACCGTGGGAGCAAACAATGGTATTAGACTCATTTGCCCAGCCCATGGCCGTCTGGATAGGATCATCGAAACTAAGGCCGTCATTCCAAAGTTTACTGGCTGCCTCATACTTTCCCGACCTGATTTGATAGGTAAGATTGGCCGCCCATGCGAACCCAGCCACATAAGGCTTCCTATGGATGCCTCCCAGCATCTTTTCTGCAATGCTCGTATCCCAGACATGGTGCAGGTTCAACTCAGATGACTCCCATTTGACGTGGATACCGTTGCCGCCATAAGCGACGTTTTCCACGTGTAGAGGTTGATGGATATCGCCAACAAAATGAATAACGAATTTAGCAGCTTGGTTTCTCCGCGACGGCCACAGCTCGGTATCGAGTAATTGGGACGTGTAATTCTGGATCGAGCTCACAACGCAGCCATCTTGCTTGCAATCTCTCTCAAAGTCTACACCGCAGTACGTCGGTGGCGTGTCTTTCGCATCGATGAAATGGAAGTTCTTGGAGAATCGCCCCCATTTCGTGTACCTGATGCTATCCGCCCAGGTAGCTACCCCGGCGAGGTAATGCTCGGTGTCATTCTGTAGGATATTCTGGAAGAATGCAGTCGTGTCATCCTTGACCAAATTTGTCGCTATGTAAGCCACAGTGATGTGTCCCAGACCTGAGATTTGATTAAAATTACTTGTTAATTGAACAGCTCTTATAAATCGAAGGTTGAATACCTGATATAGGTATCTATTCACTTACTTCCCCATGCCAGAGCACCTGGTAGTAAGAGCGTGCTCAAGGCGACAGCTTTCTGACCAAGCTTCATGATAATTGAGTTAATTTATAATTTACTTAATTCAATCGCTAAATATGAAATGGCTCTGTTCATTTATTGTCTTATGAATACAAATCTCAATAAATTAACTCTCAAAAATCAAGTATGGATAAGGTATATAGGGGTATATAAGTAAACACGTGAATCGTTGGTGCGCGTCTACCCGTGTTGCCCTTTTCGCAGCATGTCTGAATTTGGTTGTCGAGGGAACACACGCGTGACCATTGGATCTCATATGATTTGCTGCGGTCGCAGATGACCCGGGCCTAGTGTATGGCTGCGGCTGCGGGCATCTAACATAAGACATGGTTTATAAGTTAGTTAGACGAAGAATAACCATCCATTTATTCTCGGGGTTTAACAAAAAGGTTACTGCTGGATTATGAAATGTCCTCCGATAATTAAACTTTCGATTTTATCTCGGAGTTTATTAATTTGAATTCGTTCAATGTTGCTTGTCATACCTGATGCAAATTGTACATCTTGTACATAACCTTAAGAGGTATGTAGCTTAAACTATCGGGAACACCCGAGATAGTACTGTGTAAGCTACTTCTGCAGGTGGCGTCACTACTGCGAACCCGACACTGGTTGATTGCGGAGGTAGCCCCCCCAAAACCCTGGGGGCTGCAGCGGGCGCAGGCACAGCTGCACAAGTGCATAAGCTTTATCATTGGCGCTAAACCCTATTCGCTGCTACCCTCCCTCCTATGCGGTCCCTTATCTCTGTGCGACGCTGCACAGTTACGCAGAAATGCGACTAAAGATCGGTGGTGCATGCGATAAGGGAAAACTTGTTGAAGCCACTACCGTCTACTGACTATCCACTGACCATCCACTGATAACTTCCTTCCAGCTGACTCTTACTAGACAAACCATCTGACTAACTACTCCTGGGTCGGGTCTCTCTCTCTCTCTCTCTATCTCTTTCTTTCTTTAAACCCAGTCCCTAATATTCCAATTACACGTCTACCTTCTATCTTCCATTATCTATTATTATATCTGATCATACTATTGCGAACTTGAAAATGAATCTCGCCGATATGGCCTTATCGCACGGCCTCTCCGTTAACGAGATCTTATCTGGAGTATTTGGTAGCATCAGCTTGACGGCATGGATCTGCTTGCTCGTACGTGTTTTGGGGGCAAAAGAGAACTCTCCATATATTATATCATGTTATGAGTATTTTACTAACTATGCGATAGCTTCCTCAGCTTATCGCCAATTACAGAGCCCAGAGTGCAGAAGGCCTATCCATGATTTTCCTAGCTGTCTGGCTCTTTGGCGATCTCGCGAATCTATCAGGTACGTACATTTATACCATTTCTGCCAGTATCCGAAAATACTAGGATTATATTTACCTATCGTATCTCTTCAACCCAACGCTGAAGCACGTGCCGAGCTGACCGTTGTCTCTAATCTCTAGGTGCTCTTGTGACTGGACTTGCACCCACGGCGATAGCACTGGCGGGCTACTTCTGTATATCCGATATCATCCTAATCACACAATCCGTCTACTATAACACCCTCAACGCCCGAAAAGCCCGCCAGCGAACACGGTCGACCGAATCTGAGACCTCGGAAGACGAACCCCTCTTGCAGCCGCGGAGGAGGTCGTCTAGCGGCCTTCCAGGCTCGCACAGACGTCATTCGATGCACCATTCCGAGTCCGGCCTAGACCCTATCAAGAGAATTGTCACGGGCGAAGACGATACTCCCGATAACAACCCTTGGTTGCACAACACGCTGAGCGTTGTAGCTATCTACATCGTTGGAGCTGCCGGTTGGTTCGTGTCGTATAAGATTGGGGCTTGGGACAAGCCTGATGCTCCTGAAGAGCCAGCAACTGAATCACCAGTTGCCGTTCTAGGACTTGTTCTAGGATATGCCAGTGCTATTTGTTATCTATGGTACGTCTACATACTTGATCGCGATAAGCTCTAAAGCACGTGCTAATAGAAGCCCAGTGCTCGAATTCCCCAGATAATCAAGAACTACCGGGAGAAGTCCTGCGAGGGTCTTGCTCTGCTTTTCTTCCTATTATCTCTCACTGGTAATTTAACATACGGCCTAAGTATTTTCACTTACTCCCCAGAGCCGGAGTATATTATTAAGGCCATTCCTTGGCTCCTCGGATCTCTTGGCACGATTGTTGAGGATTGTATCATTTTCTACCAGTTCAGGATCTACTCGAAAAGGGGAGTGAGCAAGGCCAACAGTACCAGCAATGCTGCGCAAAGGTGATTGCTTGCAAGATTAGGTACCTTAGGTACCTAATGTAGGTAGGTTTGCAACGCGGTTTCGTTAACTTTGGATTATATAGGGGATAAGGTCATCATGGCAGGAGCATTATCTAGGCGTTCTATAATAGGGGTTTTCAGGTAATCCCCGGTTTGGATTTGAATAATATTCGCATCACCGGAAATATACATTTGATCAAAGCTTTACGGTTCTTGTCAGGTCGAACCCTCCAGATTTATACTAAAACCCGTGCAGGTTATCGTCGACGGCCCCCAACTAGTCTGTGCTCGATCAGCCATAATTGCATGGCATTTGGCCCGATGAATCCAAACCGCCCCCAACAAAAACAAGGAATTCTATTTAATGAACAAGTCTGTGTGCCTGATCTGATACGTATTGGCTGCACCGTTTCGTCCTATATTAAAGCGAAGGGTTGAGATTGCGGTGACTGTGGCTTCGTATCACATACCACATCCATATTATTCGAAGCCATAGAGTGACATAGCTCTATATTTATAGGTATTCGAATTGGTATAGCCAATCAACTAATCAGCTGAAATCGCTGGTATCACAACATCTATTACGTAGTATTTGGCTATGATACTGCCTTGCTAGGGGGCATTGCCAGTGTTTCGCTTTAGGTACTCGGCCCCCAATATACCATCAAGGCATTATCAGATCCGTCGAATAACTCTTAAGATTCACACATTCTTATATTAAACCCTGCCTAGACATAATTACACCATTCTTCTCTAAGAAATGAGATATAACATATCATATTTTGTATACTTACACTACTTCTCCATACCATCTCACCACCTACCACTTATAGCACAATGCCATCACAGCCTATGAACAACGAAACTAGAATGCACATGCCTATTGATCATAGTCAATCTACGGACGACGAAACGCCAAGCCCAAGAAGCAGCTTAACGGTGGGCTACAATTCAGAAAGCAGCCGCGCATCGGCGGGTATATCCCTTCTCACGCCGTCAGAACAAACCATCAGAAGCCGTAGATATTTATCTCATGGGGAAGGTATTCAAGCCAATATCAACCACAGCCCAACCCCGGACCTAAACCCCCAAAGATCAAGCGATTCGGAAAACATACCCAAAGAGGACAAAGTTGCATCAAAACCAAAAGTAGAGCGTCTAAGCACGATTGCCTCTTGGTGGTGGTGGTGGGAAATAGGAGGCTCAGTTCTAAGTCTCATTAGCATAAGCTTGATTATTCCTGTGTTGAAACAGGTTGACGATCAACCAGTTGAAATGTGGCCATATTCTATCCGACCAAACTCTATGATAGCTATTCTCACCACGATCACCAGAACAGCGATGATGATTCCTATAGCGTCTTGCCTCAGTCAGCTCAAATGGGGCCATTTTCAGTGTCGAGCCAACCCACTCCATCACTTACAGCTCTATGACGATGCAAGTCGAGGGCCATGGGGTTGTTTCTTATTGCTACTCACTGGCCGCCTCAAAGCTGTTACAGCATGGGGATTGGCTCTAGTTACATTGGTTGCACTAGCTATCGAGCCGACAGCCCAGCAGATGCTAGAGCAGCAGAGCAGGCAGGCACTCTTAACAAACGTCACGGCCCAGATAGGACGAGCTGGTAATTATACGTCAAAGGCTATATGGTCTAATTCGATACAGGGTTACGGAGGTACGTCTTAGAATCCAATTCTCATTGGGGGTTCGGCAGTTTAATAAAATAGCACATAGGTCCGCGTGATCCAAATCCCGACTTATTGAAGCTTCAGACGACTATTGCGAACGGTGCCGTAGGCTCTGTGCAGGAAGTTAACTTCTATTGCCCCGAGCCAGCTGCGAAGTGTACTTGGGATCAATTCGACACATTAGCGGTCTGCGCTAGCTTTAAAGACGTTACCAATATTGTTAACAAGACCTGCCAATCCGGCAGGTATCAATATGTGTGCACATTCGAATTCCCCGAAGGAGAGCCCATAGAGATGGCATGGCGCGGGGGAAACGGGGGCGGCTCGCTATTCAACACGTCGCGAGCCTGGAATAACTTAGACGGTGTTATAGAAGGTGTGCTAAATGGTGTTAACAATACGGATCGGTACGGTGGGATCACATTCACGAATGCTGAGGCTTTTACGATTACCTTGGATTTCTGCGTCAGGACATACCACGGCGTTGTTGCAACGCCCGCCGGGATCCAAGAGGCTAATTATACCACCGAAAAGCTCCTCAGCTATGACTGGTCTCAAGAGGGAGCGGGAAATCCGTCCCTTTATTTCACATACGACACGTTCCGCACAAACTCCTCTAGGGAACTCTTTAACATAAGCGTCTCCTTGCGAACCGGGCTCTTCGAATACGTCAACAAGCTCTTCTCGACAGATCTAACTTCGCCCCTAACAGACGAAGCCGCCAACGCGGACTTCAGCTTCGGCGAGTTTATGTACCACACGAACCTCACTAATTTCACCAAGAACATCGAGGACACTCTCACGAACCAGATACGCAGCTCCGCACCCGGCGATAACAGAGACGCCCTGATGTGGCCCGGCCAGGCGTTCCACCAGGAGACGTACTGGCGCGTCCATTGGCCGTGGATCATCTTACCGGTGGCCGAGGTCCTTATAACAGCGGTGCTGCTTTCCGTCTCCATCGTGTTGACTAGGAACCAACCCCTGCTCAAGTCTTCGCCGCTAGCTCTGCTCTTTCACCCTCTTGACGGCTATGAGGGGGATGAGCCGGTGCATAGTATGAGAGAAAGCATTGGTAAGTTAGAGGAGCTTGCGAAGGGGGTTTATGTGGAATTTAGAGAGGATGGCCATGGCTTGTTGAAGTTTTTCCCGGTGGAGGATAGGGGGTCGGCGAATTAGATCATGCTATTGCCCTCTTAAATTATATATATATACACATACCTGACCTAGAAACCCATTGCTTGGCTTTCTTATTAAGGTATACATTTACTTCGACATATTATTTTCGGATATGTTACTGAGACACAAGTGTAAGTCCCACCCTTGCTAGCCAATCAGGGCTTAATAAGCACTTAGTATATACCCTTTTAGGAACTATTCACGAAATTTAGCCAATAAGATACGAGAGATATGTTAGTATTCGACCATCATCATATCTAGGTTTCTCAATACAGTATTATATCGAGGGTTCTAACCATTAGGTACCTATTCAAGGTGATGCCAAACTGGCAACTATGCTATCATAAGAGTTGTTACCCATCATTATTTAAACTTGTCAACAATTCTAGCCTTATAGATTGGGAATTCTTTCACGTTAAGGAGTTAGCTTAGACGGAGCTTAGTTCAGGGATCTGTCAATGCGTCACGTAAAGATGTAAGAGATGATTATGGTGAATTCATCTATGTAGGTGATCTAGCTGCAACTGCTAGCGCGGTGAAATCATCGCGAGTGACTATCTATAGGCGGACCAGATGATATCTGCCATATAGGTTATTCCTGGGTAGGTATGCGTCGTAGTATTTAAGTAACTAGCGACCAAGTGCCCATGCGACCCATCCCCGTTGTGGTGTTGGTGGTGGTACGTCCGGCTTGCACTTCGGACAAAGCTTGTGGGTCTCAAGATCCGGGAAAATCCTGTCCTCGGTGGGAGGCGGAAACATGCATTCGAGTTTTGTAAGGTCTGGGCATAATTTTCCGGTACCCACGACTGGGCATGTAAACCTCTCGTGGCCGCAGCTGTATTTCATAAGCTGGTTTACCATTTTGCACATGGTGTCTGATTGGCGGGATGGCGCAGGTATATGGTGGTATTTTGTAGGAGTCCTGAGGATGATGGTGTGTTGGCGACGCCAAAGGGGTAGATAGAGTGGTTGGGCTATCGGTGGACGAAGAGAAGTAGTTGATTGACCAAAGGGGGTTGTTGATGGTTAGAAATGCTCCCTCTTCCAAAGGACGGCAAGTATTTAAATATACATAAGAGGTATCTACTTAAGCTAGGTACATGGATCTATTCAATACGCAAGTGTCGCTGTAATTAGATTCATTCAATCGACTTCGTATTGACTCTACTACTCTTAGGTTCCTAGTCACAATATTCGTGACGTGGCGCAGACACAACTACTAATAATTACCTGGCGTTAATGATTGAGCGTGAATGGAGATTAGATCGCAAGCATTATGATCTCGAGGCTCTGAGTAGAAAATCTAGAGAGTAGGCTACGTAGATAAAATCTCTGATCGCAAGGGGTGAATTTGTAACCTAATGAATTTATCACAATGTTAAGATTTAGATTACTTTCAAAGAACAGCAGCTTCAGGGTTTGGGCGTGAAAGTATTATTTCTCTTTTAAGATTTCAGCAAGAAAGTCATTAGATGATGGCCTACATAGGTTGCGGATTATTAGCGAATCTTGTAAAAATAATGTCATTGCCCTATAATTCACTGGAATATATTATTTTTATAGGGGCATCCGACTATCCTACCACGACTACGAGGTGTGTTCTTATAAGTGAAAGGATGGAAATAGGTAAAACTATACAACACCAAGGCATTTGAGCAAAGTATGGCTAATGATTATAATTTATCATGTGTGACTAACACCAACAAAACCTTGTAGACTTGTAGGGAAAGGTTCGCCGTACGTCAAGGTTTTCGTGGGGATATAGCCGTGCTCGAGCGTCTTCCGAATATCGACCGAGGAACACCTATAAAGTCTTGATGCGCCAACCAAAAGGTTGACGTCTTGTGGGAATACTCAGATCGTAACAGGGTCATTCATCGCTATGAAGCTCGTGCAGTGTCAGTCATCATTATATTACCCACCTGATTACATGTTGCTTAGCAGCAAGTAAGAAGGCCAGGGTCGTGGGAGAGGGTTGTCGCTTGAGGGTCGTTGACGTCGAAATCCAGGGCCGGGAGATACTCGTGGGTTCTGAAGATGCTGGGTTGGTCTTCATTTGGTAGCATCGCCTGCCTTGATGTTGGGTACTGGGGGTATTGCTCAGAGGGGTTGTTGATATCGACTTATGATGATAATCGTGGGGGCAACATAGACGGAGAATCGTAAGATCGCGTCGCGTTGCCCAAGTTATACACGTTGGACTGAAGTCGAATATTAACCCCGGGGTGTAAAGGTATGATGGGAAAGGTGATGTATGAGGTCGAGACAAGAGGTATTAAAGAGGGATGGTTAATGAATGATGGAGGATGAGTGATGGACATGATGGATGGATGAGGGAACGGGACTTGAAGATTGCATGTAACTAGAAGAGAGAAGAGAGGTGAGAAATGGTTCGAGCGGCTTTACTTATACTACATCTTAGAGAGAGACAGGCGACTTCTTTAGGATATCTATTGGAAGGAATATACTATAGTCACTCGTGTAGCGCTGTTATACGTAGGAAGACTAAACCACTACTTTTCTTTACAGACTATGAAGATAGAGAAGCGACAACATGTACGTTAGGCAACGATGCAGGCATTTGATCATACATATGTAGGCTATAACTACCTGCCTTTTCCTTTACTATTGCTTTCTTATCTGTAATTATAATGACGATATGTGACTTGACACGTCCTTGGTGACTTCCTGGGTGTTTTTGGGCAACTCCCTTTATATACATCGAGTAGGGACTATACGAATAGGTCGTTGATACCGACATTATTTCGTAATATACCAAGTCCCTCCTATAGAGACTTCTGCATAGACTTCTGTATAGAGCTTAAGGATACTATATACTGGTGTTTCTTATCTCAGGTGACCTCAGACCCGAAATTTTCGAGGCGGCACAGATTCGATGTTGTTTTGGGGGGTTGTTCCGGGGTTTGATTGGTTGAAAAGTGGTGTGGCTAGGGGAGGTACAACCCCACGAACGATATCGAATTTGTGGTCTGAGTTTACTGAGATAAGGTGTTTCCGGGTTTGGGCTCAATTATTGAAGTATTGATATTATATAAGCAGGTATGTGACCTCGTACATGGAGATGTATTTCGATATGGGATTGGGAATGTGGAGATGGAGATTATATAATATTGTACCTGCATTAATGCAGCTAAGACCCTTAGCGTAGGAGATACATATGTACCTAGGAGGTAGGTACCCCTTTTTTTATTACGGCGACCCCTGCTCGAAACATCCAATTTCAGCCAAGAGAAAAGAAGCAGTCGTGACATTCTCTTCTTATTTTCTTATCATCACAACTACCAACAACCAATTCGTCATTCTCTTTTCTGCTCTATTTGCCCTTTCCCCTGCCGGCTAGCTGTAGTCTCACACTCTTTCTTGTTTTTGCGTCGGCCCGGCATTTCGCTCCTTTTTTTCAAGTTAGCATTGCTACCTAGGTACTCACCGCCTGCTTCCCGAACGAACAGGAGATAACGATACCCCCTTTGAAAGAATCTACGCGTCCGAGCGAATCGATTTGAGTTAGAGATACCACATTGAGAAGGAAAGGAATAGGAAATATGCGTTTCTCGACTATTCTCTCGGCAGCCGTGGCCACGGGCCCAATCGTGGCGTCGGCCGCAGGACAATTAGGATTTGCGTTGGGCAACAAGAAGGCCGATGGCACTTGTAAGGAATCGAGCGACTACGCGGCTGACTTCGCCGCTCTGACAAAGGAGACGAGCGCCAAGGTCGTTCGCATCTACGCTGCTTCCGACTGCGATGTCGCGAAGCTAATCCTACCTGCTGCTAAGACGGCTGGATTCAAGGTTGTCCTAGGTATCTGGTCAGTAATATGCCGTTTTATTAACACTTTTGTATTTGATATAGTCCGAGGGTAGACCTCAACCCAATTTGCGAGAAGGGGGGATACAGTTACTAACGATGACATCAAATAGGCCCGATACAGATGAATCCTTCAAAGCCGACAAGGCAGCCGTCGTCGAGTTCGCACCAAAGTACAAGGACCAGGTATACGCCATTACCGTAGGCTCGGAATCCATGTACCGTGGCAACTTTACGGGTCCGGAGCTTCTGTCCAAGATCCAGGACGTCAAGTCAGCTGTGGGCAATGGCTTCAAGATCGGCACAGCCGACTCGTGGAACAAGTACGCAGATGGGACGGCCGACGCCCTCGCGGAATCGGGTAGCGTGGACATTATGCTATGCAACGCTTTCTCGTACTGGCAGGGTCAGGTGCTGTCGAACGCGACGGGCTCCTTCTACGACGATATCTTCCAGGCGTTCGGCCACATCCAGGAGAAGGCCGGTGGCACCGACAAGATCGAACTCTGGGTTGGCGAGACGGGCTGGCCTACTGGCGGTGACAAGTACCAGAACGCGCAGCCCGGTGTCAAGCCTGCCTCGACCTTCTACAGCCAGGCCGTCTGCGGTATGGTCGACTGGGGATTCAACGTCTTCTTCTTCGAGGCCTTCGACGAGGCCTGGAAGCCCAAGGCTATTGGCGAGGACGGCTCCGTTGCCGACGAGACCTCGTGGGGTGCTATGACCGACGACCGGACGCCCAAGTACAACCTCAAGTGTTAAACCTGCTTCCTTGTTTTATTCTGCTAGTAGATGGGGATGTGCGTAAGAAGAGAGAAGAGACGTAGGGAGCATATAGGCGCTGATTTAGATGTCGATTGTAATTATATGTTGTCATATACCACCGTTAAGTTAATATCGACGGTAGTCGATATATAGGAGATATAGAATATGTGATACCATATAAAATGTTATATTCGCAATTGTTTACTATATTACCTAGCAGCACCCATTTACCCAAGACTTGTCGCACTTTGTACGGACGTACAAATGTCAGACGAGTTTGTGCTAAAGGGCATGAAAAGTGTTTCTATATCCTAGCATTCTACGACTAGAAACACCGTCTAGATATTTGTCATGTATGTAGATCAGAACCATTTACGAATTGCGAAGTCAATTTTGTATTTCCCAGTTGTAACGACGAAAATCAATAACCACAAAGTTACATAGGCTCAAACACAATGCCACACATTCGATACCGAATTTCACAACCACAAATCTTCCTTCGCGATCTTCTCCATGTAACCATTAACTTGACTGTATCCAAGTGACCGAAGTAATCTCTCTCAAGAACCTCAAGATCTATTTATTTACCCAACGCCGGCGCTTTCCTTGTTCGTCCCTCGGAACCAGATCTACCACTCCAACGGACCTCTCTCTCTCTAGTTCAAGACGTGGAAAGAAACGTGAGCGCGGGCTCGTCACGAGCGGACAGGACTAGAAAGACTTGTGTTAGCTGAAAATTCCATACTCGTTTATCCTTTTTTTCCATTCATGATCCTAATAGTGTAGGAGGGAGGAGGGAAGAGGGAAGAGGGGGAAAAAAAGCTTACCCGCAGCCGAAAGGAGTCGTTTGGCCGAAGAAGCAGTCGTTGCTCGCCTTGGGCACGATCTGGTTCTGGTGGATGGGTGTGATAACGACACCGGCGCTGGCGAGGGTTGCGCAGAGCGCGGCGAGGAGCGTTGTGGCGAATGCGGTCTTCATCTTGGATGATTGTTCGGGGAGCGGTTTATTGTAGATCGAGGTATGAAGTATGTACAGTATCGCAAAAGTGGTAGATTGATGGTAAGATAGACCAGCTAGCCCTTTTGTTTGTCCAGCGTAGCGTATTCGTCTGCTGTTCGTCCGAGCCAAGGTATGGTATGGTGTGGTGTGGGTTCTCTGTGGGTTTTATTAATCTCGTGTCGCGGGCTTCCGAATTAAATAAGGGATATATTGTTATTTGTATGTATGTATGTGTGTAAAAGTAACGATTGTGGGTGAGCGATGACCAGATCGCAGCGTCGATTATCAAAATCAGAACCTTTAGAGAGCGGAGAAGAGAATTTGTGGATGTGATTGATGTGCGGAAGAGAAATCTAATTGGTATTGACGACTTCGCGATTTAGCAAAAAAAAAAAAAAAAAAAGGCGAAGGAAGGATAACAGAGGGGAGGAGGAGGAATAACCCATCATCATATGATCCATGTTCCCTTACCTAACGTTACAGTTACAGCTACAGTTACAGTGCCGCGGGTACTGTGCTCATTACCATTGGATGCCTTCAAATGAAGGGGAAAGGAGGTAATGTCTTACAGTGTGTTGTCTTTTAACTGTGGATAATAACACTGTATCACTATATAAAAACCCCGGCTCCGCATCTAAATCTGCGACGGACCGCGTTCGAGAACAACGGAGATGAACCAAGTTTCACCAGGGCGAGACGAACCCCGGCACGATGAATAGTATGAGGGTTTACACTTTAGAGGCACAATGAACGATTATATACATGATGTCTTCTACGAGAAGATTCTTAGTAGATATTATAACTATGCCAAGAATTCTAATAGGAACAATTGTAAGAGTTGAAGCTACTCAATTGCTACTTATTAGTCTATCCTGCTTAGTTTGTCTCCCCAAATCAACTCGACTATTTATACATACCTAATGCACGTGAAACGAGTGACGCTGTCGCCATACAAAGGGGGAGCAAATCGTAAGACGGGCTAGTCCCTGATGGTACGAGGTGGTTCTGCTCCGTCTATCTATTAATGACACATATTCCAGCTAGAAGCCTTACGAATGCCACACTCGGTTAGATAAGTGCTAGACGCAATATAAAAATAATTCAAATCGTAAATAGTGTATTTAAAGTGTCTTATCCCCATGATAGAGAAATGAAATACGCAATAGAAATATTTCGACCAGGATTGGGGCCGACCGACGAGACACAAACACGCGCGTAGAATTGAACAACGGCCCGGGTTGTGTGATAAGGACAGCGCTAACCGATCTTGGCCTTTACCTTACCACCAGACTCGACAACACGGTTACGCGAGCTTGAATTACATACACCAATCGACAAGATAGCGCCACAGGACGTTGATGATACTCCGGCATGCACGTATCCCTTTAAGACTACCTCAATGTCCGAGGGAAATGCTAGCGAACTATGTATAAATTTCGTAGACTCGGAACACAGAGTGATGCCGTTCTGACGAGAGACTCTAAGTGGAGTTGCGAGACGATACCTTCTAGTTGAGGGAGCTATGGGGTCAAGGTCAAGGTCATGTAAGCATGCGGCAAGGGAATAGTCCTCATCTTAGTGACTGATGTGTAGCTATATATCCCTTTACCTAGACAATGGGACATTGCGATGTAAAGGCATGGTTAACTACCTATGTAACTAGATACTCATAGTGCTTTAACCTTGAAGTACGTATGTTTGGCAATGGTAGCGGTTTGCATGACAGGACGTATGCTTAGGGCTTCTGCTTAACTAGCACTACGTACTATGTAAGGTAGGTAACAGCTCTTTCGATTGAAAAGATTGAGTTAAAGATACTTTAACGGTAATACGGTAGTCATGCTTTAGGTGCCTAAGATCAGACGTACCTAGCGATATATGATAAATATACGTACGATGATTGAGAAGACGGGTAGACTGAGAAAGTTCACTAGACATATGCTGGATATTTCTGGTCACTATGATTATTATCGTATTAATTCAAGCCGAATGATTCATCAATATTGAACTACTCCCACACCGCAATCGCTACATTTTAAACACAACGGGGGTGAAGCGTCCAAAATCCAGCGGCATACATGTCGCCGCCTGTCTCCTCTAGGTATCACTTCCTCCACCTGATCGCCTCCTCGACACTATTCCCGCAGCAGCAATAGTAGCAGCGATAATGTACATTAACGTTAGGAAGGGTTATCGCCCTCCCTAGTCATCCTGCGCGTTTCACCACAGCATCCCATGAAAATCTGCGTATTTCTCAAAAAAACAAAAAACAACAAGAAACTTATGACATTCCTGAACCAGACCAACTCCGTGGGGCATCGCAATCGGTCATATCTTCGGAACAAGGTCTCCAAATGACGACGGATTGGGTGGTTTGCGTGGGGGTTACAGTTCATTCCGTCTTCGGCGCAGGAAACACATTGAGAGAGAAAAAAAAGGGGGGGGCTGGGGGGATAAAACCAAGGCCGTCGTCCTGGAGACTCAAAAGAACGCTAGTAGGTAAGCCTACGAGTCGACATGCTGATAAAGCGCAAAAGACATGCTGTTCCGAACTCAGAGTATAAGGACAGAACCGAATCGAAAGAGGAAGTGATGAATCGTGAAAAACAAATGTGTTCTGATACACATCGTAGGTGCTGTACAAGGGTATTATTTATTAGGAGATTGACAAGGCTGGCCATCAGCATGTTTTCCTAGGAATTCCGCCTTTGGGTTTCGAAGACCAAGGTATTTACGAGGCATGATTGCCCTGGGCGGCCCCTATGTTGTCAGTCGCGCGCTCCTCCGCGTCGAGCCGCTTCCTCCAGTCAGCTAAGCTCTCGCTGAGACCGACGGCGTCGCTCTCTTTTTTGGTTCCGAGTCCTTCGAAGTCGAAGTTAGTTGAAAGTCGATAGTTCTTGTTTGTCGTCTCCCAGTGGGACCGTAACATATCAAGTTCGTTGGCCAAATCATCGAGAGCCGCGCTGTTTCTATTATTGCCAACACCACCGTAAGAGCTTCCCGCCTCTGAACTCTCTTGTCGAGTATGTCCCAAGCCGCCGTTCGGATTAGGAGCGCCAATATTCATTTGATCGGTGCTTATTCGACTGCGTCTCCGATAATTATCAACTGAATTTTCTACCTGGTCGAGTAGTAGACTAACTTTTTGTTCGGCATCCTGCACTCGCTTCTCTAGGAGGGCATTCTCCTGCTGCATTTGCTCAAGCTCCTTCTCTCGAATAGTTAGTTGTTCTGCAACGTCATTGTGGGACCTGGCTGTGCTGTCACGCTCTTGGTTGGTAGCATCTAGCTTCTTCCGCAATTCTACAAGTTCTTGTTCAAGTTGTGCGGAAGTTGACTTGACTTGTTCCTGGAGACCCTCTATCTTATCCTCTAGCTCCTCGCGCTCAGCTTCCCAATCCGCAGGCCTGGCATTGTCATGGAGGCTGGAACGTTCCTCTAGCTCGAGATTTTCGTTCTTTAAACGGTTGTTCTCGGATTGAACTTGGGCAAGCTCTTGCTTCATCTTCTTAAGCATCTTCTCTGTGCCCTTAACATAGTGGACGGCAGACTGGTAGTCGTTCTCTAATTGGACTATTCTGTTGCGATAAGTAGTCTCAGACTCTTGAATTTGGGCGGCAAAAACCTGCTTTGTCTCTTCGTGGGCAGCAACTGCTTGCGCAAGCTGCCGTTCAAGATCGTTAGTGCGAGAAGGGTTAGGCGAACTGGTTCTAGAGCCCATCTCTCGCACACGAGCAAGATTGGTCGGGCTGATGCCCCTTTCAGCTAGAATATCTTTCAGGGTATTATGCTGAACTGTTATGGCGTTGGTCTCGAGCTGCTGGTTAGCAAGCTGGTTCTTGAGATCGGAGTTCAAAGCCTGAAGCGATTGTGTTTCCCTCAAGGCAGATTGCAGTTGCCGACGAATCGATACGCCTTCCCTGCTGGATTGTTCCTGGTATGCTTCAAGTCCTGCGATTCGTTCCTCAGCGCTTCGGAGCTTATCCGAAGCAACGTCAGCCTCCTCCCGGTATTTCTTGACAAGATTGTTTGCCGCCTCAACTTGACCTTGAAGCACCACGATGCGTTCAGCGTCAGCTCGGTTTCCTTTGCTGGGATCCTTGGCAACCTTTTCTAGTCCGGAAATCAAAGCTTGCCGATGAGCGTTTGCTTCAGTTGCATGTCGCTCCGCGAGTTCCTCTGCATCTCGCAGCCTTTGCGTCACGGTCTCCAGTTCAGCAGCATGCGCTTCATGTTCTGCCTTAAGCTTAGTGAGTTTGGACTCGATTGCTTCTCGCTGAGCCCGTTCCTCATCGAGCTTCCGCTCAAGGTGAGCGCGCATATCCGCAGATGCTACTACAGCTTCTCGAAGAGACTCTAAGGTCTCACTATACTCTTGGGAGTTACCGGTAGCTTCGTTATATTTGTTTTCATACTCATCCTTCTCGATGCGCAGAAGTTGCATAGCAGCAATCGCTTCAGCACCGGCAACTGATTGCTCTCGCGCCTCACGTTGGACCATGTGCAATTCTGCCCTCAGCTGTTCAAGCTCGGAAGACGTTTGCTGTTTGTACGCTTCCAATTCAGCTATACGCTTTTGAGTAGCGCTCAAGGTCTCATCTGCGAGCTGTCGCGCTCGTCTTTCCGCTTCAAGGTCTGAAGTAGCTTTTGCGATATTGTTCTGCAACTCTTTTTGGATGTTTAGTGCTGATGCGAGTTTCTTATTTAGCTCTGAAGAACGATCGCCACTATCAACATCTCTCTCGCCGTCCAGTTGCGGCGTACTGGCTGCGCTTCCGCTTTGGGCTGCTATTTTTGCCTTGGCATAGACTGCTTCACGGACGGCAGCGTCACGCTGTCGTTCTACCTCAGCAATCTGTTTTGCTGCAAGGATCGCTTGCTTATCGATGGAGGTTTGGACATTAGCCAGCTCCTGTTTCATAGCCAAGAGCGATTCAATGAGCCGCTTGTCATCATCATCGAACGTGTCCGCGGCTCGAGATTCGAGAGTAGGACTAAGAGTTGCATTTGGCATGTATCCAGCTTTGCGGGCTAATTCTAGCTCAGATGCGTACCATGCGGTTCGATTGCGGGCGATGTCAAGTTCCTTTAGCAGAACAACGGTCTGAGAATTTCTATTCGAAGTTCTTCGCGACAAAGGATTACTTGGTTGCCGAGTCGGTGGAGGTGGAGAAGCCGGACGGTTAGCCACAGTTTTAAGTGTTGGCTCCGTGCTGCTGTCAACGGACCCCTGACTCCGGGCCTGACGCGACGACATCCTTGACTTTGATTTCTCATCTATTTGATTTTCTGACCGCGAACCACTCCTAGGGGCTTGCTGATTCGGTGTTCGTCTTCCATTCATGACTGGAATTTCCTCTTTTACCAGTTCTCTTGGTACGGGGGATTGGCTTTGACTGCTGATGCCAGGTGAACCGGTACGCACAGCTTCCCTCTCTATTCTTTCGATAGATGCATTCCTAGGGCGGCGGCCGTTCGCATTCCCTTCAATACTTGGTCGAGGAGCTTGGCCCGGAGGTGGAGGGCCTGAAGGTGTAGAGGTGCCTGCGACTCTTGGAAGCTTCGATAATCCGTTACTGACAGGCGGGGGTCCATTCATGTCGATACCGGTACCGCCTTTTCCGGAGCTATTAGTTGGGCTGTTAGGGCTAGCTACTCGTTTCGGATCTGGTCCAATAGAGCCCTCGCGAGATGGTGTCTGCCTGACCCCGGGGATGTCGCCACCACTTGGACGCCTTTGTTGCATCTTCTGGGTGGTAGACTGGATTTGCGCATCGTTGGGGTACCGGATTTTGGTGGTGTCTAAAACATATACAATCGAGAGATCGCTGACCTGATTTGGAGTCGAACTCGGCTCGCCCCCAACTACAACGATCGACTTTCCTACAGAGGTCATACTATGACCGGATCGAGACGACGGTGAGGGTCCCATATTCTGAAAAGTATACCAACGACGAGACGTAATTCGGAACGCAGCCAAGTCGCCTAGATCAGAACCTTCTTCCGTACGTCCACCAAAAATATACATAACGTCGTCTACAAGAGCAGCAGCATGTCCTTCTCTGGGGACGGGAATGTAACCTATACAGTCCAACTGAGACCATTTATTGACTGCAGGATCGTAGCACCATACGTCGTTGAACCATTGAAAGCCATTGGTACCGCCGAACCTATTATAGTGAGCCTCTAGGACCTATACCTGCGTAAGGGGTGTATATAAGACTTACAAGTACATCTTATCGTTAAAGGTGACCATAGAATGATTAGTTCTGGCCGGTGGTACCTTGCCTTGCAGCGCGCCTCCAGTTTCGGTATTCTCGCCAAGCACCTCCCATCGATTGTTAGGCATTTGCAATTGGTTAAGATCGAAGGCCGCTAAATCATTCATGAAATAGCCTTCGACTTGACCACCAAAGATATATATCTTGGACCCGACGATGTTCAAAGAGTGGCCGTAGCGTCCCGACGGTCGAGGACCAGCCGGCAGAGCTCTCGACCATTGTCTTGTGGCTAGAGAGCCAAGTTAGCCTGCATCGACGAGAGCGGGATCCGGCGGGGTAATAATGTCTTACAAGTATTGAGAAGATATAGAGTCTCATCCAAAATGTCCGTCTCGTCAATCTTGGTATCGCCGCCGTATACAATAAATGCATTGCCAACTAAGAGAGACGCGTGGCCAACCCTTGGTCCGGGTCCCTCAGATGTTGCAGCGAGCGGATAGCAAGACATATTCCCTCCAGCTTCAATTATCCATAAATCGCCTTTGACGGTCGAACTGTTAACCAAACCGCCCATAATATAGATATCGCCTTCTTTAGACGAAACGGAATTGACCGCGGCCCCATATCTCGGGAACGGACTGGGTATAGATGCAGTGAACGTCAAGCGTCGTTGGGACCAAGGGTATAACGAGGAATTCGCGCCTTGCGGGGGAGTATTGCGGAACTTTTAAAGTAACATTGTTAGATAGATCAAGGCTAAAAAGACGCGGATATATAGTAACTAGATTAAACCGAAATTAACTTACAGGCAAATCGCTGCCGGCTTGCTGCGGCGGCGGCTGGAGCGGCGGCGGCGGCTGTTGTTGTTGAGGTTGAGGTTGAGGTTGTTGCATCTGCTGTGATAGATCTTGGCCACGACGAGGGGCATACTTCTCAGCATCCGGGCTAGGTGTACTTTCGTCAAAGGAATTCACACTTCCTGTTGGTGTTGACCGAGAGTGCTTCTCCTCTCTAGCAATGCGCCCGGCAGGGCTTTGGACAGGAGGTGACGATCCGGGACCCCCATCGCGGCTTTGGACGTTCCTGTCCTGGTTCTTCTTGGATTTGAATAGGAAAGCCATAGCGTATTAGTCGAGCACCCTCGAAGGGACCTCGGTTGAGGAGTGGCTAAGGCAACGTCGTCGCAGCGGCGACAAGGTGTTCTATGGTTAGTATCGAACACTGGTTACCGGTAAGTTGCATACGATGGATCGGCGAGTGGACGGATTAGCTTGATGACCAAGCGGAATACGAATGTATGAAGAGTTCGTCGCGGTAGGATTCGGCCTTCGAAATGGCTGGGGTTGATAACATGAGGTTGGAAATATTGAAAATGGGTCCTCAATCGAAATTGCACCGATTGCCCGTGTCCTGCGCAGCCTCTCGACTTTTTTTTTACCCCTTCCTTTTCCAGCTTGTAAGCCTTCCTTTTCTCTCTTCTCTTTTCCCTTGTAATTGCTTTGTGCAAAAATTCTAGAACTTGGATAGGCGCGAAAGAAAACAGTTCTAAATCGTGTCGGGTTGTTAGGTTATTGAATTAGGAGTATTGAATTAGGAGCATAGAAAAATGAAGGGTTAACGGATCGAATGTTGCGACGGGCTCGTTTGTTCTGTGCCACTGATGGGTAATCCCTTTCGAGATCGTCGGGGTTGTGCAATTGGTAGTGCTTGTAATGTACGGATAAATGAGTTAAAACTAGAATATTACTTATTGTTACCTTGAATTTCCAAATACTATTGCGTCCTCCACAACCGTGGCAATTTAGAACAGCGCCATCAAGAAAAAAAAAAGGGAGTTGAATGAATGGACAAGAAAGAGAGAAAGTTTGGTTTGATGAGAGAGACCGCACTGGCGACGAGGTTCTTGCCGGGGACCGCATACAACCAAATTTCCAGAAAAAAATCTCTAAAAGTTCCCCAGGGCTGCGAGGACCGTCACCATTAAGGGTCGGGTTATGGGGGGGAACTGTGCCTGCGCTAATTCTTAAATTAGGTTAGTTCACTCTTATGCTGTGCCTTACTGTAGACTGTCATTGGGTAGGAAGTAGCTAATTTAGGAGACACCCATCTTTCCAAGTGGGTTAGCGGCACTATAGGTACTAAAATAAATGATAGGTACATTTGAACTCCTGAAATTCTATAATTGACTGCATAAGTACTTGCATAGATATATTTATATATTTGCGGCTGCGGTGTTTTAGTATAGGATATTTTGATGTAGTAATTAGAATTTTATTTACTATTATACGGCAATCTTTTATAAAGACTCTGGATTACAACTAGACAAACCTCGAGGGATTGGGCTTTGTTAAGTACTTAGGCTGCTAGGTTTGCCTCCCGAGTCGTTCGACATGGGGGAAAGGTACGCGTAAAAGATACGTATTAATTAATCAAATCGAAAAGGCATGCATGCTTATGGACTTATTACTTACGACCTATATCAAATTCTAAGCTATTTAAAGTGTCATCAACTCCATTCAGTCCATCTCGATGTTCAATCATATTTTTTTTTGGATATATGTAGATGATTTCTCTAGTTAACATGTCAACACGTACACTTATACACATGGAGGTATAAGTAGACTTACTATTGTGATGTGACAGCATGCGGAGACGGTAGATGGTTACACCAATAGCTGAGCAAGCATCCCTAAACTCTTTTCTAAAGTGTAACCTGAAGATGTGAGACCCCCTTTTTCCCTTTCCCATACATATATACAGAACCCTTTTCTGGCTTTTGCACATATGCATACCTATTTATAAGTAAGTATACTGTGAGATGGATGGGTCACCCTAAAATAGGCAATTGATTAGATACAGGTATGCCACTACCTATCAATGTCAGTTAGCTACCGCAGCAACTAAGTTAATGGACCCTGGACTGTTTGGGCTGCTAGCCCAGCAGTGCTAGGCGAGGCTGGATAATGGCGAGGGAGCCATGTGAATATATGCGCGCTTTGGGGACGTGCAAAACGGGCCACCTGAAACACAATAAATTATCTAGCACGTGAACAATACAACGCTTCGGTAAAAAGTTATAAAAAAAGATAGAAAAGTACAGCTTGCCAAACAACTAAACCATCAATATAGGAAATATAATGGGATTATTACACCCGAACTACCCCGATCGTGCAAGGCTAAATATCTGTGTTATATATGCGCATTGATGATGATAAAGGTGTGACGAAGCACCATCTGATAGGCTTCAGGCTTCAGCTCTGTCTCCTGGCATGCGCAGCTTTTAATGGACTTGTCCTGTTTTGATGCCTAAGTGTGAGCAATGGCCAAGCTGAATTGCTATGGATTAACTGCAGCTGAGAGATGTGACTAATGACTTATAAAGTGCTACTATTTGAGAATTCTTTAACTGGCTCTGCAAAATATCAATCAATTGATTGTGAGTGGTATAAGAGGTTGGATGACAAACGCTTACCCCTATTGTTAATTACCTAACATAAAGGAAGGATTTTGAGTTGGAAGCTGTTCTCAAATTATGTATTTCGTCACTAGCTTCGAATGGGGGCTAGGACTGATACCTTAGGTTAGGTACCTAACCTATCCTACCTAAGATAGGTACCTAGGTACATAACATCAGTCCCCACCGTTGTTCCGGGTGTACCTACCAACCAGAGTAGTTAGATTAGACCGCAAAGCTTCATTCGCAAACATCAGCCCAGCCGCCATCGCATCGGCTTGTTGAATAATCAACTTGACCGAGGTCTTCCGCCTCACCACCAGACTCCAACGCCACAGATTTTTTTTAACCTCTCATCGTCAAATAATTTCAACTTGAGGTACATTAAAGATGTGCTACAGCCATTATGACCGCCGTCACAGTCTCCTCCCATAGCGCGTACACTTCTGGCCAGCATCCAAGCCACCACATGCCGACCGCATCTTCCGCATCCTCTACATCTAGGACTGTTTCGTCGTCGCACTCCCGCCCTAATACCATTAATACCCTGACCGCCGATTCTAATACTACGCCGCTGCGCGACCATCAGCAGCTAAACTTAGTGACTAACCTACCCTTAGTTAATGGTACTTCTACCGTTATGCCTTCACGTCTAGGCTCGAACGGCCCAACCTATGCCATACGATCTCCCGAATTGCCCAAGGGACGTCCGCGAACAGCAACAGATGAGCGAGAGCCTGTAGATTTTGGCCGACGTCCATTAACCGCCCCCGGGAATAAGGCTGATCCCATACCCTCCAACTCCCATGACGACTCGGATCACAACCAGTCTAGGTTAACAGTCTCCAAGCCGCCGCTACTACGATCCAAGAGTGAACACATAGTAAGACGTGAAGATGCAGACCAGGCAGATGAAGAAATCTATGAATGGGGAGCTAGGCATGGCTTTGAAGACCATTACCAATCCGAAGATATTATTTCTCAGCTAGCAAATGTGAGTCAAGCTTTGCTTCATATATTGCTAGCCATGTCGCCTTGTCGCCTTGTCGCCTTGTCGCCTTGTCGCCTTGTCGCGTAGAAATTCTCTCGATGCGCCACTACCCGGCAGCATTTTGGAGATGAGACGACATTGCTGTCATATTTACTGCGGTGTTTTTGCATTTGGCGGCGTGGCTGTAGCTATTTTGCTATCATATACCCAACATTGTTTAACTCTTCACATTGAAAAGGCTCCTTCTTATAGTATTGGTTTGGAACTAATTTCTAAATATAGAACTGGTATATGTACTTTACAGATAAGCGACACGAGACCACCGGCCAGCCAGATTCGCCTAATTATGCGATTGAGGATTGGCGTATGCGAGATCGGTTAAAAACTGTTTCGGCTGCTCTAGCTGTATGCCTCAACATTGGGGTTGAGCCTCCTGATCAGTTAAAAACAAACCCGGGGGCTAAGCTCGAGGCGTGGCAAGATCCCTTCGTACCTCCAGCCGCGAAAGCCTTAGAGGCAATTGGAAAGTCGCTACAAGCTCAGTACGAGAATATTTCATTACGAACAAGATATAAGCAATACCTAGACCCATCGGTCGAAGAAACGAAGAGGTTCTGTCAGTCGCTGCGGAGGAATGCCAAGGATGAGCGTGTCCTACTGCATTATAACGGCCATGGTGTTCCGAAGCCAACGGCATCAGGAGAGATTTGGGTCTTTAATAAGACCTTTACTCAGTATATCCCTATTTCGTTGTATGACCTCCAGCATTGGCTTCAGGCGCCTACTATCTTCGTCTGGGATTGTTCTGAGGCCGGTAATATCCTAAATAATTACCACCGCTTCGTAGAGAAACATGAAGAGGAAGAAGAAGCTGCTGCCGCCGCCGACCCTAACTATGAGAAGACTAAATATCGCTCGTATCTTCATCTTGCAGCTTGTGCTGTTAAGGAGAATCTTCCTACTAATCCCCGCCTCCCAGCTGATCTCTTCACCGCGTGTCTAACAACACCCATAGAGATGGCGTTGTGGTTTTTTGTCTTACAAAATCCCCTTAAGACGAGTATTACACCAGAGCGGGCCAAGAAATTGCCCGGTAGATTACAAGAACGGAGAACGCCACTTGGAGAGCTTAACTGGATATTTACGGCAATCACTGACACTATTGCATGGACCTCCTTACCTCGGCAGTTATTCCGTAAGTTCTTCAGGCAAGATCTCATGGTCGCGGCTCTTTTCCGTAATTTCATTCTGGCTCAGAGAATCATGATGGTCTATGGATGTCATCCTCAGTCATATCCAGAATTACCGGATACTCACCAGCATCCTCTATGGGAAAGCTGGGATTTGGCTGTCGATTTAGCGTTGGCACAGCTTCCTATGATGGAGCGAAAGGAGAACGAGGGGATTGAATACGAATACCAAAGCTCAGCCTTCTTCGCAGAGCAGTTGACCGCCTTTGAAGTCTATCTTTCGCGCGGAGATGCTATGCAGAAAAAGCCTCCTGAGCAGCTCCCCGTTGTACTCCAGGTCTTATTGAGCCAACAGCATCGAGTACGTGCTCTGATATTGTTGGGCAAGTTCTTAGATCTAGGTCCCTGGGCAGTCCACCTAGCTCTTAGCATTGGTATCTTTCCCTACGTGTTGAAGCTCCTGCAATCTGCCGCTGCCGAGCTGAAACCTGTTATGGTGTTTATTTGGACCAGGGTTCTCGCCGTAGATGTCTCTTGCCAACCTGATCTGATCAAGGACAGCGGTTACAATTATTTCGCCTCCATACTGAATCCATCTGAAGCGCTTGCCGTCGTTAATACCGATGAACATAAAGCAATGTGCGCCTTCGTGCTCTCAATGCTATGCAAGGGTTACAGACCTGGACAGGCAGTATGCAATTCATCAAATATCATGACGTATTGTCTAACTCATCTTCGTAACGAGGAGAATGTGTTGCTACGCCAGTGGGCGTGCCTTTGCATCAGTCAACTCTGGCAAGATCTGCCCGAGGCGAAATGGAGAGGCATTCGGGAGAACGCGCCCTTGAAGCTGTCTACCTTGACGAAAGATCAGGCTTGCGAAGTACGAGCTGCGGTCATTCATGCTATGACGACGTTCCTAGGCATTCCAGACCTTACAGACGAGGTGGCTAGGGTTGAGGAGTCAATAGCTTGGACGCTTCTAGATATGGCTGGTGACGGCAGTCCACTTGTCCGTAAAGAGTTGCTAGTCTTTATTTCGCATTTTGTCCTTCGTTATGAAAATAAGTTTATCGTTGCTGCTTATGAGCAGCTGGTCGAGGAGAAGGAGTACTTGCACTGTCCCCCAACGGACGACGGTCTAGAGCATAAGATGGGTATGCATTATGCTCGCCCGGAAAATCGCAATCCGGATGGAACAATCAAGGCCACAGCCCAAGGATTATCTTCGAACACTGTATTCGCCGCTTGTTGGAAACATGTCTTGATACTAAACGTAGACCCTCATCCTGAGGTTCAACGAGATGCAACGATTATCGTTGATTATGTTCACGACGCACTTCTATCATCAAGCGCAGGTGTCCCAGCCCGAAATCTAATGGATGACATTCAAAAGCGAACGCGACGATCACGCGGTCACAAGAGGCAACCCTCCATGTCGCGAAATGGCATAGGTGCATCTGCTTCTGATATCATTCCCCCAGAGCCCTCGCCTGGCCTTTTGAAACGGACTGCAAGTCTTCTATTTCAGCTACCCAGCATGTGGGCTGGAGAAGATAAATCGGTTAATTCTATGCCATTGCCTTCCCCCGGGCTTACAAGAACCTCTTCGCAACGGCAGCGACCCGCCAGCGATTGGGCTACTCTCCCTGAACAGATTGATCAGGCCAGTGTATCGGCACATTATCATGTGGCGGATGAGCCTGTGTCAGGGAAATTCAAAGAGCGCCGCCTCGACGAAGCGCCTTCTCTGCCCCTTCCGAGCACGTTCCTGGAGTGGTCTATTGAGTACTTTCGCGAACCGCAGATGCACCCTAGCGAGGCTGAGGAACCGGGAAGCACCGAGTACAACGAGCGTTTGTGGCGGAGATCACGAAACGAGAATATACTCCGAGAGACGCAGCCGCAGAAGCAGTATGCTGGCAGTCACAAGTGGAATAACCAGCTCTGCATTATGAACAACGGCGCTCAACCGGCAAAAATGACGTTTCACCAATACGAAGACCACCTCGCAGTGGCCGACGATGGGAACACTGTCTATATCTGGGATTGGAAAAAGCAGACTAGATTAAACCGATTCTCGAATGGGAACCCGGAAGGCTCGAAGATCAGCGATATGACGTTTATCAACGAGGACGACACGGCGTTCCTAATGACGGGCTCATCCGATGGCGTGCTCCGGGTCTACCGTAATTACGATACCCCCAAGACGACCGAGTTAGCATCGGCCTGGAGAGCACTTACTCATATGGTCCCTAGTAATGTCAATTCTGGTATGGTGTTCGACTGGCAGCAGGTGACGGGCAATGTGCTTGTTGCGGGAGATGTTCGTGTCATCCGGGTCTGGGCTGCCGCATACGAAACGTGCATAATGGACATACCCGCACGCTCAGGATCTTGCGTTACCTCATTAACATCGGACCAGATGACTGGCAATATCTTTGTGGCCGGATTTGGGGACGGTGCGGTTAGAGTGTTCGATACTCGACTCCGACCGCACGAGTCAATGGTAAAGAAATGGAAGGACGATTCCGATCGACAGTGGATTAGAGACGTGCACATGCAGCGCGGAGGTCAGCGCGAGTTGCTTTCAGCGAGCCGAAACGGGAAAGTAAAGCTTTGGGACATTCGAATGGATTCGCCGCTCCGCGTTATCCAAGCAACTCGCGATACCATCCGCACAGCAAGCACGCACGAACACTTACCAGTATTCTCTGTGTAAGTCACTGGCCGATGCCAAATTTATATTACTTATGCTAACACAATATTTTAGCGGAACGTCCGCCCACACCGTAAAGGTCTTCAACTTCAATGGCAACGAACTCTCCCGTATGGAACCTTACTCTAGCTTCCTACAACAGAATCGCGGCGCGCCCATCTCTGCCACCGCCTTCCATCCGCACCGCATGATCCTAGGCTGCGCAGCTCGCGGCGACTACCACATCAATCTCTTCACCTGTGCCAGCGAGAAGCCGGAAGCCTTCCTCAACTCGCTATGAACCTACACATAACCTTCCTTTCGGCTTTCCAACCATAGCCCATAGCCGCCATCATCCTCTTTTCACGTAGATAGAAAAGAGGACACGTTTAATGCTAGTAACGGAGTTGTAATGACTGACTATATCTTCTTTCTCTAACCTCCCCCCCCCCCTTTTTTTTGAATGCTTTGAGCTCTGCTCAAGTAACGACTAGAGCACCTATCCGCTCGTAAAATACAACGGAGCAGGGTAGACGAACGGGTAACTTGATACGGATTAGGCATGGAGGCAGGTAGTTGTTTCAGGCGGAGTCGGGAGGAAATCTATTGGAACGGTATCATACGCTTTTTGTTTTTCGTGCTTAACCCCCCCTTCTTCTTCTTTTTTTTTTTTTTGCATTTCCTGTCCCAGGCTGGAGGAGGGAAAGGGTCACGTTTCGGAAATGGATGTGATTGGTCGATCCTAGATATGATGCTGTAATAAATCTCAGTTGGAGGGTTTATCCGACCTGAGATTGTTCTCGATGTTTACCTCGTTACCTAACTTTATGAAGTAGTAATAAGTGTATGTTTTTGATGATGATGATGATAATGATCAGGTTAATGCTGTTGATACCGGTGTCTTGATATCCAACTTTCTTTAGGTATTGCTTGCACATAATTGTCCCGTAGAGTAAGAGAAAAAGGAACGATGTGAACGCCTCGTGTTTTTAGAATGACGCGGTGTTAAGCTACACGTAATAAGGGATCATAAATATGTTATTGTAGGTTCATTTTCTCATAATCCCAAGTTCTCTCCCCGATGTTGATTACCCATGGTAAGATATATGGCGCACTCCTCCACGGTACCTAAAGTGTGAATGTGTTTGTTAATTTGTGATAACTAATAATGGAACAACGATGCGAAAGAGCCAGACGATAGAATTTTTTTGTCTACCTGGGTAAAATAAAACCTGCCAGTGCTAGTGAATAATAACGCAAAGGTGTACGAAAACGCTATAAGGTGAAATTGCACGGCTACATTCAACCACCACGAATCCAAAGAATTTTCTGTGGATACAAGTTGAAGCTTCATGGCGCAGTGGAAGCGCGCCGGGCTCATAACCCGGAGGACCTCCGATCGAAACGGAGTGAAGCTAGCTCCTTCTTTTTTAAACTTTTTTTTTTGGGTAGCCATTTTAGTTTCTTTTCTTCTTCCATTCCTACAAAAGTTTGCTTTCTCTTAGCTCGGGCCATAGTATTATTATTCTAGCATTAAGAAGTGTGCCTATATTGATATCCGTATCTATAAGATTCGGTACGCTTTCATTTTGATATTCTTGTGTCCCTTCTACCAAGAGCTTTGCCCTATAAACAGAAATTGGTATCCCTACTAAATAAATTTTACTCCGCTGAACTCTTAAACGAAAACCGCTAAATCCTCTTTAAACCTACTAAATTAGTTAGTTTTCTTCCTTTGTGTCCACAACGCTGCAGCTAGGAATAGAAAGGGCAAATAGGTAAGTACATACCCAAAAGAAAGACCGTAGAAATGTTTAAGACCACAGATCTGCCCTCAAAGTGGTCGAGGAGACGATAGCGGAGGACTGCTAGGCATGGAAGGAGAGAGTTGAGATGGGGGCGTAGAGGGACTGGAAGCATGTGGCATTTCATCTTGCGGCGTCGATTCCGGCTGGCTCCCGGGCTCAGTTGGAGTACTTCGTCCTGTTGGTAAAGGATTGCGAATCTGTGAGAAACCCCCTCTAGAAGCGGCAAAGGGTCTCCGGCCTGCTGTAGGAGCCACGGTTTGACGTATCGGTAGTTCCATTGTAATTGCCGCTAGTGTCTGTTGTGCCTCTAGTGTCTGTTGTGCAAGGAAACGATCCGACGCAGATGGATTATGAACTTCGGGAGATAGGGATTGTATTCGATTTCGTCGATACCGTCTCGGGCGCCTGGTGTTAATGTCTAAATTCATCTCAGGAATTTCTCCTTGATACGAGAGGTGGTTGAGCAGCCTATCTACAGCCACGTTTTGAGGCGGCAATGTAGCCGTGGAAGATTCAGGAGTGGTCGTAAGAACACGGTTAGGGGAGAGTAAACGTAGTGGATTCTCTATCAGAGGTTCTGGGCGTTGCCTATGCGGCAAGTATCGAGATTGCCCAGCTATTGGATCGGTCCGTCTGTAAAACTCCTCGGATAGTGTTAGTGGTCCATGATCATCATGCCTCTGCCCTGAGTGCTGATTTTCCTTCTTTCTTCGTTGCATTTCTTTTTCTTCCTGAGACATTTGCCCATTCGTGCGTTGTGGTTCCGTCTTTCGCAAATGGTTCAGTAGAAACAGCTTTCTAGTAGGTTTAGGTGTTTCCTGTCGGCTAATCGCTGGCGGATGTTCCCCTCTTTGGTCTTGTGTTCCATATAAAACTTCTTCTGAGGTATCCTCACAGTCGCAACTTTTCCATGTCGAGCCGCAACGATAGCAAAACTGGTGACCGCAATAGCATCTGTACAGGCCGAAGGATGAATATGGTAAGCATACCTTATTAAGATAACAATGGAAATACGATGTATGAACTCACGTCATATGGATACATCCAGCCGCTCGAGAGATCGTAGAGTTGCACTGTGGACATTTCCGCCAACCCTCACGCTGGGCCAAGGCCTCTAATTCGGTATCTATAGGCGGTCCCTCACACCCCGACTCAGTAGGCTCATGTTCCTGCTCGCATTTCTGACAAGTCTTGGATTTGCACTTGTCACATACAATGATATTGCTTCCCTCTATCGTATTTTGGGTATTGAGAATGGCCCTACATTGTTTCTGTGAGCAATATAGGGGCGGTGGTTCGCGTTTCTCGCGGTCTATTTTTCGATATTCTTCCAAGATCGCGCTCGACCGTATCCATTCGACGTCTTGATCTCTGAGGATAAACTGACAACACGTGGGCGGCCAGCGATACTTCTCGGCTATCTTTAATTTAAGGTACCTCTCTAAGCAGTCCCGGCACCAGAAGCACCCGCATGGGAATTGTCGCAGATCACAGTCTGTCTCGAGGCAACTTACGCATCTTCTCGGGGCCAAGGGGTTTCTAATGTTAGTTGGGGCTTCTTCCTCCATAGTCCGCAGAGCGCCCCCGTCCTTTTCAAGCACGTGTTTAGTGTTGGCGCCAGTGTCAAATTGTCTGAAGACTTTTGGGCTTTTGTGATAGAAGTCTCAACTCGAACTGCGGCTCTTATGATTCTTATAGGTAGATGAATGATAATCAGCGACGGGTTTTTAGGTTGGTAAGACTGGAAGGGTGATATCTGATCGCTATAGGAATAGTTTCTATTGGACTAGTTTTCCAAAATAATGGCTATAGTTTATGGTGATCAAGAAGAGGTAGAGAGGGAATAAGAATTGCATTCCAAGTTAGGTACCTTAGTACCTGTATTTAGGGTTCCTACAAGGTACCTATGTATGTATAAAGCTCCTCCCTTCTATACATGTAGGTGTTCTTCCCTCACATGCTCTGTCACGGCGACCCTTCTCATTGGTCCAATTGGGATTTAGCTACCTAAAGTGGTAATGCAATACCGAGCCACTTTCCCTCGTTGTCTTTTATCGGCTATCACTCAGCATTAGGCTAGGTACCTAGTAGGTAGTTTCCCTTTTGATAAGAAGAGGAAACAGCTACAACATACTCCTAGTCGTATTATTCAAACTGTTCTTTCCCTCTCACAATATCTCAAAGTGAGGCAGGAGCAACCAGCCCTGTAGGTACCTAAGATACAAGTTTCCATGAGCTCTTTTTCCCTTTATCAACTAGATTGTACGTGTATCGACGCATGTTGATACGTTTAGCTTTGCCCTAGTTGTCCGATCATTATTAGTTACCTAATCGAGTCACCCGAGCAGGCCCCGAGACCTTCTTACAGCGGATTGTGCGAACCCTTCCAGCCTTATCCTGTAAGTTCCTTCCTCGCCGTAACGGAAAGTAGACGGGCTATGCCCTGTTTCTATCATAGGTCAGAAGATCAGGAGACATATGAATAGTAATTTCAAAAGATGTATCACTAACGAGATGGCACACCAAAGGCCAAGTGGTGTAGATGTTAGACATAACTTTCGCATCGTACCTTCCATCATCAGCCTGCATGTAGTAGTGGTTAACTTATCGGCCTCCGACTTTTCAGTTAGACAGCCGGGAACCCGGGTTCGAATCCCGGTGCAGGTGCTCACTCTTTTTGCTTTTCTCCCCCTTATTCATTTTTATGTTCTACTGTCCTTCTTTTTATCGTTCCTTACTACCTAGGTGCCTACTATAATGGCCTAAATTACAGGTACCTAAGTTAGGCAGTTAATCATGTAACTATATGTTTTTCATGTTATTGACTTGTTATACCGCCGTGAATGTGTTCAACCTGGGAGGATAATGCCACATTAGCTTTGAATTATAGAATTTCATAAGATTGGATAGGGAGTCTAACCTATTGCCATATGAAATCAGTGCACAAAGCCAATAACTCGCAGATTGGACTGATAGCAGAAAGGTACTCATTACGTGAGTTCCCTAGGTAAGTACATGTCAACACGGCTAAATCGCATTCAGTATTCTATTTCCTCTTTAAGGAGTATGGAGTGGGTGCTTAATGTTGGGAACTAATCCAGAAATGTTGTTAATTGTTAATAATCCTTAGTATAATATGATAGGACTAAGGTAGGATCTTAGGTATATCATACTAAAAATATCATACCAAAAATACAAGCAAATCGACCCAAACATCCACCATCCTAGAAATAATCACCAGATCACCAATAAAGTGGGAGGCTTATCGCAACTTGAAGAATAAGATGGTTAGCCTACGCTCATCGTAAGCATATCCACCATTTTTTATCATGCTATTCGTCAACCCCTAAGCCGCATATAGAGACATACTGCGAAATATGCCCTTTTGGTACCGCGAAAATAATAGTTCGATGCCTGAATATCTTACGAATAAATCCTAATGGCACCCTCTTGCCTATGAAGTTCAGCCCCTGGGTGATTGATTGGAGGAGATTGGTTCATGAGGTCATCATCCTTGGGCTAAACTTACTTATAAGCAGATAATTCGTACAGCTGAGATAGGGCTGTAGCTAAGGCCATCTGATATAAATATATGATATTTCCTCCACTTCAATTCCTCGAGTCAAAATAATCAACCAAACCAAGAGTAGTATCACTGGCGACCCAACTCAAGGGAGAAAGAAAAAACAATGTTGTTGACCCATTTATTGACTAGTTTTCTTCTGCTGGGGTTTCCTACCCAGCCGGTTCAAAGTGAACCGATACCAGCAACCCTAACTCATCGCGGGGCACCTCTCGTCGATTTCAACGCCGCGCGTGGTGACGACCCCAGGAAGCTTGGAAGTCTTAACCTAGAGAAGGGCAAGGGTGACAGGCCCAAGCAAAACACCAAAGACTTATACATCAAGTTGGACAAGGATTGGAAGGGTACCAAGGCTGCACATTTCCACCACAAAGCCGGCTATCGCAGGTAAGGAAGCCCAATTATCACTTTCCAAGTAGGGTGAAGACTAATACACACTTTTTAATAGAGCTGAATACCATTCGCTGAAGGGCCAGACCAAAGCTGGAACTACGTATTTCATTACGTATAGCTTCGCGCTCGAGGTCAGTACAATAAGTCCATCTCGGTCCATTTATTTCATACTATCAGCATCTGTGTTTAGATATCGCACCAACTAAAGCCTTTCAAATCCATTAATGAAAAGTTTTAGGAACTTCCCGACGGCCTAATCGTATTCCAATGGAAAGAATACAAGGCCAACAACGACCACGACAAGGGCGCCAACATCCCTCTCGCCCTGGAGTTGCGGAAGAACAAGCTAGAATTCACGCATACTTCGGTTTGGAAGGAGCACGGCCGCAAGGTCCAGTGGTCGCAAGACGTCAAGCCGCGCACTATGTACAAGATCGGTCTAGAGATCGAAGCCAAAGCGAAGGATGGCCATGTGAAACTTTGGCTCAACGGCAAGCCTGTAACGTTCGATACTACGAAGTCCCAGACGCTCACTGGAAACATGTATCCTGGCGAGAGCGACCCGAAGTTCGGCATATACGGCGGCGAGGATGTTCAGGTCGACAGTTATGTTTACCAGGTACAGATTGGTACGAGTCAGGGAGACGTCGACCAGAGTTATTTTGGCAAATAAGGAATATGGAAGCCCGGTGAAGATCGTAAACTATCTATGTAGATAGAGGAATATGTCTTATATTCCCCTATTTCTTTCTTCCTTTTTTTCTTATTTTCCTATACGGCTACCTAAGCAATCAGGGCAAGCTGGTTGATTTCTATCAGTCCTTCTCAGGATGACGTTCTTTACTATCGCTACGAAAAGACGTTCGTTTAAGTCAGGTTGACTTATAATAAAACAGCACTGCCATCCCATACTTTGCTTCATTACCGTAGTTGATACGAACACAATACTCATTTGAACAAGGATATAAAAGCCTATCCAAACGACTATACACATGTCTCTTGTTAAACAGAAGTTCGTATAAGCTTATTAACATAACTCTGTTCTGCTTAAGATGGCAACTACCCGCATAAAGCATTCAACACCTAGGAGTCACATCCCTGAATCTGGGGCTGCTGGGTAAGCTCGCACCCCCCCGGTCCTCTCCCTTCTTCCCTGCATCTCGGGAAGTCGTACCAGGCAGCAGTTTTCTCGATTCGACATTAGAAGTGCAGCTATTAAGCGACACTAGTCCACGTCAGGACGTCCGTATTACTCAGCTCGAGCCGCCGGCTCCGACCCCGGATCACGATCCCTTGGCGACCTTTGCATCATTCGTACTTATAACATACCTTAGCTAGTTACTATGGTATGCTTAGGTATCCAAATCCAATTAAGTTTTGCTTCGATAATATGACTCTCCAGTTGCGATCCTCAGGCCGGAATACCCTTTGCTCCTCGTATCGTTAAGGACAGAATCATTCGGCTACTCTCTTAGCTATCATCTACCCTGCACGAAATACCATCCTTACCAACATACTTACCCCTACACCATAGCCAAGCCAAGCCATGTCGCCCCAAAACTCCCCCTCCAGCCACGGCCATCCAACCCGCTTCGCGGTGGCGCTATACCCGGGATTCCAAGCGCTGGACGTGTTCGGCCCGCTCGACATCCTCAACATGTTGTCCAAGATCCGTCCTCTATCCCTAGAAATCTTATCCACAACGCTTGACCCGGTCCCGACGCTGACTCCGTCCTCGGGCCACTCTACGGGCCAATCTGTCGTGCCCACGCGCACCTATGCTGATGGCGTCGACGACATCCAAGTTCTGCTCGTCCCCGGCGGCTTCGGCTCTCGCGATCCGGCGAATGTGGCCCCCGTCGTCGAGTACGTGCGCGCAGCGTACCCGCGCCTCAGGTACTTGTTGACGGTGTG